TCAATAACAAAATTTATATTTCCAGCCTCATCCGCATAGAAATTTCTATACGAAAAGTCAACGGAGTCTTTTGTATAGAAATTTCTATCTGAGGATAGTGTATTTGAAAATATAGTTTGAAGTTACATAGAAAATTCTATACGATAAGAAGAAACACAATTTTACTAGACATTAACATGAATATGTATTGATAAAATTATTTTACCTTTATCTGGTTTGATGAAATATTCATATACTCTGTATAAATATTGTAAATTTAATATGATAATAAAACATTGACGGTTGAAATACATGAAATGCACTGCTGTTTTTACGTTTTTGGGTTTACAAAAAGGGACTAAACGGTTCATTCTCTTTTTAAATGGTCACGACTTATTATATTTTTACGTATTATCGTGTCACTTGAAAGACGACATTACGCCACCACGTTGCGCCAGCGCAGGCTTATCCAAATCATTGGTTTTCGATATATCTGACACTTTATAATTGCTTTGCACATCCATTATGACCATAAAGAATTTGAACTGTCAGAATAGACAGTTTGAATTGAAATTAACTTAATATTAAAACTGTTTAAGAGTATCAAAAATACAACTCTTGACTAACACAGATTAAAATTGACTCAAGTGATATATACATGTAGATTAGTAATTGGGCAATCAAGTTATGACAGCTCTAAATGTTTAGTACACTCAAGTGCACCCCCTTTACAATTTTGGACAGCGTTTTAAAACCTTCTTTTGTGTATGTTCGGCGCTTTTATCACATTCATTAAATGCCATTTCCGTCCGAAATTATTGTGACTGAGGAATAAAATTAATTTGCACAGGGTTTAATTTAAGACGTAATCAAATGGGCACGCGATTGCCAGATCTATGAAGGGGGTGTATGTACATGTATACATTATTTCAAACTGGTCTATTTTAAGAAAAATAATATTATTTATGATCTAAACACAGAACTGGTCTGTATATTTAATTTAAATTATGTGTCGCTCGCTATTTTTATATATTCATTATAAGCATGTCGTGTCATTTTAACACCTTGTTTGGTTTTGTATATATAACTAATATTTTTCTTTATTATGTGGACAATAACGCATAATAACAATAGACATAATAACAATAAAATATATTGTACATGTCAAAGCACAAAACTGTGGTTTTCTATGCAGCATCATCGTTGACTTCCAAGGTGTTGTAAAACAGTGACACTGAAATTGGAGCAACGGACACCTTGTGAATCAAGATGATGCAGCATCGTCTGATACTGAATTCCTGGGACTCGTATTAAATAAAACCTCCGGACGCAGGGCTCTACAAGACACCATCCATTCTGTTCCTTCCTTTTCCTAGCCCTGCGTTTGGATGATGACCCAATCAATCTAAAGTGCGAGACGATGAAAATGTAAGTCTAACAAAATTAAAACAAAGGCGATGAAAGAACTACAGTTTATGGAAAAAGCATTCATACTTAAAATAATTTTAGGGAGTTTCAACAAATGTTATTAAAGGAACGCTAATTGTTGGCTCTCTATTTATCTTCATATGTAGTTTTAGGCGTAATTGGGGAAATAAAAAATACAACTTTAGAAAAATGTAATAGCTAAAGTAATTATAACATGTCAGAGAATCATCAGAATTACACAAAAGGGCAGAAAGAGCACACAGCCAACCAGAACCAATTCAAAATTGGTTTTGCATCTAAAATATGAAAGTATTTTTCATATAATATTGTATTCTGTATTTTGTAGTCATTTGTTTGTATTATTAGGTGTTGTGATAGTTACCATTTCCAAAGCCCCGCACTGCATTTGCATTTGCCGGGAATACACCAGGAAGACAATACATCATCTAATAGTCTTGCCTCAAGACCAAGACTGTATATCCCCCTGTGTACTACACAGTATTCGAGGCAAGACTACTTCAACATGTGTACGTTGTATTCAGGTCAACAGTTTATATGGATGAGAAACTAAATCTCTAAGGACACTCATCTAGTTCACACTGGTAGACACCGGGTATCCTCAATAAACAAACATTTAATATTCTATCTAAAGTAGTTTTACACATATCTTTTGGGCGTCCGCTTGTAGTCCGATAGCCTATGTCAAACTTGTGTCATCTTCACACCGTTTTTATCTCATTGTTCCTAAAATAGCGATTGCGGTATATTTCTTTAAAACACAACTAACAGCCAGTGTCTCTATGTTTAAGATAAGCTCCCAATAGTTTAGCGTTTAATTTGGAATTAATTATGTCTGCGAAGTTGGAGGGAGGGAGTAAGAAAAAGTTATAAATGCTCAATAATGTATTGTTTAAATCAAAAAGCAAAGAATATTCTAATCAAATCAAGTTAGATCATTACCGCATTTCAACTAAATCGAGGAGGTCCTTGGCTTGAAGAAATATTGAACTTGGTCCCGATAGTAATTTGCAGCGGAAATCATTTCTCGCTGATATGGAAATGAAGCCTTCTGATTGGTCAGTTCTAGTGCTGTACCAACCTGTATATTGCTACTGAGAGTGTCCCCATTGATCATCTCCGTCGCAATACAGAAAATATTGGTACGGAGGATCACACGATAAAAACGTTATAGAATGATTTGAAGTGCAATACAGGATATATTTTGCTCTCGATATTCTGTATTGGATTCCAATTCCAATACAGAATATTACAATTCCACCGACTTGCTTATTTTATCTTTCCCTAAAATTGGAATTTTTTAAATCAGATGTAATGAAATACGGTTTTTTGAATTGTTAAGAACCGCTGGAAAGACAATTGGTATTGAATAGGCCTTGGTTATCCCGTGCCAGGACCTTGGCATTTGCACTGTCAAGGTCTTCCCTATATCCCATCCCAAGTAGATATTATGAAGATATTACGAAGTGTTTGATAAACAAATAGGGTGCTTTATTATGTCATGTCAGTACAGACCCACTGCGTTCAAAGACGTACATACGAATAAGATAAAAATAATGACTTTTTCATTTGATGATACTAAAATAATACCATTTATTCGGTCTATTAAATAGCCATTATAACAATATATAACTCTTATGCCTAGCTTTTGAAGCTTTTGATTTTTCATACAATACACACATATAAAAATAATGACACTGTATCTAAATAAATCTAAATGGTACAAATCACAGCATTTATCAAAGGATATTCGATGGTTAGATCGACTTAATACTAGGCGAAGGTCATTGAACACCCAACTTAAAGAATTTAGAAGATCTTTAGAGAATGTGAAATGTAGGGAATGTGAAATAAAGACAGTGTGAAATGTTTAGAAGCAATTTTTCAAAGAACGAGGCCAATTTCTTCTTTTCAATCCTAATTTTATTTTCTTAAAATTGTTTCGCTTGATAACCCTAAAAAAGAAGGATTTTCTTGATTTTAAAGCCATCGAGTGTCATGATAACAAAAATATCAAAATAATAAGACGTTTCAAAAACTTACTCTCAATTTATTTCTATCCCCGATTGTCCCTTTTATTTGAACCACCGAATACCAACTTTGTTCTAAAATCATTAAACACTATTCTCAATCGTGTTCAACGCAAACGTCACTCTGTGAATATAGTCTATTGTGTCTCATATTATACAATTGACAATACATATACATTATGAACACGAGACAATATAAAGCACATTCATATACAATACACAATCATAAAATTAGACAAAGCACGTTCATATACAATACACAATCATATAATTAGACAAAGCACATTCATATACAATGCACAATCATATAATTAGACAAAGCACATTCATATACAATGCACAATCATATAATTAGACAAAGCACATTCATATACAATGCACAATCATATAATTAGACAAAGCACATTCATATACAATGCACAATCATATAATTAGACAAAGCACATTCATGTACAATGCACAATCATATAATTAGACAAAGCACATTCATATACAATGCACAATCATATAATTAGACAAAGCACATTCATAATTATACAATGCACAATCATATAATTAGACAACGCACATTCATATACAATGCACAATCATATAATTAGACAAAGCACATTCATATCCAATGCATAATCATATAATTAGACAAAGCACATCCATAAACATGGGACAAGACAATGCACATTGATACAACGCACAATTATATACAATATACAATACACGTTTATGCTGCATTTTAAATATTCGATTGTGACAACGCATGTCTTGCTGGATATGTGCAAATTACACTAAATGCATTCGATAATACATCTTAATATCAACTGGTTTATTCCTGGGTACCACCCTTTCATGGCCAAATACTGTAGGGGAATTTGTTGGGGATCCAGGGTAAACTATAGGTCATGAAAATGAAGTGATCATTTATAAAGTGGTTCCTGGTGTTAATTGAATTTTAACACGTAAACAAAACCATTAAGAAGTTATTGCAACAAAACAAAGGCATCCATGCGGCGATCCAGCCAAAAACATTATTTGTTTTAATAATTAGTTTTAACTCAGATTCTCTGCATCCTGTCTTAAAATAGATAATGTCAAACAATTTCAAAATAAATGTATATACCACTTTAAGTGGAAGTAATTATACTTTGGAGGATCGATAGAGATGTTTGTTTTGAGTCATTTAACTTAAAGCACTCCTCATCAGCCAAAATGTTTATTTCAAAGTTCTGATTTCGACATATCTTAAATTGATTAGGGAATACGTGAATACTCATCATGTGCTTTCGATAACGATGCAAATGTAGCTGAGGGCTTATTATTCTCAAAATAAAAACAAGAAAACAAGATCCTCTTCTAAAAATAAGTCCTACTTATTGAAAATTAAGTTGAGGTAGGGTCCCGATTCTTAGTTTCTCGGAGATTCGAATAATTTTATTATGGATAATATTTTGTTTGGAAATGTGCTGAAAAGATGTTCAAAGATATGGTTGTCTAAAATCACTAGCCATACCATAACTGATCCTTTTATAACGGAGAAATCTTTTAATGATATCATGCTTTCAGGTTGGTTGTGAATATCTGTATGTGAGTACAGTAAAACATGTGTACATTGAACACCCATGGAGCCACATAAAATGTGTTTACTGTAGGTAGATGTTCACTACAGAGGCAACTTTATACAGAAGTCATTGTAGTATGTGCTGAAAAGGGGTGTTCCCTAGACACAAGTGTTCACTAGAAAAAGGTGTTCACTGAGACAGGTTTCACTGTATAATGATAGCAACCTGGCCCAAACTGTCTTTGACAAACAACAAGTGAAATAAGGTTACAGTATTGATATATGAGAGCCCGGATAATGAATGCTTAATTATAAACAATATTTACTACCTCATCCTCACTGGTGTATTATCAATACTATAAGTTATTGAATGATTTGAAGTGCAATACAGGATATATTCTGCTCAAGAAATTCCGTATTGGAACGAGACGAAGTCGAGTTCCAATACAGAATATCGAGAGTAGAATATATCCTGCATTGCACTTCAAATCATAACGTTTTTATCGTGTGATCCTCTGTATTGCTACTGAGAATGTCCCCTCCGTACCAATATTTTCTGTATTGCGACGGAGATGATCAATAGGGACAATCTCAGTAGCAATACAGATTGGTACAGCACTAGAACTGATCAGAATGCTTCATTATACAGATCATGCGATAAAAACGAGGGCAATATTTCTTGGGGACAATTTCCTCTTTTACACCTGTCTAAGAGTAGACATCGCCTAGTATATATTGTCCTTGGTTAGCATACGTTAATACGGTGACCTTATTCACAGTTGGGGCTAGATAGGTAATAATGCAAACTCGGACACTTTTACCTGGGGGACAATGTTATATTTAACACCGGTCTGTTTAAAGGGGTACCACGAGGACATATAAATAAGGCTTAGGCTCCTGAACTTGTGTCAGTCGAATCAACGGTGTAAACACTATTGTTCGATCTTCGTAATTCCTGTCCTCTTTGATTGCAACATTTAACAAAGAGTGTTTTTCTAACAGTGCGTCTGAACTCCTTATTCCCGAGAGCATATACGAGGGGGTTAAGAAAACTATTGAACATTCCAAGTAGTATGAGGTAATGACTGATAATAGACCCAAGTCGTTTGCAATTACGTCCACATACCATAACAACTATACAACTGATCGCGAATGGACCCCATGTAAGTAAAAAACATCCAATGACTAAAGTAAGTGTTTTAAATGCTCTGAACGTCCGTGTCGACACGGGGACAAAACTTAAACGGCGGTTAAAGTTTGCCGAGGCAGCTGATCGGGGAGGAGGGGCCTCGGCCTCTTGTTCGCTACTGCTGGTTGTGCTTGAACTATCAGAGAAGTTATCACCGTCGATGTAACCAAGGTCCTGGCTCATCCGCCTGACATCATTATCCTGGTTGTCAAGGATACGTATATGTCGCCTAGCAACGAAAAATATTATCCAGTAGATAGTTCCTATGACTATAAGAGGAATGAAAATGCCTACGAGAAAGAGTACTCCGAGGTATTCAGGGGGAACTGTATGTGTCAAAACACAGTATAGGTATGACCTACCCACACGATTCCACCCCATCAACGGTGCAAATCCTAATAAAATCGACTGCGTCCAGATATGGCATAATGCTAAAATTAACTTTAACCTTGACATTTTCTTGTAGTATGTCAATGGATGTTTGACAGCAATGTATCTATCCACCGCTATCCACATCATTGATGTGATTGACGCGCACACCGTCGTTGCGATCAGTCCGAGTCTAAATAAACACAATTCTCTCGAGATCGTCGAGGTCATAAATCCCTTAGCGATGCAGACGAACCCAAGAATTAGATCACTTATCGCAAGATTCAAGGTAAATGTGTATCCAGGGTAACGCACCTTCCTGGTTACGATAAAGAAGCCTATGACGATCATATTTGCAATGATGATGAGGATCCCAAGGGGAATACTGACGAGAGTTTTAATACGGTCCCCGATGATGAGGCTCTTAGGGGGTGCCATTAAATCTGAAAGGTTACCAATAAACCAAGAAGAGTTCAGGATCTCTGAAAGTCGTATGACACCTGTGATTGTTTCGTTTATTCTATCAATATCTGTTCGATTCAATCTGGCCATATTCAGATTATCAAATGTCAAACTATCCATCATATCCATGTCAACTGAAGAACTCTCGAAAACATTTATATCCATATTTGTATAGTCGAAATCCATATTTTTTAATTCTTACTTGTTGATTCTTTAAAAACTTTGTTTCAATAGTTTTCGGAATGTTTCATCCTTACAAATATTCCTCGATTGTTAATGCTTCAAGTACAACTGTATCTGATATGAGTGAATTACTTTTATATATTATACGTATAGAGTGACGTTCCTCACGCGTCTAAATGTGTGTATCAACTATAGCTACTGTAGTTATGCATGTTTTATCAAACAATCTATTCATCTAACGTTTATCATCATACATTTTGTCAGATTGATGACTGGGCAAGTTCACGATGATCTATTAACTAGGTTAACAAGGACTGGTGTGTATTGCAGGTGAATCATATCAATTATGCTTATCCTTTGTCTTATTATGTTCCTAAGTCCGTTTCCAATTGATTTTTTGTTCCTGGGTACGTTTCAATTAATTGTGACGTTTATTGATCATGTTTAAAATAGGTCACGAGACTTTAAAGTGCTTTTAGTTCATATGTGATCTAGGGCCAACGTATAACATATTATATGTCATGTTGTATATCTTGATACACTATAAAGCTGTATACAACTTGCGGATATTTCTCACGTCGAGTTTATGCACTTTTAAAACTGTAATGTAATAATACTTCACAATTTATTGTTTCCGTCGTTATTCCGATTTTGTAAGTTTTTCGTATTTTTACTTTGTAAATTATTAAGCAGTTCATACGATCCACTTATCTTGTATATGATAAATCTATTTTAATATAGACCAATGTCAACTACTAAACATAAGTTTTTGATATGATGGATAGAGTATGTACAAGATACTAGAATGATAAAGTTATATTATTAACGTGCTTGTGTGTTCAGTGTTTGTTTGTAATTGTTTGTTTGATTTCGACAGATGATGATGAGCAATACATTGACCTTATGATATGCTCCCTCGAAAAGACACCTTCATACGCTTTTGATATCTTTTGAATTGACCAATGCTATAATCGATCACTAATATAAATTCTGATTGATTGAATAATTACATTACGATACATTTTAATGACATCTTGATATACTATTGTACTCGAAATTATTGGAAAGCTGTTAATAAACTAGATTGATATACAGTTGACTTGTTTGTCTCTAATATAAGAACATATGACCTTGTTTGTTTGTATGTTTGTCTTCTCACTTGTTTGCTTGCTTGTTTTCAGTAGTCATTCTATCACAAAGTAAAATTTAATTCTTTACACGACGACCATAACATTTTCCCTGGACCAAGGGAGACTAGGTTAATGGCATGGGAACTGGCTTTTGGCTAAGGGTATTCTCCTTCGGAACGTAATGGACAAAGGAGGAAATAATTGTTCTGGGATGTGACTTCTCAATCGACCGACCAACTAACAATATTTATGTCTTAATATTTTTTCTGAGGTTCATAAAAAGGTGTTCAGATAGAGAAATCATATTCTAGCTATATGTCCCTGTGATCCCCCACTACACCCCCCTCCATCTTTGTGAGAAGGTATGTAGTCAAATAGCGGGAGGGGAGGGGGTCACAGGAGCTTGTAGCTAGACTACAGAAGTCACGTATCAGAACGGAGTCAGGATCTAAAAAAGGCGGATTTGTGCTGTATGGCACGTGATGAAAAACATAATATAATCTAAATCATGATATAAGGACAATGTTTATCGCTTTTATTTCAATTAGGTCAATATATTTATTTAATATATATTTGGATGTTGATCCTGGCGGGAGCCCAGTGCACATAAATTATTCTCAAGTGGTTGAAAATCATAAATCATAGAAAATAAATAAATTGTGGCTGGTAGTTAATACAGGGAGTGGGAGTTATAGGCGATCAGCCTGGGGGGTTGGTCGGTACCAAATCAGGGGAATAATGACCATGGTGATTTTTGGGAAGGTCTAGACCCCTAGAGTAAGAAAATATGTGATAGCATTGCAGAAGTGGTAGCTTAATAGGTGTTATCACCCATTTTTCAAAATGGCCGCCGGTGCGCTTGCTACCAAATAAAAGAAGTTATATTTAAGCATACTGAGAGGCAAAATCAGTGATTTTTGGGTCTAATTCTGGGTTTTAGGGGTCAATGATTTGAGTTATGCCTAAATCCAAGTCATCAAAACATTAATTTATATGAAAATCCAAGATGGCCGCCAAATTTGGTTCAAAAACAAATATGTTCTAATGATACAAGCTCAAAAACGTTTCAACATGATTTTGAAGAGTTTTAGAAGAGGTTTTAGAGTCTAAAGATTTTATTCATGTCTAAAGCAATGTCATCAAAGGATTACTTTATATTGAAATCCAAGATGGCCGCAAAATAGGTGCCAAAACGAATATGTCATTACAGTATTGATATACATGTAAGCTCAAGGAACAGATAAAAAGCAATTTTGTAGACAATGAAAGGGTTTAGGGGTCAAGGATTTCATTTATGCCTCATTTAAGTCAAGTCAGCAAAGAGTTGCTTTATATGGAAATCCAAGATGGCCACAAAAATGAAAATGTAACTACATGTATCGATATTTAGCTCAAAGAACAGATAAAACTTAATTTTGTAGACCATGAAAGTGTTTGGGGATCAATGATTTTATTGTCTTAGTCATCAAAGAATAACTTGATGTGGAAATCGAAGATGGCTGCCAAAATGAATATGTTACTATTAATACATGTTCAAAGTGATTTTGGAGACCATGTCTAGGTTTCAATGGTCGAGAACTTTAATTATGTCTGCAACTTAGTCATCAAATAATTCTTTTATTTGGATATTCAGGGTGGCAACCAAAATGGCTGCCAAAAGAATAAGTAATTTTGGAATACATTTATTTGAATATCCAAGATGGCCCTGATGGGATGTACCATCTCAATTGTACCCTCTTCATCGCAGCAATGAACTGGATTGTGAACAAAGAAGAGTCCAAGTAAAGAGGTCTCAAAGTGAATGATGACACAAAACATCCTTCTTGCCAAGCCTTTATGGACATCATCACTGTTATGACCTAGTCATTCTCTGGAGCACAACGGATTCTAAGCTGCCTCGAGATGATGGCCAATTGGGCATGTATCTAGTGCAATCCAAGGAATCTTTTCAGCTGAATGGTATACAAAGGAAGCTAATGTGCAATTTTTCATACTATCGATGATGAGAGAATTGAATCTTGGGAAATATTTCGATGAGTTTCTTAAAGATATCAATAGCATCTGTGAGAACTAGAAAAATGAATGAAAGCTATTGACCTTAGCCATGTAGGGAGTTGGTTCAAAGTCTCATGCGTTCAGTTTTTTGTTATTCTCCTATGGCTTTTCCAACTATGTAACTTCCATTACAACAACAGAGGCTGAGGAGAAAGAGCAACATCAACAGGGTAAGAAGGGGTGACTTGCAAAGGTTACGTGGGAGTAGATAGGCAACTTTGGTTCCAATAGTCTCAAACAAACACACACCCAAAAAAGGTTAATAAGTATTTTAGCACTCTGGGAATCAGCTCTTGACAATGGACCAAGTTAAATTTTGGTGTATCTTGAAAGCTCTAATTCCAAGAAAAAAGAAAAAGAGAAAAACAAAGAAAATGAAAAAAACAAAAACAAAGACAAAAACGAAAACAACACTGAACACTGAAAAATATAGAGGTTATAACAGATAAAGAGAGAAATAAGCTAGAAAATAGGAAAAACGTAACCAACAGCCAATTTGGCCGCGATTTTGGCAGCCATCTTTGATTTTCATCAAGACAACAATTTAACAATTAGAGTAAAGAGAAAAAATGTCAATGGTAACTGAAATCTTCAATCTCTAGATCCTAGTTAACTAGTCAAAGATACTACAATCACTTGCCAACATCCTCTGTTAATGCTTATAGATATACATGTATGTACTTGTAAATATTCATTTTGGCAGCCATTTTGGTGACCATTTTGGATTTTAATATGAGGAAAGGTTAAGATGACTTTGGTTAAGGCTAAATTGAAACCATTTTCCCCTGAAACCTAGTTTCAGATATCTATTACGTACATTACTTTTCTAACTTTTCTATGTGCATATAAATTCATTTTAGCAGCCATATGTTTGGCCATTTTGGCAGCCATTTCAAATTTCTATATAAAAGTATTCTTTGATCACTTAGATTTATCCATGGATGGAATCTGTATTAACCTCTAAAGCCCTATCATGGTCTGCAAAAGCACTTTTTAACTGTTCTTTGAGTTTATATAAATACTTTACATATTCATTTTGGCACCCATTTTGGTGGCCATCTTGGAATTTCATATAGAGGATTTCTATTATTATTTTTTTTAGCCACAAATAAAATCCCCAGCCTCTTAAACCTATTCATGGTCTCCAAAGTCACTTTTTAACCGTTCTTTGAGCTTTTTCTAGCTTATATCAATAGTAACATATTTGTTTTGAGACCCATTTTGGTGGCCATCTTGGATTTCCATATAAAGCAACTTTTTGATGACTTAGATTTTGACATAAATGAAATCCTTGACCCCTAAAACCCAGAAATAGACCTCAAAATCACTGTTTTTGCCTCTCATTATACTAAGATAGGATTTCTTTTATTTGATAAAAAGCGCAATAGCAGCCATTTTGAAAAATGGGAGATAACACCCATAAGCTACCACTCCTGCAATGCTATCACATATTTTCTTACTCTGGGGGTATTTACCTTGCCAAAAATCACTATGAGCATTATTCCCCTAACTTGGTACCGATAACCTAAATTTTGGGGTGAAGCTGATGGCCTATTAGGGATGGGTATCTCAAATCTAGCTAATACCCTTTTTGTCCAACTTTCTTTCTTCCGTCGTCTTACATTTTAACGCATATCGTTTAGCAAATCGAACGCTCGTTGCTGGTGTTGCTCACCGTTTAGTATAACCCCGGAATTATACTCAAGGGTTCACAGGTTTGAGGTCGTTGTGTAAACACCTCTGCCCTGTTTATGTAAAGCCTGGGTCACATTTGCTCCGATTCATCGGCCGTCGCCCTGCCGATTGAGTGTTCTGTTCAAAATTGTATTCAGTTTGAAACAAAATGCTCAATCGCCCGGGCGCCGGCCGATGAATCGCAGCAAATGTGACCACGGTATAACAATAGTATAGTATACAATTATTGACCTCTCCAGAGGTTTACAGTCGAAGGATATAATTTTGACAGTAAACCGAATGGAGAGGTCTATAATTGTTTTGTTAGTCCGAAGAATATCTTAGATTTTTCTGACCCTTGAAGTTGACTTGAAGTTGGATCCAGACCCTCGAGACGTTCATGTTGTATTTCAAACACAATATTCCTTACATCACTTAATGGAGTCAAATTACTCTCCTGGGCGAAGTCCACTAAAAGCTTTGTACAAAGTTTTAGATTTTTCTTCGTATTTTGACTGTCTGTACTCTCTAAGAGACTAATAATATCCTCATCTTCAACATTTTTGAAACGGCTAGTGCTAGCGGCGGCCATTTTATCGTCTGATAATGACGTCATTTTAGTGGAATGCTGGGAATATTATTCACCGGCAATGCATTGCGCGGTGTACAGTTAAAATTATTCACCGCTCGTTGACCAATCAAAATCGAGTATTTCAACTGAGGTACTAACAATATAGATTGTCACACATTTAATGCCTTGGTCACATTTGCTTCGATTTCCACTACGGCGCCCGTGAGTAATTTGTTCAAAATAGAATACAATATTGAACAAAACACTCAATCGGCCGGGCGCCGGCCGATGGATCGGGGCATATGTGACCAAGACCATTTTGACAAATCAATTTCACATTTATGGGTGAAGTTTCAGGATCTTCTATTTGTGTACGTAATAAGGAAAACTTCTAGAGTTCCCCATCACGCATATAGCGCACAGCATGGCTTAGGAAATATCCTACAAATGAAACAAAGCAGTTCTAATACAAGGATTTACATTGGCTGTTGTACATGCATCCTTTGGACGGCGCGGTTCACTGTTTACAGAATCATTGTAAACGCATTACTTCATCTCCAAGACGATTTCAATAAAATGGAATTTTCAAAACTCCTCCTATTTCTTAAAAATGGACTGATCCAGTTGACTCGCCTGGAGCCATCACATTGTTTTTTTATACGGGAAGCTTATCGTAACCATTTAAACTTTAAAGCCATAATTAAGTCATATTCAAAATATAACATTGTTTAGATTTCATGCATTTTATTTGATTGTCTTCAGAGTTTTTGCGATGATCTACAATACACACTATGACCAACGATTGATGTGTATCGCCAACATATACCCTCTCTCATATCCTGAAACAATATTTTTGACTGCGTATTAAATTCACCATTGTGGAAAACGATTGGTGCAGTCTACGTTGTTTCCATGGCACCCCGGTTAAACCAACGCCGTTATGGTTAGAGGGCATTCTGTAAAGTAGTGTAAAAGATTGTTAAGAAGTGGAATCGAAGCAAATAAATTGCGAATAATTTGTGGATACGGAAAAACGGAAAACCTCGATGGAATGGAAACAAATGAGCTGGTTTGCAGAAGGTCATGTCTAACTGACCGCAGTGCCATAGCTGAAATGGTCGACAGCGTATATGATCACAGGCTGGTATCGAAAGATTTGTCCGCTGTGATGGAGCATGCTATTTTTCATAAAAACACTAAGAATGCTTCACGATTTATTTTTTAACTCATATGTTTCGTTATATCAAATATAATTACTTACTCCATGCAATAGATATATCATTTGCGTATAACCTTCACTACTGTTTGAAGTCCAATAACGCTAGGAGTAAAATTTATTGAAAACGGCGCCAGAGTATCAAACTCTAAAATGAACCATTTCTTTTTTAACTTTTTAATGGCATGATATAGTGACACGATAATATTAACATATATTTTCAGCATATCTCTGAATGTATTAATGAGATATTAATGCATTGGGTCTTTTTAATTTTTTTTATAAAAAATAATATTAATATTTTTTGTCCGCTGTGACGGAGCATTTTCACAGTTCACATTTGCAACTGCTCCGTCACAGCGGACAAAAAAATTAAACATTATTTTTTATAAAAGAATTAAAAAGACCAAATACATCAACATCTCATTTATACCTTCATAGTTATGCTGAAACCATGTGTAAATATTATCGTGTCACTATATCGAGCCATTAGAAAGTTAAACAAGAAATGGTACATTTTGAAGTATGATACTCCGGTGCCATTTTCAATAGCTTTTCTTCCCAGCGTAATTGAACTTCAAACAGAAGTGAAAGTTACCCGCAAATGATATATCCATTGCATGGAGTAAGTAATTTTGTATGGTATAACGAAAGATATGAGTTAAAAAATAAATCGTGAAGTATTCTTAGTGTTTTTATGAAAAATAGCATGCTCCGTCACAGGGGACAAATATTTCGATACCAGCCTGTGATGATGGCTTAGATTATCTAAACGCATTTTACTCACTTTATATGAAACAAAACTTCAGATATTGTTTTGTTGCCGAAAAGAATGGGAAAGTGGTGAGTTCCAGGTTTTGTTTAACATCCTCACATTTTGAGAATTTGGAGGGAATGTAGTCTATATCCAATAGACTGAATTTCCTGAGAATTCAGTCTATTGATCATTATGTCCCTCCTGTGGGAAAAAACAGGAAATTTCAGGCACAAAATTATCAATTTTAGGAAACTTTCCTTCCCAAAAATAAGCATTATAACTCAATTAAGTAGTAAGGTACAATTAAATGCTATGAAAAGTAACACAGCATATTGTCAAATGGAAATAAAGCTAGGGGAAGTAACATATATGCAAATTAATTTGCCCAGTCGGCCATTTTGAATGGCACTTCCTATGTAAACAAATATTTTTCAATCCCAAATTTTAACATAGTCTGAATATTTTCATTCCAAATTTCAAAAAAAAATTCAGACTAAAGGATATAGTCTAGGAGGGAATGGTACGGTATACGTAAAAATTGCTTCAAATTGACACATTTCTTAAGAATCACCTAGAATTTGCCGGGAGAGTCATATCTTCAATCGGACGATTTGAGATCTGACCCTTAAAGGTCATGTGTCAGTTTAAAAATATAGTTTAATCATTCAAATATTACTTTCACGACCTGAAAAAACATTTGAGCCATTTTTGAAAAATGGGACTTTTGAAAAGGGTTGTTTAGCCTATGAGTTTCAAATATTTGAATTTACCGCCATCTTAAAAATAGTGTAGATTTTATGATCTTCCGATACAAGAATTACAAAACACATCATTTTTCTACTAGATCTATTGAATAGCTCAGGCCATATAGTGCCCAAAAGTCATACCAAATGCCCAAATATGAAACCAATGCCATGCCAAATGTCCCAAGGTCCCAAAAAGAAGGCGATCTTTGAGGAAAACGAACCAAAACAACCTCATATTAGGATATGTGTACCTACTAGACGAATTCCATACCATAATTGTGAGATAACATATTTTCCATGAACATTCTCATACCAGAAAGTTGAAAAATCTGACCATTTCCATCTCTCAAAAGTCATAATGAGGGGCATTATCAAAAAGCTTGAAAAGCGTAAAAAAGCAGCCTGGAAAGACTGGGTTGATCAGGGCAAGCCTAGGTCACTTGGCAATATATATTGGGATAAATACAAAGGGGAAAAAAAGTCTTTTAGGCGTGAATTCAGGAAGGCGCAACAGGAATTTGAAAATAAATGCCAACTTGAAATTGATAAAATGGAAGAGATATCTCTTGATCAGTTCTGGTGCTTTGTTAAGAATAAAAAAACTAGAACAAGCAACCCCCCTGTTATAAAATCAGATGATGGGAATGTACTAATGGATGAGCTTGAAGTCACAAATGAATGGAGGTCCTATTTTGAATGCCTTATGTCAGATCATGGAACCGACAGTGATATGTATGATAAAACATTTTTTGAATATGTTAATGTATCCATTAAACGTATGGAAATTGAAAGCTACAAACGAAATGATTTATCTTTTGATGAACCAATTGAATTTAGTGAAATGCATAACATGTGTAAAAAATTATCAAAAGGTAAAGCCCCTGGATGGGATTCAATAAACTCTGAACATTTAAACATGGGTGGTCCCTCAGTGATCCAAGTTTTAACGAAATTATACAATCATATTGTTTACAGCGAACATATACCTACATCTTTCAAGTTAGGAATACTTTCCCCAATCTTTAAAGGGGGCAATAAAGATTCGCTCAATAAAGATCATCACAGAGGGATCACACTGATGACAACCTTTATGAAACTGATGGAACGTTTAATGTTAAATAGGTCAAAATTATGTCCACGAAATGAACCTAAATCTGAAATGCAGGGTGTTGGTTTAGAGAAAGTATCTAGCTTGAATATATCTTTACTGACACGTGAAGCTATCTCATATGGAATAGAAAATGGAAATGACGTCATAGTGACGTCATTAGACATTAAAAAGGCGTTTGACAGTGTATGGCATAATGGCCTCTTCTATAAATTATATAACATCGGTATAAATGGAAAATTGTGGCGCCTTATTAAAGATTCCTATAATGGATATTCATGTTCAGTAAAGATATCAACCCCCCCCCCCCTGTCTGACCCCTTCCCTGTGAAAAGGGGAGTCCATCAGGGCGGAATTAACTCGATGGAACTCTATGCTCTATTCATGAATGAGCTACTCAATAATATCCAGAGATGTAAGTCAGGTTGTAAAATAAATGGCTTGACCATAACATGCCCTTCATATGCTGATGACACAATAATCTTATCTTACCATGAAAAATCAATGCAACATTTGCTAAATATCATATATGAATATAGCCTGAAATGGAGATATCAGTACCATCCAGAAAAATGTCAAGCTATTGTCTTCTCTAAAAGTATGAAAGTAAAAAATCCAACATTAGTCCTGGGAGATAAAAAAATTCCAATAAATAGTGACTCGATTCAACATTTGGGATTACCAATTTGTAATAAATCAAATTTAGAACATATAGAAAATGCTTTGTCAAAAGGAAGGAGAACAATTAATGCATACATTGGTGTGTCATCTACTGTAAATAACCCGTCAAATCCATTAACTGCATCAAGGCTATATTGGACAATATGTGTCCCTACAATAACATATGGAATGGAACTATTACCCTTAAGAGAGTCTGATTTAAAGTGTATTGAAAATGGTCATAGAGGTATTGCTAGGAAAATTCAAGGGATTCCAAAACATGCAAGTAACGCAGCATCAACATCTATGTTGGGCTGGCACTCCCTTACCTCCAAAATAGTCATCAATAAACTAATGCTCTTATGGCAACTAATATCTCTGCCATTTTCAAGCATCTTTAAAAGGGTAGCTGTATTACGTATTATCAATGCATCCTATGAGAGCCTAAATAGCTTCTCACCAATAGGAAACTGCATCCAGATAGCAGAGGCATATAACCTTGAAAGCTATATATAGAATGATGTCTCATGAATTTGAATTATCTAAAGTAAAATGGAAAAATATTGTTAAAAACAAAGTGCACCAAATTGAAATACGAAAATGGCAAATGGAATGCATACTTTCAAAAAAGCTTTATATGTTTAGAATTGTATCCCCAATTTTTAAACCCATTATATGGTGGCATATTGCAAAATCAGACCCAAGAGTCTTAAAGTGTTGCAGAACTGTAATTAAATTGGTTATTGGTGAGGGAAGTATTATGGTAAATGTTAACAAATGGACAAATGGTAGGACTTCGAATGTATGTAAAGTATGTAAGCTAGAACCTGAAACTCTGAGTCATATGATCCTTAGATGCCCTGGCCATTATGAGGAAAGGGATGCAATCCTAAGGATTCTTAAATCTGTTGTTAATACAACACAGGATATCCCTAATGATACCATTTTGGGCTGGATATTTGGAGCCTGTGATGTATTTAATATACAGCAGTATAAAGAAATATCTGTATATATTCATAAAATTTACATAAATAGACCAGACCCTTGGCCTGGCATCACATAATACCATATTGTATATATGTTTACCAATGTACATGTATCACTGTATATATGTTAATTTATCTATTATAAATTTTATATAAAAAATTAATGTATAACACATCAGAAATGGTGGATAAAATAAACAAATAAATAAAAAAATAAAAATAAAAATCATACCACATCCTAAAATTTGGGTCCATTGCCATACCAAATGTCAAAAAAGGTATATATACAGTGAACCCCCATTGGTTCGAGCGCCCAAACAAATTTCTGTTTTCAGTCAGGTGGGGGGGGGGGTGCGATTGTGGCATTAAAAAAGCCAAAAATTAAGATCCATCTTGAATTTTACAAATCTTGATTCAACTTCCTTCAAAATAGGGCTAGAAGCTAAGACCCCCCACGTTATAAAACTAAGAGCCTGTTATAAAACTAAGGCCCCCCACGTAATAAAACTAAGACCCTGTTATAAAACTAAGACCCCCACGTTATAAAACTAAGACCCTGTTATAAAACTAAGACCCCCCACGTTATAAAACTAAGACCCTGTTATAAAACTAAGACCCCCCACGTAAAAAAAACTAAGACCCTAAATATAGTACGCAAATGCTATATTTCACATGAACATAGTGTGTTTTCATAAAATGAGTTTCTCTTACATTTAAAACGGACCAAGCTAATTCTTTGGAAATCACTATATTGTGCAACTGATTGAATTGAAAATGTCAGTTCCCAGCAATTAATCTACGTTACAATATAGGCATGTTCAATGCTTGGTTTTTTTACAAATATATAACCATGACAGTATCCAATATTAGTGTTTAACAATGCAGAGATATACTCCTTTGCTCTGCTAAAAAGTATCAAACCGAGGCAATGGTCACAAAAAATTTACACTTAATGATTGAATGACTGACAAACATTATGGAAATTACAATTTTAAGGACAAACACATAAGATATTTGTAATTGAGCAAAAAAGTGCTTGTGTGATCAGTGTTTGTTTGTAATTGTTTGTTTGATTTCGACAGATGATGATGAGCAATACATTGACCTTATGATATGCTCCCTCGAAAAGACACCTTCATGCGCTTTTGATAGCTTTTGAATTGACCAATGTTATAATCGATAACGACTATAAATTCTGATTGATTGAATGATTACATTACGATACATTTTAATGACATCTTGATATACTATTGTACTCGTAATTATTGAAAAGCTGTTAAACTAGGTTGATATATACAGTTGACTTGTTTGTCTCTAATATTAGAACATAGGACCTTATTTGTTTGTTTGTTTGTTTGTTTGTTTGTTTGTTTGTTTGTTTGTCTTCTTATTTGTTCGCTTGCTTGTTTTCAGTAGTCATTCTATCACAAAGTAAAATTAAATTCTTTACACGACGGCCATAACGTTTACCCTGGACCAGGGGAGACTAAGTTTAACCTAGGTGTATTAAAATGGCACGGGAGCTGGCTTTTGGCTAAGGGTATTCTCCTTCGGAATGTAATGGACAAAGGAGGAAATAATTGTTCTGGCATGTGACTTCTTCTCAATCGATCGACCGACCGACCGACTACATGTATGTCTTAATATTTTTCTGAGGTTCATAAAAAGGAGTTCAGATGGAGAAATCATATTCTAGCTATAAGTCCTTGTGATCCTCCACTATACCCCCCCCCCCATCTGCGTGAGAAGGTATGCAGTCAAATAGTGGGAGGGAAGGGGGTCACAGGAGCTTGTATCTAGACTACAGAAGTCACGTATAAGAACGGAGTCAGGATCTAAAAGGCGGATTCGTGCTGCATGGCACGTGGTGAAAAACATAATCTAATCTAAATCATGATATAAGGACAATGTTTATCGCTTTTATTTCAATTAGGTCAATGTATTTATTTAATATATATTTGGATGTTGATCCTGGCGGGAGCCCAGTGCACATAAATTATTCTCAAGTGGTTGAAAATCATAAATCACAGAAAATAAATAAATTGTGGCTGGTAGTTAATACTGGGACTGGGAGTTAGGGGTGGGTGGGTATCTCAAATCTAGCATACCCCTTTTTGTCCAATCTTTCTTTCTTCCGTCGTCTTACATTTTAACGCATATCGTTTAGCAAATCGAACGCTCGTTTCTGGTGTTGCTCACCGTTTAGTATAAAAGGCCCGATCCCGGAATAATACTCAAGGGTTCACAGGTTTGAGGTCGTTGTGTAAACACCTCTGCCCAGTTTATGTAAAGCCTGGGTCACATTTGCTCCGATTCATCTGACGGCGCCCGGCCGATTGAGTGTTCTGTTCAAAATTGTATTCAGTTTGAAACAAAATGCTCAATCGCCCGGGCGCCGGCCGATGAATCGCAGCAAATGTGACCACGGTATGACAATAGTATAGTATAGATTGTCACACGGGAAGCTTATCGTAACCATTTAAACTTTAAAGCCATAATTAAGTCATATTCAAAATATAACATTGTTTTGCTTTCGTGCATTTTAATTGATTGTCTTCAGAGTTTTTGCGGTGATCTACAATACACACTATGACCAATGATTGATGTGTATCGCCAACATATACCCTCTCTCATATCCTGAAACAATATTTTTGACTGCGTATTAAATTCACCATTGTGGACAACGGTTGGTGCAGTCTACGTTGTTTTCATGGCACCCCGGTTAAATCTACGCCGTAATGGTTAGAGTGCATTCAATATGCGAACATTAAAAGTTTGGCTTGTCAAGTAGTGTAGAGGATTGTAAAAAAGTTGAATCGAAGCAAATAAATTGCGAATAATTTGTGGATAATTTATGGAAAAACTTGATAGAATGGAAACAAATGAGCTGGTTTGCAGAAGGTCATGTCTAACTGACCGCAGTGCCATAGCTGAAATGGTCGACAGCGTATATGATGGCTTAGATTATCTAGACGCATTTTACTCACTTTATATGAAACAAAACTTCAGATATTGTTTTGTTGCCGAAAAGAATGGGAAAGTGGTGAGTTCCAGGTTTTGTTTAACATCCTCACATTTTGAGAATTTGGAGGGAATGGAACGGTATCCGTAAAATTGCTTCAAATTGACACATTTCTTTAATTAAAAATCATCTAGAATTTGCCGGAGAGTCATATCTTCAATCGGACGATTTGAGGTTTGATACTTAAAGGTCATGTGTCAGTTTGAAAATATAGTTTAATCATTCAAATATTACTTTCACGACCTGAAAAAACATTTGAGCCATTTTTGAAAAATGGGACTTTTGAAAAGGGTTGTTGAGCCTATGAGTTTCAAATATTTGAATTTACCGCCATCTTCAAGATAGTTAAGATTTTAAGATCTTCCGATACAAGAATTACAAAACACATCATTTTTTCTACTCTATTGAATAGCTCAGGTCATATAGTGGCCAAAAGCCATACCAAATGCCCAAATATGAAACCAATGTCCCAAGGTCCCAAGAAGAAGGCGATCTTTGAGGAAAACGAACCAAAAACAAGCTCATATTAGGATATGTGTAACTACTAGACGAATTCCATACCATAATTGTGAGATCACATATTTTCCATGAACATTCTCATACCAGAAAGTTGAAAAATCTGACCATTTCCATCCCTCAAAAGTCATAATGAGGGGGCATTATCATACCACATCCTAAAATTTGGGTCCATTGCCATACCAAATGTCAAAAAAGGCATCCCATGTGTGCCGAGGATCCCCTTCAAGGTTTATATACAGTAAACCCCTTTAAATAAGTATTACATTCTTACAAAACATTTGCTATTGAATATACTAGCATTCAGTACAAGTTCATGAGGTCATTATGAACTCCTCTATAACAAAATGAAAAAGCAAATAAAAATCCTTTGATTTGGAATCAGCTAAAAGTGTGGGAATTGCATGTTTCAGAATTTGACATATCTCAAATGAACTCTAAAGAATGAATTGTATGTTTGACAAATACAAAAAAATGCTTTCATGTGAGGTACACAAATGAAGGGGGAGATTTGTGGATAACATAAAAAATCGAACCCCTGGTCACCAATTGCTGGCTTAACGCCACTGTTCAATATGGCTTCGCGAAACGCAATTCGTTGCTTTGCTTTGGCTACGTCAGACTTAAATAAGTCAGCAATATCATTCTTATATCTTTCAAATGATAACGTACAATCAAGTAGAGATACCATTAACAGATTTTAAATGCAAAAGTCTCTCTTTAAATTTTAAATCTTTAAATGGACTTTTCTGATGCATGATTGAATGCCGTTAAATGTCATTTGGAATGAACATGTATGGTTGTCCTGCAGTTTGTGGTGCATGCAGAAAAGACTTCACTACGTCACCCTGCAGCTGGTCTTCACCCATAGTAAAAGTTTCTCAAGTTGTAAAAACAAATCAAAGTGTCTTACGTCATTCACGATAAGAGATTAAGACTGAGGGAACTAGGGTGATTGGGTGCTTGACGACATGGCATCTGCACCATCGATGTAAAATGTAAAAGTGCTTGTTTCTTGCATCAGTGAAAGATTTTGGTGAAGTTGATTTAAAAAAGATAAATAATGTGGTGTGCACATAGTTATTGAAAATAGAAAAGATGTGTTCAGTATAAACTATGATTGCATATGAGTCCACATATGTCACATGACGTAACTGCTTTTTCCTTGGAGATGGTGAAACACGACACGATTTATTCAGCTATTAATGCTTTAAGTCGAGTTTTGATGGAAAATTAACCATAAAGGTGATAATATAAGACACAAATACAAACTTGTTTCTCAATTCAGGCAGCTAATCAAAAATGCCCATTCGTGAATTAAGACTTCTCTTTAGGGAACATAACTCATTGTCATTTCTATTCAATTTTCTTGTGAAAATCGACACGCGGAAAAATGGTGAACCAGCCTAATGATCATTTTTGCATCTTTCACAATGGTAAATGAAATTTCCCGAAGCCCGAAGGGCTCGTGAAGTACATGTATCATCCTGTGAAAGTGTCACTGGTATTTGTTTTATTATTCACTATTATATGACAGTGGTATAATGATATCCAATACTGAATTTTGAACACAATGCATAAGTACATGAACTACGATTTGAATAACTTCAATCGAGTATGTCGTGATACAAAATTCGAATTCAAACAGCCGCGCGCCATTTTGTTCACTTTCTTGAATTGAAAGCCCATGTTTTAAACAACGAATATACCGGTACTTATTTTCATCATATTTGAATGAAAATGTATCAAAACTCTAGTAACATCTCAACCTTTTTAAAGGCAGAATCTATGGGGGTAACAAAATTACAAGTAACATGTATATTAACAATCTCAAACACAATATCTCCCAAAAGATTCACGATTTGTTATAAATTAAGTTACAATGGATTCAAAGTGCAAAAATGGGTGAACAACGTTTAAATTCTCCCAAATAATAAGAATCGTAACCAAAATAATACATTATTGTAAAAATCTTTTGTTTTCCTTAAATAAAGTGTGCACTTTGGGGATTTTTAGTAAATAGACATGAAAAGGAATGTGATAAGCCAGAAATATTTTAAAATTGAATTTTTTTTGTTAGGCTGCTTGCTAGATCTGATTCTCTCATTAAGGCAGTGATGGTCAACGAAAGGCCGGATCAGAAATCTGAGGTCAGATATAAATCTTTGTCAATTGTCCAACGACTCATTTTCTAACATGTCTACCGCTGTCTCGGAAACCGGCCATGTAAATGGAGAAATGGTTATATTTCTTGTAATACATGCCAAACAATATTATGTCACTATATTATTTAAAGTTTACTGGAACTATAAAGGCGGGGTATTTAACTCGATCTGTTATTCAGATATGAACATATCATGGCTCAAGAACCTCGGCGTGAATAATCATGAGATTAGTGTATTGTTTCGAAAATCCCCTTGTAAAATCACGATTGATATTTTAGGTATCCTATATTCACACGGTGTTATAGCATGACAGATACGCCACCTCTGAAAACGAGGTTAGTCGAATACGATCACTGATTTATCCAATAAAATGGCCACGATGAAACAGAAAGCTAAGGTAGGTGCATTATGTTCTACTACTGCGTATCAATAAAAGCATGAACGATTTATGTTAGCGTCGCATTCGGTGATGCATTCAGTAATGTTTATTTTGAACGTAGTCTTTGCAAATCGACGCCCATGGATAACATGAAATAAGCGAAAAACTGTCGAGTTTGAAATTCAAAACTTCATAAAATTTAGTAATTTGTTTCTTTTCCTCGTTAGGGCATGCTCTACATTGCGCAACAACCTTGGTGTATATAAATGTAACCTACATACGATCATACAAAGCCAATTAAGCATTGTAAACCACTTAATATGTTCTACTCAAGCCATGATAATGTATTTTGAATTTGCGGATACGCCAAAAATTGATAGACAGTTACGCGAACCTCGTTCATATATGTAAAACCGAATCATTTCATATCGCTTGTGATCCAAAATTGAAATGTTTTTCAACCGGATTTGAGTTTTGTAAGCTATAATAGATGAAATCGTATTATTACCACCTTGCAGGGCCTGTTCTAGGGGTTTTAGTACTAGTTGAGAAGGCATTTAAATTGCTATATTGACGTGAGCAATATTGTGTCGGGCGTTAATGACTTTAGTCGGGCAATAATGATATTATCCACCCGGCTATGTTTCCCGGGAAAAGTGATATCGTTCAGTGCGTAAGATTTTCTATTTCAAATTTGCTATTTCAGCCCTGGGCATTAACGGTGGTAATAATGGTAATAACGTCATTTCTGCGGGCAAAATAGTGAAATATTGGACCTTGGGCCTGCGGCCCTTGGTCCAATATTTCACTATATTGCCCGCAGAAATGACGTTATTGTACTATTATGAAGATGGTGACATAAACAGCTGAATATGATTTGTAATAATGGTAATATATGTCTAATGGTTCTCATGACATCATTTCTTCCGTCGCCTGTTCGTTGTTACTAATTTCTTCCTTTGCCTCTTCATTACAATCATTTTCACTTTCATTGGCTTTCGCTATTTTTTCCTTGCCCTATAGAGGCTCAAGCAAGAGCGTCTCTTGCGAGTCCTGAAAACAAATATAGGCAGTTCACACATAGAGAGCTATCCATCTAGGGACCTTGACTTGACAGGAACTTGCATGTAACCGTCCGCTAACATCTAATGTAAAACTAATACAATGCGTTGCTGTCCATAAAAAAGCATGCAATACATACGTATCTGTCTAACGACCTTGCGATTGAAACCTTATTATCTACAATATTTACCACATTTCTGTTCAACATTTGTCATTTTATGACTTGTTTATACACAGTTTACGTACAGTTAGTATTTTGAGTGGCTCTGAGGCACATATACTGAGAAAACACGAAAAATGACTAAAAATTATGAACTTCGAAATCTCAGCTGGGTAGGTTTACAGCTTATATTCTGCTTCTTGTAGACCACACGACAGATTTAACTCAATCTTTATAACCATTCACATATGCATCACCGAATGGAACTAGTTGAAAAGGAAAGCTTATCTGTGAATCTTGCCTACAGGCGAAAAAGAGGACATGCTGTCTTTCCCGTCCGCCATTTTTTGTTATCGTTACCGCAAAATTTGGCCAATTGCCTTGTCGTATCTGTCATGCTATAACACCGTGATTCAGTTCACTGTGCTCGATGGAGGTAGAACGGGAGTAAGACAAGCAGCCAGAACAGCCGCGCAACATAGAGGGAAGGGATTCTACAAGATACTGGAGAACTATTCAACCATGCAGATTAATTTTCTGTGCCCAAATCTAGAGCAATGGGCTTACACAGCATACTGGAATACCTTTGAAAAGAAAAGGATATCAAATCCTGAGCTGGGCTATCAGCTCATTGATAAGAGGGTGAGTTCAACTCCCAGCGTTCAACTTCCGATCTTCCGAACGCAGAGGTCCAACCATGATGCCTGAACCCCTGCGTTCGGAGGATGTCAACGGTTGAACCCCCATCTTGTCTTTACCCTATGATAATTGTAATGTACTGAACGACAACATACGCGCTCCTTGGAGTTTCGTAAATTACTTTCAAACTTGCGGTGCAAAACTGAGACTCGGGTGCAAAATGCCTGAAACATGTTTTTTTTCGCCCGGTTTTTTTCGTACAATATCACATACATGTAGGCTACTGGTCAGCTATGTAGAGGGAAAGTGCATTCTAAAATACAAGTTACTATAAAGACAGAGTAACACCTGTGACCAAAATGAAAAGGTGGGTAATAATTGTAAAACGCCTGTTTCAATAGTAATGCCTGGGTCACATTTGCTCCGATTGAGTGTTTTGCAATTGTTCAATATTGAATTCAATTGGTGAAAAACTGCATGATTTTGAAAGATTGTTTGGCCGGGGGGGGGGTCGCTCGAACCCATCAAACCCCCCTGGCTATGGGCCAGGATGTGCACTGTTGGTAAATCACTTAATCAATCAACAAAATATTTTAATCCATTAATCTTTCTGACATAGATGCTGGAGATCTGACATGCTCACATGTTTTAGCTTATTCAGGCGCACTATACCTTTTGATACCGATATGCCAACGTTGTCAGTTCATTCGTTCTGGTCAATACCACAGGGGTGCCATTGACACAAACTTTGGTGTCTTTATGCGCTTGAATTTGTTGTTCTTGTTAAAAACATGCGACCATGCACTGAGAATCAGTTAATTGAGTATTAAGAATTTTAATCGATTAAACTTGTGTCGATCAATTAATCGATGATCGATTAAATAGTTGATAAATTCGTTTTAAACACATTTGGCTTTGCTCATCTTTTTCTATATATTTTTATGACCATTAAGTCAATGACCGTGTTCCTAAGGCCAGTCCTTTCAAGTTTTAAACGTTGGAAATCGCTTATTTTAGGAACAAAATGTCAAGATTACTTTAGTACACTGTATCTAAGACTAACGCTACAATACGTTTTAATTGTAACCAACGGGTCAGATTTAAACACCAATTTATTACCCGTGCAAAAAAAGAAAAATGGGATAACATAAAAATACTTCAGGCTGGCGTTTGTTATTAGCAAATCTTTTGGTAAATTAAAGGCCAAAATAAGACCAAATAACGTTACAAAACTCACAGACTTATACTTTCATTTGCTTCTTTCATAATTTCATAATCGTTTCTTCAGCATTTTAAGTTTGCATTTTGTAATTGTACATGTGTAGTGTTGACACATAGATTCCGTGTTAAATTATTTGAATTATTGGAGAGTATGGTAGAAAAAAGATTCTCTGGACATTATGTCCCAAAAAGGTTACTTTATAAAGGTATCCATATTTCTTAAATGAGACACTCATTCTTTTCAGTATTGGAAGGTGTATATCATAAAGGAGACTGACGTTTATCTCAACACTGTTCACCCTGGGAACAATGGCCTACCTACACAAACAGAACCAATGCATGAAATCAACATTGACGAAGCCGAGGGAATCCTCAAAGATCCAGATAACAAGGAACGCCTGGTCCCTTCTGGGTCACTCTGCAGTTCATGGGAACCGTTTAGCGTCGACGATGGCCTTAGAACCAACCTAACTGCCATCTATACGAGATCTAGTGTCTGGGGGACTAAGATTGACGGTGACTGTCGTGCCCTTAGTACCGGTACCATCTACGAATGCCCAAAAGGACTTATGTATGATTTGGACTATTACGGACAAGAATTCAAGCAGTTAAAAGCTCATATTTTATCTCATGTGAAACACGCTCTTAAAGAGAGTAACATGAACAGGCAGTTGTATTTATGTGTGTTTTGCCCTTTTGAGATGTCTTTGGCTGATTTGGACGAGTTTATGTTAAAAGATATGGGATGGAAGCCCGAGCCTACCGATGAGACACCAGTCTATGTGACTATCACAAAACGACTTTGATAGAAAGTATTAATGAGGGGACATAAATGGTGATATTTGAAATACTGCACAATTAAAAAACACGAGAACATTAAACTGAATAAGTCAAACATCTTACATGTAGGATCTTCAAAAGGTTCGAGTTATGTGATTGGCATTTTGAAAATATAATACCAAAGTCCAAATTATTCCCAGACGATTATATTATATCCAACATATACTTATAAATTGACCATTGTTATTTTGGCATTTTCAAACATTTCCTTCAATTCTTAAACTGGCAGAACCCGGGGGGGGTACAGAAGGACTGAATTTATTAAACCGACAGAAGGACTGAATTTATTAAACCGATAAAGGAGTGTATTTCATTAACAGTTTTTTGACTAACTTTACTGCTATCTTTGGATATTACAGAAATTCAACGAAAAATGTTGAAACTACAAATATCAGCAAACATCGGTGAACAATATCACATCGATTCTTGAATAAAATAGAAAGTTTCCGGGATGGCGAATCCAAAATGGCCTACTTAACATTTACCCTAGCCTTGCCCAAGTCGGTCTCGTTTACTATCTTGATTTCTATAATAATTCAAGATCAGATAAGTAAAAAAATACCGACTTGGGCAAGTCATTTACCCCAATTCTAAAGTTCTTACCCTTTCTTAAAACATAGCAGTTCTCTTTTGTATTTCAAAATATATATATATTCTCTCATGCAATCCCTAATTGTAGTATAGAGTGCACATGTACTTTTAGTTAATTTGCTACTACTGAATGAAGTAATTCTACAATTTTTAGAATATATTGCATATTGGAAAAGCTAATTTCATCAAAGAAAATTCAGTCAGAATTGATATCTTTATCAATGAGTTTGCTTAGTTTAATTGACCAAACTAAAGCAGCACCAAATTAAGTAGAAGTACAGTACAGTATCAGTAGAAGTGTATCAAAACACCCAAGAAAAATAAATACATAATTTGTTGACTGTTATTGCGAGTATCCTTGCAGCATGCAAAATATAACCAATATATACAACACTTTAGAAGCTTATATAGGTTATACCTCGGAAGGGATTGTATATTGGATTTATTCAGAGCCATGAGGAATGATATATGTTTCTGAGGGAACCCCTATTTTTTTCTCTTAACATCAAAAATAAAAATGTCATCTCCGGTCTGATGGTTGGATCGTTCATTGGTTTATCCTTTGGGATGATATGATATCTTACCTCTGGATAAACCAAATATACAATATCTTCACAAGTATAACATATTTACCTCCATATAATACATGATTGAATCCTAAGCAATAAATAGGTATGTGACATCATATGATTATTTTTTAAACAAATTGTAATTGTTATCTACATAACAAGGTATTAACATGCAACCACCTGCCATTAGTTACAGACACTGAACACCTAACAACTGCCAAACACTGTCCACAAAAAGTTGGACACTATGACAATATGCCACCCCTTCTGGTGGTGACATAAAACTCAATCTTTGATAATTAATCATGAAAATTACAATAATTTCTCACCATGGATATCTACTTAGGTACAATCCCTTATAGTGATTTAACATGAAATTTCACTGTGTGATAATTTGGAATAACTTCTATCACAGACATATTACACAAAGTTGTAAATCGTCACAAATGTTTTTCCAGTAACAAAATAATTGAGTAAAATCCTTTGAGAATTGCGATCATGTACAAGTATATATACAATGCAATAATACTTACAATCATGTAATGTATACAATACATTATAATAACCATTTAATATATACAATAATCATTGAAGATAATGCAATAAAAGACACAATTATAAAATATCTGTATAATTTAAAACTGTCTTATAAATACTCAATATATAATTTCTAAAGGCTTATCTTTTAATCTCATGATTTAAAATGTGCTGATTCAGCAAATCTCAATGGCATAAAAAACTGTATGTCCAACATAATAAACAGGGTATTCATCAGTGTACTTGACATCTTAATACATTTGTTAAATCTGTTCCATAGCAACTCCCTATAGTAACCAGTGTCACATGATACTTATTTGTTTTGTGTTTTTTCCATGTAGAATCTCATCAAACATTGAGTGTCTCATGATGTGTACTTGTTTTCATATTTTTCCTCGCAGATTGAATTCACCAATCTGCAGAAGGTGTATCATAATGTTTATTTGTTGATAGTTTTTTCCTATTAGTTTACTTTAACTGTTGGCAAAGTTGGGTCTTGGACGGGATCAGGTGTCTCAGAAATAATATGATGACGTTTTTTCCGAGTTTTTTCATTCTTTTGTATTTTACTAGCTAAACTAAGAGGAGGTTGAAGTTTCTCAACTTTTGTAGAGTTCGGGTATTTTAATAGATTTGAAACTTTGTCCAGAAGTGTTCTGAAATGAGAAAATATCAACATTTTAGTTTCATACTTTTGTGAGTCTATATATGAACTATGAATATATTCTTACTGTGGAGGGTTAAAATACTTGTATTTATACATACATCATGGTAAATTGAAACTTTTCCATGAAGGAAGGAACAATTCTTTGATGAATTCAAAAGTAGCAAGTCCCATTGACTAAGATGTTAATGAACCTCTTTACAGGGAACACCTGTATACAACAAAAACAAACAGAACTGAGACTGTTCCATTTACACAGATTTGACTGTATTTAATTTTTATTTTATTTAATACCTTAGAACATTAAGTTACTTACTCAACACTAGTCTTAGTATCCCTTAGGTAAATGGTTTCCACATCTTCCTCATTTGGAGGTAGATTCTCCCATAAGACCTGTAATAAAAGAGTTATTTTTTAATTAAAGGCACTTGTTAGCAAAACTCGGTATACATGTATATACAACCAGTATACAACCTAAACCCCAATAATTAAACATTTCTTTCAAAATTATTAAAGTATTTCATACGGTAAAACTCAATGCATGACCTCCTTACCTTTATTCTAGCACCGACATTAAACCTCACACTGCGCTGCTTCTCAGCCATTGTAAGACCAATCTTCTCTTGTGACATCACACGCAGCCCAATCCCAGAGGCGACACCTATACAGATAGGTTGGAATGGAGGGGCATGAACGTGATCATGTTGGTCCTTCCAAAGCCATCTACGTTTTTTACTACCTTTGTTGTCCAACTCAAGGCCACCTAGTTGATCCAGCACTAACCTATTTAAGTAATTCAAAAATTAATCCATGCTAGGAGCTCACCATTAAGCAGGTGTCCAGAATCAGTACCTCTTTCTTCTTCCCTGCTATAACCAATTTGGAAGCACCCGATTTAACTGAATCACATGATCTAATTATGCGCAATGACATATTTCTGTCGCAGTGTTGCAACAGCCAATCAGATTGCGAGTACTTAAATGGGGAAATGCTAACTGCTTATCGCAGGGGGGAAAAAGAAAGAATATATTCTGGATTTTGAAGCCCTGTGATCGGAGGATGAGAGCTCATACGTCTCGAATTCCCGACCTCATGGTAATGGCAACAGGGACTACCTGAGCATGTTCAGTGCTCTAGAACACTCAGTATTGTAATCTGTCCCACGTACAAATGATTCTAATTGGTTATAAATTCTAATGTTTTTATATAGCCACAGAGCAAAATGGATTAGCTCTCTTATAATAATATTTTGCAGTGTTTTCATGAATAACTAAACGTAAAGATGGCGCTATACATACAGATAGTAGAAGGGGTCTTACCTTATACTGCCATCAGGATAGTAAACACTGGCATTGCCATTTGGTTCAAATGTTGCTAGTATAGGGGGTCTATCCTCACGGTCGCCATGGACGATATATGTGAACTGTCCTCGTTCAATGGATGAGATAGTGATAGCATTACGCCCAGAGGAGTAACTGATATAGTGTTAAGGATAAACAAGGTATTAACATGCAAAATGACACCACCTACCATTTGTTACAAACACTGAACATCAGCCATCGAATGATGAACACAAACCGCTAAATACTGACCACCAAACAACATCAGGAGACTGTCACAATATGTCACCACTTCTGAAGGTGATATAGCAACAACACAAATATGTAAACTGGTTGCAGTTACAAATTGTATCCACTTGTTACAGATACCGAAGTCAGTCACAAATATAAAAAATATAAAAGATGTTGACTATAACAACATAAAATTATTCTTGGTACGTTGATGATACAGCATATAAGGCCTGTGTAGGCCCTGAAGGATGGGACCATATTTAGTAAGATATCATTGTAAAGGATACAATACATTCCCAGTGCCATCAGGGAAGAGAGTGAGGAATGGCTGCCCATTGGAGTAGTTGCGTCTGATGAACATCTCTCGGTGCTGAAAGAGAAATGTTAAAAAATATAACAGTAAATCATGTCATATGCCTTATATGTCTTATATGGATCTGAAATATGGGGCATGTCGAATTACTTTTCTACAAAAGATTTGAATGAATGGTTTACAAATGGCAGACGATTTCCATCTGAGAAACTTCTGTTATCTTTTTGTAAATATATTCTTAAAGTAAATAAAAAATCAACAAATTTAGCAATTTATGGAGAGCTTGGGAAATACCCACTATATATAAATATATTCAAACAAGCTACTAATTTCTATAATCACATGTTAAATACGTCATACATCTTATTATCAGAAGCACTTACTACATCAAATGACTTATCAAAGATCAACAAGTCATCGTGGATGCTGAATTTTAAAAGTGTAATGGATAAATTAGAGGTAGTATCATTTTCAGGAAATACTCCCAGCAATATCAATAATACTTTAGATGTAAAAGAATATACTATTGACGCATCCGAAGTTGTTTGTAAATCAAAAATTAGTTTTGAAGATTATTGGCGAAATCAATTGAATTCCGACCAATGTCGCAAACTGAATACATACAAAATATTTAAAAGCAATTTCAGGTTCGAACCATATTTAGATTCAATTTCAAATGGGCATTTACGACGAAGTCTAACAAAGTTTCGTATCAGTAACCACAAATTAAAAATAGAAACGGGTAGATACGAACGCCCAAAATTAAAGATCGATGAAAGAATTTGCGAGGTTTGCAATTTAATAGAAAACGAAAAACACATAATGCGTTCATGTAAAAAATACAGTATATATAGAAAGAAAATGCTCGATAAACTTGTATCACACGGCAACCCAATTAAACACCTTTTCAACATGGAGGACGATTCACTTTTTTTCCAATATTGTATGTCTTGTGAAAATAAAGAAATTGAAATTGTAGCAGAATTTATTCATAAATGTAATATAACATAGAAGGGTGTGATATATGACATAAACAATGGACGCGTATCACAATCACCATTCATGTGCTTATCCATGATGCATATTTATTTGTTCATTTATTTAATTATTTATTTATTATGAAGTGTTAATTTTGTGTGTTGTTATATATACTGTTTTCTGTTGTATTGATATATTGTAAAATTAGTGTTTACTTTGTGTACACTTAACCTTTTATGGGTATGAATGTGTAATAAAGTTCATAAATCTAAATCTAAATCTATGCACGTTTTCAGCATGAAGAGTTTTAAAATTTATTACTTTCTTATTTTCTTAATTTACTTAAACAAATATTGTACTGAATCAATGTCTGCCATCCTCAAAAAATTAGTACCATGGGTACTGGGCTCACATGGTGTTGCTCAAAAATGAAAATAAAAAAGACGGGTATAATTTTTTGCAGATTTTTTGTGACAAAATTATTTCATACAACTACTCTTTACAAAGACATGGCTTTTTACAATGCAGGACACCTGAACTTATTTGTAAAGCTAGGAAATGGGCCAAAAGTGAATTTCCCGAGACAAAAATGGTGGCCATTTTTAAATTAGGCGAGATTTTGAAGCAGGAGTCACAGGTTTTTTTTCTTTATTGATGTTGAACAAAATTATTTTAAATCAGAAACCTATCTACAGAGGATTTAAAAAGGGTTAACAGAGGTTTAAAACTTGCCACTTTTTTGGACTTACTGAGAGACAGATGGACGAATCAATGTTAACTAAAATGGCTGAAAATAAAAAAACTGATATAATATTTTGCCGACTTTTTGTAAAAAATTATTTCATACAACTACTCTTTACAGTGACATGGCTTTTTACAATGCAGGACAGCTGAAATTATTTGTAAAGCTAGGAAATTGGCCAAAAGTGAATTTCGCGAGACAAGAATGGTGACCATTTTGAAAATAGGCGAGTTTTTGAACCAAGAGTCATAGGAGAGTTTTTTGTATTGATGTTGAACAAAATTAACTTAAAACAGGAATCCTATCGACAGAGGGTTTAAGTCAAATGGTCCAAAAGTGGATTTTGCGAGGAGACAGATGGACAAATCAATGTTAACTAAAATGGCTGAAAATAAAAAAAATGGATATTATTTTTTGCTGATTTTTCGTAACAAAATTATTTCATACATCTACTCTTTACATTGACATGGATTTTTACAATGTAGGACACTTGAAATTATTTGTAAAGCTAGGAAATAGGTCAAAAGTGAATTTCGCGAGACAAAAATGGCGGCCATTTTGAAAATAGGCGAGCTTTTGAGCCAGGAGTCATAGGGGAGTTTTCTGTATTGATGTTGAACAGAAATAACTTAAAACAGGAATCCTATCGACAGAGGTTTTAAAACGTGCCACTGTTGTTGACGGAAAATGGATTTCACAAGTCAGATGGACAAATCAATGTTAACTAAAATGGCTGAAAATAAAAAAATAGATATAACATTTTGCTGATTTTTTGTAACAAAATTATTTCATATATCTACTCTTTACATTGATGCAGATTTTTCAATGTAGGACACCTGAAATTATTTGTAAAGCTAGGAAATGGGTCAAAAGTGAATTTCGCGAGACAAAAATGGCGGCCATTTTGAAAATAGGCGAGCTTTTGAACCAGGAGTCATAGGGGAGTTTTCTGTATTGATGTTGAACACAAATAACTTAAAACAGGAATCCTATCAACAGAGGTTTTAAAACGTGCCAGTCAAAAGTGAATTTCGCGAGACAAAAATGGCGGCCATTTTGAAAATAGGCGAGCTTTTGAGCCAGGAGTCATAGGGGAGTTTTCTGTATTGATGTTGAACAGAAATAACTTAAAACAGGAATCCTATCGACAGAGGTTTTAAAACGTGCCACTGTTGTTAACGGAAAAGTGGATTTCACAAGTCAGATAGACAAATCAATGTTAACTAAAATGGCTGAAAATAAAAAAAAAGATATAATTTTTCGCTAATTTTTTGTAACAAAATTATTTCATATATCTACTCTTTACATTGACACAGATTTTTAAAATGTAGGACTCCTGAAATTATTTGTAAAGCTAGGAAATGGGTCAAAAGTGAATTTCGCGAGACAAAAATGGCGGCCATTCTGAAAATAGGTGAGCTTTTGAACCAGGAGTCATAGGGGAGTTTTCTGTATTGATGTTGAACAGAAATAACTTAAAACAGGAATCCTATCGACAGAGGTTTTAAAACGTGCCAGTCAAAAGTGAATTTCGCGAGACAAAAATGGCGGCCATTTTGAAAATAGGCGAGCTTTTGAACCAGGAGTCATAGGGGAGTTTTCTGTATTGATGTTGAACAGAAATAACTTAAAACAGGAATCCTATCGACAGAGGTTTTAAAACGTGCCACTATTGTTGACGGACGGACGGACGGACGGACGGACGGACAGACAGACGGACAAGTGAGTGATTGCAAAAGCTCACCATGTGAGCTAATAAAAAGGTGGAGGCCATAACAATATGTCATAACTTGTGGTGATGACATAAAAATGGTGGCTATAACAATATGTCACCTCTTCTTGATGGTGACATAAAAAGCCAGATTCATTATACTCACAGTTTGTTTCAAGGTCTCCCAAGCAGGGGACTCCTCAGTCTCAAAATACTCAGGATCATCTGGTATCTCCTCCAGGGGGCTAGGGGCCCTCAGGGTCCACCCTTCCTCCAGACATTTGGCACTAGACAACTGGTAGTTAATCGTCTTCATTTGTCTCGCAACTGTAATAAAGAAATTTGATAATTTAATAGTTTAAAGAATATATTTATAATTTTTACCTGTGAGTTAGTTAGTGCATGTTAGTTAAGTTGGATGTGTGTTAAAGGGTGCAGGGGTTGTATGGGGTGGGGGGGGGGTTACTTCTTTTTCTATCCACACTGTTCAAAGTGTAAATGTTCCATGTGTGGGGGCTGCAGGGATACTGGGGCCACATGGTGTTAACTTCTTAAGGTAGACCTCATACCAGTGATCTAATAAGATGAATAGGCTAGTAAGCATGTTTCAATTTGCAAACTTGGACCACCTTAAAATGTGTTATTGATAATACTTTTTAGCTGTCATTTTCATAGTTATACATAAACATTAGTTATTTACGAGGCCCGATCAGAAAGTAAGTAACCAACTGCTCTCATTTCTTCATACTTTATTCAATCACATTGAAGTTTTCACAGATGATGTAGAAAATATTAACCTATTAAAGAAGACCAAGGACAATGGGTTAGCGTCAATTCCATTGTTATTACTGTTGCTATGGTGACAGTTGTTTGGGTTAGGCGGGGCACCCTGTTTTAAGTGACGTTTGAAGATAATTTGTAGAGTTTTTCTACATGTTGTAATACTTCCAATTATATCAAATTCAAATGTAAGACTACATTTTATCTCATAGTCCTTCAAAATAATCGCCACCAAAGTCAATGCAGTTGAGGCAATGTTTCACTCCATCCTTAAAGAAGTGCAACATGGCAGCATTCAATGACTGCAAACTGCCATTGAAAGTTTTAATGATGGCCTTATTGCTGTCCAAATGGACTCTCCATAACAACATCTTTGCATTTGGAAAGAATTTGGTCACATGGGACCAGGTCTAGGGAATAGTGAGCCTGGGGTAGTTGTGTGACCATGGAAAAGGCTTAATCTACTGTATCTTCGGTTATGTTGGCTCAGTCGAGGTGGACCATTGTCATCATGCCAGTAAAATCCCCCTTCAACAACATTTGACTGGATTGAAACTGTGACTGAATCTTGACCATCATTATATGCACTATATGCACTTGATATCTTTGTGTCGATGACTTATAAATGAGACAATGGATCATAGTTACCATTGTGATAATACATAACACAAATTATCCAGTCTTGCATTAAAAAATGTTAGGTCATTTGGAGGAATACAGCACGTAAAAAACTCTACAAACAATCTTCAAAAGCCGTTTACAAAAGGGTGCCCTGCCTACCCAAAACAATCATCACCATAGCAACAGCCATAACAATGGCATTGACGCTAACCCATTGTCCTTGGTCTTCTTTAATAGGTTAATATTTTCTACATCATCTGTGAAAAGTTCAATGTGATTAAATGAAGTATGAAAAAATGAAAGCAGTTGGTTACTTACTTTCTGATCGGGCCTCGTAGACTCAAACAATGTTGCCTAAATTTAATGAATGATTACAAAATCTGTAATATAACAAATATAACAGTTTTACAATTCAGAAAGTTGTTTAAAATTATAAAATATAATAATATTCAAATTCCAAACCATTTCTACTATCTATAAAACAACTAAAAATAACAAAATAGTATAGAGTCAAACAATTCAGAAATTGAACAATCTCCACGTAAAACCATGACCAGATGTTTCTTGGAAAAACAAAAGTCAAAATTGACATAAAAATATCTAAATATTATGTACCTACATGTATTTGAAATTGTTTACTTTAAAAGACAACGGTTTACATGGAAATGAGACTAATTTTTATTTATGACATACAAAACAACTAAACAAACAATCAGACAAACAAACAAAAACATTTAATGAACTACATGTACATAAGCAATGGAAAGTAAACAAATTACAACACTCAACGTTTACTTTTTAACTTAAACAATAAAGATACTCTGACCCCAAGTTGGCTTCAAATAGAATGCTCATTATTGTTTCCACATCATCATTCTTCACTTGACACTATAACATGCAATTTCAAACAATTACGAATAACAGTAAAACTATTGTGTAGTATAGTCTAACCTGGCGCTCTGTCTGTAGGAGGTTGTGTGGAAGCTTATAGAGGAAATGTGCATGCTTATTATAAATAATACAACCATTCTAATTAAACATTCATTCTACTTGTATGTTAACATTCATTCGTTCCAATCATTAAATATATAACAGATATATAATGAAAGTCAAAATTTTGTAGAAAAGATAAGTGCAAAAACTGTTTAAAATTTAGTTATAACAGAGGCGAGGCTAAGTTCCAAAAGGTGAGGCAAATATAGAGAGGTGAGGTAAAACCTAAGCCAAATAGAATATTTTGCATTTATGGGACTCAGTTTTAGTTGAAACTTATCTAAAATTATTTTTCTATAAAATTCTAATGAGGCAATTGCCTCTCCTGCCTCATAGCTATAGCTACATTCATGAAATTCATGAATAAGGACTTTAACCTAATGTGTCTGAATGATATCTTTTAAGGCTTAAGCTTTCTAGAGCCATTCTGGAAAATTCATAGACTGACGATGTGAGTCCTTGCAATTTAAAATCCTATAATTTTGTAAAATCAGAATAACATTTCATTAAAGTGTAAGACTTGTTGTCTTCCATGCATATGGTGTATTTTTAATGGTAAATAATAATCCATGCAGTGTTGTATAAGATACAATACATTATTTACATTAATACTGGGTGTGTTGTTACAATGATCATTTCACATTCTACCCACTTTGTCACCAGCTGACCTCCTTAAGGCATCTGTCAATCAAACTAAGCAATTTAATCTTGATTTCTAATTCTATCAAAAATTATTCATAAGTTACAGTATTTTACAAGTTCCCATTGATGGATAACCAAATATGGCACTTTGTACTTTAAATGGCCAAATATTGCATTAATCCATCCATCATTAAAAACATGACAAAAATATGGATAGCAGTATTAGAAAATACAATTATGAATGGGTAAATATAAAGTTATAAACATTATTCCAATACTGCATTTTTAATAGTATTCAATGACACCAAATATGGCACTTACAATTAGCGTAGAAGTTCTGCCCGCCCTGACCAGCAGCGCCACCTGGTCCCCCAGATGTGAGGTGCCCTGCTGCAGCCTGTTGCATTTTGAGCTCACGCTCCCTCAACCTGAAAACATATCATTGAATTAAAGCCTTAGCATTTATGATGTAAGAAAGGGTTACCAGCTGAGATTCAAAAGTAGGTGAGGCTGATTCAAATAGTGAAGCTGATTCAAACTGGTGAGGCATTGAGCCAAGGTGAGAATTTTTTAAAACTTCTTCAATACAATTTTTACCATTTTAGTTGAAAAATGTTTAAACAACAATCAACTATCTGTTAAATGTTAGCAAGGCTTCCTCCAGGCTAGCAATACACCATTATTTTGACATGATTTTGACCAGTAAATGTGGATTCTATATTATACAGTAAGTATATCTAAATGCAGAGATGGTAAAGAACACATCATTTGGGGAGTCACTTTTTCACTTCTTAATTGATTGAGGGATTCATTAAAAAGTTAGTACATCATAACTGATACTTTATACAAACATTGAAAAGGTAAAAGCAAGTTGTAATACAGATACTTGATAGAATATACATGTACATAATTGAATTATAATTTGAAATCTCTATAACACAAAACAAAACAAGGCATTAACATGCAAAATGTCACCACCTACCATTTTTTACAGACACCAACCACTGAACAACAACTGCTGAATGTCGAACAAAAAAGCTAGAGACAATAACAATGTCACCATTTCTGGTGGTGTCATAATCACTGCACAACATTTACAGGCAATTTCTCGCATGATGGTAGATAATTCCAGGAATCATGCAACTTCATAATTTTTCATGAGATTTAAAAAATATACTTGAAATCATAATGTACCATAACACATACAACTATCATTGCAATTTTATTTCTGGAAATACACAAACCTCAGCACAAAATGAGAACACTGTAGTAATCTCCAGATACACGTAGCTCTATTAACACCTATGAACGTTAATGCACTTTACATGTAGCTGGTGCTAGCAGTGTTCTAATTGAAAGGCAGTGATTTTACTGTAACTGTTTGTGCATTTTCAGTATAGAATCCATTGGTTTACATGACATGCATCTTATAAATTCAATTCAAACAAATTCAATTGCTGAATGTATTCTTAAGATGACAATGTATGACGCAATACTTCTTAGAAACAACATAAACGCCAAACAATGATTTTGGACACAAAAATCAACATGTATGTTCTAAATATTCAATGTAAACACAAATATTTCAGCATTAACACTGAATATCAGTGTACACACAATTCAGTGTACATTAGTTTCTATGTATACCTGAATCAGTGTAAACATGATTCAGTATATAATTGAGTTAGTGTTCACTTGATTTTATGTATACTTGAATCAGTGTACACTTCATTTGATGTATACTGTACTTGAATCAGTGTACACTTCATTTGATGTATACTGTACTTGAATCAGTGTACACTTCATTTGATGTATACTGTACTTGAATCAGTGTACACTTCATTTGATGTATACTGTACTTGAATCAGTGTACACTTCATTTGATGTATACTTGAATCAGTGTACACTTCATTTGATGTATACTTGAATCAGTGTACACTTCATTTGATGTATACTTGAATCAGTGTACACTTCATTTGATGTATACTTGAATCAGTGTACACTTCATTTGATGTATACTTGAATCAGTGTACACTTCATTTGATGTATACTTGAATCAGTGTACACTTCATTTAATGTGGGTATACTACATTCAATGCACTACACTTAATGGCAGTAGAATACCTCTGTGCTTCTCGCTCTTGTTGCCTACACATTGGAGAATAAAACAGGATTAGTTCTTACAGATTGCGTATTTGCGTAACAAATTTTTCCTATACCAGTATTGTTCATACATTTGGGGCCAACTTGTAAATTTTGATTTCCACTGCACTAATGTTGGCATTATTCATTTTCACTTTAAGTTTATTGTAACCCCCATTTAATTAAGGTCAAATAAATCAAAATTATTTTTTCATGTACCTGACTTGTGCTCGTTCTTTTGCTTCTCTTCTTTGAGCCTTGCTGCCATAATGCGGATGAGGCTTTACATCGATCTTTTCATCCTCGTAGTATTTCTTATGTAATGGGTGAGTCAACGTGAAATGTACGAACTCCCGATAATCATCACAACAATATAACTCCTCCGGGGGTAATCGGTCCTGCTGTTCCATTGTCGGAAATGGTTTGATTGGCTGCTCACAAAATTCACACATTCCATCAAACATCGATCCAGCCGATGTAAGATTACGTAAGAATGCTTCATCATCTTCTTCTATATCTTGTATGTTTTCGTCTGTTCCGATTGCATCACGTATGTTAGTTCGATTTTCAGGGTCTTCCCCATCTTGATACTGAGCTTCCGATTCGCGAATATACTACAAACATAACAATGTTAAATATGTATAAATGGTGTGTGAGAATGACGGTATAGAAAATCAATTATACAGCTACCACATATATTGGGAGCGCTATTTAAAAGTTGATTTAAAAAATGCACAAATTACTAAGAATACAAACTTTCAATTTTCTTCTTATTTACGAGAATCACCTTCTTTAAAAACTTCTCTTCAAAAAAGCATCGCAAGAGATGTATATGGCACACACTGATATAAAATCTCTTATCCTTCTCTACAGGTGCCTTGATCTCCCGTTCTTTCTTCTCACGTTCCAGTTTCTCTTGTGCAAGTTTTGCCGTAACATATGGGCATTGAAAAAAGGTACTATCTGGTGCCTTGGGTTTCTAGAGGAGATGAATAATAGAAATAGAGAAAACAAAGAATAGGAGAGAAATATAAAGACACAAAGCTCTTATTAGGTCGGCCCCACATATCAATAGCGGTCAATTGACACATTTAATTTCATCTTCAGTTTATGTGATTCCTGTGACCTTTGTTTGAAACAAAAGTCATTGAGATTTTTTTGAAATTGAAATTTCACTTTTTAGTCAAAAGGAGATGGTGGGGTAAAATTACAATAAAAGAATTATGAAATAAAATGGTGTCATTTGACAGCATTAATATTTGGCTATCTTAACTATAGGTATCTAACAGAGCCAGATAAAGGACACGTACAATCTTTGTGCTCCTGCTTCTCAAGTTCTAAGGAAGGACTGGTCAGACAATTTTAGACAGCGATGTCAGTTCATAACGATTTAATCCTCCATATTCAGTCAATAATGACATATTCATATGTCAAAAACTTATTGTCCTATTGTTCTTCCTTAAAGTTGGGCCACATCAAAATCAAAAGTTAACTAGTGTTAAAAGATTGTTCACAATAGCAAGCAAGAAGGAAAGCCCAGACAGAGGTATACAGTGTTAGGTGCAGGCTGCAATAAGAAAAGAGAAGGTACAATATGAGAGGTAAACATGGCACAGATGGTATTGCTATTGTTAATTTGGTGCTCTTTAATTTTGTGAAATGACGGCATAAACGAAATCAATTTAAATTATTTGTATCATTAGCATCATGTAAAAGTTGAAAATTATAATCTAGGACAACATGACAAACAACCTAAAGTGTTCAAAATCGCCAAATTTAAGATAGCTCTAACATTGTAACAGTAAATGACAGACTGGTAGAAGTTAAAGTGGGAGGAAAGACAGCACATCAGTTGTAAGCATTGACAGGCAGAGACAAGCAAAAGATGTCCAAATCATCAGATCATGTCTTTATTACTCAAAGAGCAGAATATTCCTAGAATCAATGAGAATCATATTACTTCTCATTATTTTAATAAAATGCCCTCCTAATGGATGCAACAAAGCCCTCTAAAGTACAAAACAATGACCAAAAATCTTTTCAAAAAAAAAAAAAAAGCACTAAATGGTAATAAGCTGTTTGATTGAACATCATTTGCCTATACTAAAATGCCCTCAACATGGATGCTACAAAGCCCTAAACATTTAGGCTACAATGCCCTCAATATGTAGACTACAAAGCCCTCAGCATGTATGCTTAAATGTCCTTAAACTATACCTGAAGTATTTGAGGTGGACCTATACTTGGCATAGGTTCATCTGTTTCATCTTCATCATCATCAGATGTCTGCAATAAATCATTAATTATGATTGTGATTATCTAATTACAATTAATTAATTACTTATATTGATAAACTAACCGATTCTTACCTTTCATTAAGGGTTTTAAAGCACTAAGCAGTCTTATATAATATTTCAACATTTCTAATGAAAACACTTTACGTTTAATTATTTCTCCATTAAAGGAACTTATCATCATATATACAGTGGGAATTCATAACAAGTTTTTAGAATTTATCAATTAAAATTGAATAACAAGTCATTAAATTAATCACTGAGGTGGTTGTTTCTTAGTATGTACAAATCTTAATGAACTTGATTGAATGTGACTATGAAACATAAATCAATAAAATACAAAAATAAATCTTCATTAATGTTTTGCTAATAAGCCAACTTTTCAGCAAATGCATAGAATTGGGTTATCTAATTTATTGAATATAAATTGTATAAATCAAAAGATAATTGAATTAGATTTGATGAATATTGCAGAGGACTTACATCAGAATCACTACTGAGTTCCAGCAGTGGAATCCCATATTCATTGTCATTTGGGTTAAAAGGTGGCGCCACTTCATCTGGCTTGTCAGCCTCTTCCTTTAGAGATTTATCACCAGGGGTAACCCCACGAGATCTAGGTGTTTTACCACCATCTCTTGGATCAAAAGAAGCTGAAATAAAAGAATTACATGTAGGCACTACACTTTTGCTGAGTAAATGAATAAACACAGGGAGCACACGCGTTTCAAGCTCGCAACCTCGTGGTTACGGCGCCCAATCGCCTAGCTCGAACGTGCCGGCGCCCAAGCCCTATCGGCCAACTAGACAACCCCAGAAAAGGTTGTTTTGTCAGTCGATCTGACTAGCTAGAGGCAGCTGATGTTAACGCTCGAACACACCAGAGGAAGCACAAGGTTGTCTCCAAGTTTCTGTTTTTGTAGTCTAGCTACTGTACAAGCCCTTGTGACCCCCCCCAAATCACACATCTACCCACAAGTGTTGTGTTGGTGAATTAAGGGGGAGGGGGGGTGTCAACAGTCTTGAAGCAAGACTACTAATCAGGTATAATTGATATAAATTGTAAATTACATTGAAAAAAGAAATACTATGGAGTTTGTGGATTATTGAAATGATGGGCCCAGAACTAAGCTTTAAAAATATTTCAGCGTCGTTTGTATTATTGAACACAATTTTTGCTGACTTGTTCAGCTCACTACATTTACTTGCTGTCAAAATTAGTAAGGGGTTTTGGAATTGAGTATTGTATTTTGTGTTTTTAAAATTCTTTCATTCAATTAATTGCATAACATTGATTTCATCACAGTATTTAATATTGCAAAAATTTTTATTCAAATAGTCACCATGGCACTATATCTCAAAATACATGTCAAGAATTAGTAACCATTACATTTAGAAACATTCAAATAGATCCTCACACACTTCATCACTACTCTGGAAAAGTTGTGAATATCATGTTCAGTTTTGTTTTTACCGTACCTTCACTCTCATCTTCACTGTCTGGAATCCCATCATCAGCTAACTTGGTTAGTTCTTTCTCTGCATTTGAGCCACTCTCTGTTAGCCAAACAGTGTGAAACAGTTATTCAAACAAACAGACAAAAGTAATTTGATTCAGTGATTTGAGCACAATTTTTGGGGATGAGATGGAGTGTCACCATAACCTTATGGGACAGCACCATTGTACGTCTTTCGAAGTCTCATAATGAAATTAATTTTGTTTAACCAATCAGAACTTTCCCATTCACAATTTCCCAGACTTTGCAGATGATGTGGATTTTCCGACTTCATAAACCGCACATCTGAGACAGGAGTACCATTTATTTAAATGAGACTTTGAGAAAGGTACAGTGCAGGTCATGTGATCATATTTCATAGATTTGATTAATTGAAACCATATATATTTGTGAGAATAATCAACAATCAATCGGCTAAAATTGTTCAAAACTTTAGTGCATATTAGATCACAGTAATAAGTTCTCAAACAATAGCACAAATTCAAGGGATTTTAATGTTTGTGAATAGAGTACATGCAGTTTTCTTCCACCCTTTTATTGGTTGTTTTACTGTGTAAAACAGAGTTTGTGTAAAATTATGAAGCAAGGAAGAATATAGACACGCATGCAACACACAAATGTGTATAGAAATAAACAATATATACAATAAATGATGTGCATTCAATTTTAATCTTATGGGGAAAATTGCAAATTGTGTGAGACCACTGACCATATATGGAATTCACATTCCATTATGTGATTGCAACTAGGGGTCCCAAACTACCATCAAAATATTGATTTCTTCACTCATTTAATGGCAAGGTTTTTATGTTGATCGCATACTCATATAATCATCAAGAATTTTTTCAAAAGAAATGACCTTGTACCATGGTATTTTACATGACTTATAGTTGCTGTATCGTACATGTATATTGAATTACATTTTGAAAGTGTCTTGTATGATATAACAACTCATTAGCATTATACTGATATACAGTAAAACTTGTTTAAGTTAACACCTTTGATACCTCTAAAAAGTGTTCCACTTAGGAGGTGTTCCTAACAGAGGCTACTTAATCATCAAATCAGTTGGTCTTGTACACTGAAAAGATTTTCACTGTACAAATCTCTGATGTATTGTGGGACCCCTATTTACAACCAAGTACATTATAAGGGCATACATTAACACTACACAACCTACCTATTGAACTATGACGCCTGTCTATTTTAGATGGTGTTTCACTGCGTTCTTGCAGTTGTTCTAACCTCTTCATGTCTGTTAACCATGACCATTCAGTTTGTGTCTCCATGGTAAATGTTGCTGTTTTCTTGGGTTTGCTAGCACTGAAAGAGTTAAGATGTAAAACTATCAAAAACCTTTACCTCCAAATTTTGAGTAACACTATATAATATGTATTATGTAGGTATTATTTTACTAATTTATAAATCAACAATAAAATGTAAACTGTCTGGCATTTTTGATGGAGTGAAAGGGATGATGTTACAGTAGTAGAAAGAGTAATTTAAACTGTAGTTTACCTTCCCTCACGGGAAAATGACACTGATTTTCTTCGTTGGTCTGGAGGAGGGACATCATCTTCGACTGACATTTCCCTACGATATGACACAATCCGAGGGCGAGCTTTTGAGGCAGAGTTTGTTTTAGAATTTTTGGCTGAATCTAGAAAACATACAATAAATTGTTACATTTTTTTGTCATTTGACAAAAAAGTAAATGGGCTCGGTTTTTTTTGTCAAGATTTCTTTTAAACCAATAAAAATTTACTTACCATTGCTCCCATCACTATTTGCAGGGCTCACTCGTCCTGATACTCGATCCTTGTTGCCGATGGGAGGAAGGGGAGGTTTAGGGGAGCTGACTTTAATAGGTTTATCATCAACATCGCCAAGAATTTGGCTGCTTGGTCTGCTCCCTTTTGGAGTTTCTCTCCCTGTTCTCACAGGTCCTAGAACCCTGGGGGTAGCGTCATTGGTTCCAGGTTCCTCAGGGACATGTTTTTCAGGTTCGTGTATCCTTGGGTTGTCCTCATCTGAGGTCTCACTTTCAATATTTAAATCCTGCAAAGGAGACATGCATACATATACATGTGCTGTATGACCTCATCTTGTTGAGGTCATTGTCTAGGATGCCACCATGGGCTTTCACAGATTTATTTTACAACATGTAGATCTACATGTATGATGTAGACTAAAGTAAAATGTATGTAGCAGCAGTACTAAGTTGGCTAAAATGTGATTTGTTATAGATTCATCAACAAAACCCAGAAAATTCAACTTGAAACATGAAAAAAATAACAAAGTCTAATGCTCTTTCACTGTAGGATAAATATCAGTAGTTACAGTAAATCACTAGACCTCTAATATTCATGAAGCTATATACTAACTTACCATATTGCTGCATCATCGTACAATACTGTAATTTATACATTAAACCATAGCTATTTAGCTGAATTTTAAAACTCCATTTGTTTGATGTGGTGATGGTGATTATCACGTGATCAAATTAGGATCAAATGATTGGTTGATCTTCTAGCGTAAAGCAATCTAATTTTAAATTACGACTTAATCACGACATCAGGAAAGAACTTACTTACGACACATGTTATTTTTCAAAACGTTAAAAAGTCAGTTTTTTGTTCTTTTACAGCATCAAACTACCAGTCAACATGAATCCCATGAGGTAAGAATCATGAGGCTATTACAGTGCATCTTTTGTGTGAATTGTGTGCGATTTGAAAGAGTTTTACATCCTTATTCAACCCAATCTTGGAAAAATTGATGTGATTTTTTGTAAATTTTTTTTTAAAAAATGAAAAATTATAGATTTCCTCCCCAATTTGTAACCTGCGTGGTATAAACAATGTACATGTATTTGTAAGGTACTGTAGAATAAATTCCTCGTATCAATCTGATAGAAACTAGTATCTAGCCAGCATCATCTTTTTTAGTGATATTGAGCAGCAGTGACTCTACAGTGGGGGACAAAAATAAAACTCAACGTTCACAAGTTGTCACAATGAGCTAATTTCCAAGTTTCGTGTCTCAAACTCTCCCAAGTGGTAGAAAAATAATTCCCGTTCACTAAAGTAGCACAATAAATGAATCCAAAGCTTCATACCTGCAAATAATGGATAAATCCCAGAGCTGTCAAGTGTCCCGCGAATGGCGGGATTATCCCGCGAATTTGACCAAAATTTGGCTTATTCGCGTGTCCCGCAATGTCCCGCGAATTCCCGCAAATGACGGCTTTGACCTCCGCGAATTTTCAAAATTGTAACAATCCCCGAGGCTAAATAATTGTGATTATATTGTGATATAAGAAGCTAAGCTTTTTGCACTTTTGAGGAGTCAAGTTTACCTAATTTGAAAAGTGCTGCCGAACTCCCAGTGCATCAGATCATCGAAGACTGCTTTTGGAAGGAGCATATAGTACACTTATAAAACTATGATTTTGATCCAAATAACACCATAGTTGGCTTCTAGCATGCCGTTTGGTATCAAAATAAAGAGGAAGAGTGCAAATTTCATTTTAATTACGGAAAAGGGATGTATGTCACGATTAGTTCCAACGTTGGCCTTTTTACTACGCGTGTCACGGCCTTCATCTCAGAACTGAACGAATGTTAGCAAACGCGAGTTCCAATAAATGGACACTGATATCTCGAAAAGAAACCTGACTCCCCATAATTTGATGTAGAATAATCGAACCCCTATACGAATAGGTACATTTTGATATATAACACTATGGGGGTAAATGTTTCATAGTTGGTCACGAACGCCATAAGTGCAAAGTATTCACAAGAATTTTTGAATTTCGTGTCGGATTACGGTACTCACACCTAAAGCGTGGTTTTTGATAGTTTAATAATAGTTCTATGCGTATTGTGTGTAATTGTGTGGAATTGTGTTGACGTTTACTTAAGTTAAGTGCATTATATTTGATAAATCAGTATCTGAAAGTTTGATTCAAGAGTACTTTTACATTAAAAATCCCTTGAATGTCCTGCGACATCCCGCAAAAGGTGGATGTCCCGCAAAATCCCGCGAATTTAGGGCACTTTGTCTGGAAAAATTATCCCTCTCTGAAGTCTTTGGTGGTTACCCTGTTAATTGTCCCGCAAGTAGCGTGTTTATCCCTCGAATGGTCCCGCGAAATCCCGCGAATTTGATCAAAATTTGACCTTTTAGCGCAATCACGCAAATCCCTTAAATGTCCCGCGAAATCCCGCGAATTTAGGTGGACGTCCCGCAAAATCCCGCTAATTTTTGGAACTGGGTCTAAAAAATCTGTCCCGCGAGAAAATCTTTGGGGGTTGACAGTACTGAAATCCCTACCAAATCGAATGAATGTTTTCATGAATCGCCATGTTTGTTATCCAAGGACGGTTGACTCCCAGCATGCAACATCAGTTAACCGTATTTACTCATGACAGGTTTCAAAATGGCGGAACAGCATTTTGAAAGCTGGCACGTGTCATGTTGCATTCTGGGAGCCAATCCTCCGTTCCGGCGCAATCGGGCGACAAAATCACCTCAATATTTGAAGAGTCGGCATAACATGTGAATATCCACTTCAACTTTTGAAGTTCTTATTTGTCATTAGGGACACAAATTCCACTATATTTGGACTTACTATGACGGAGAAAATAGAGCACTGAATACACTGAGGTAAGAATTTATTACATGTGCGACAGCATGTAATTTTCATAGCTTTTGCAATTCTTTATGATCCCCACTGTAGCTTTCACCTCCCTGTGTACCATTTATAATCAGATCTTTGTGCCAGAACCTGTTTTAGGTTTAAATCCAAAATGTTGGAAGTTAGACATATTGAGGACATGGGGGCAACATCAACCATGTAGGTAATTGTCGGACAAATGACTGCATACAGTATACTGAGTGTCTGACAATTACCTACATGGGCAACATTTTCTCCCTGTACTCTACAGTGTACAATATCTGAGAATGTTTAAAATTTGGATATTTGTTTCCAAACTAAAAGCCTTGCAACATACCCATTGGAAAACTCTCAATTTTTATCTGTGATAAATTACATGTAATTCGTAAGAAACAAATATCCAAAATTTAAAAATCAACAAATGCTAAAGCCTTCTACAAGGCTAGGGCAGGAGCTTGAGGAATTTGCAGGAAACGGAGAAAAAATTACCCTACCACACATGCTATACAGATATGGTTGTACTGGCGAAATAAGTTACTTGTTTTTGTTAGAAGATGCAGCAAGTTGTCTCAGCAATTCAAAAAAATTATTCCTCAAGAATGTTTGGTGTTATTTTTCAGCAATATCAAAGGGACGCAAAAGATCAATGAGCGAGAGTTAGAGCTTGGATTGACAGGCAGCAAGACATCCTGGCATGGTAAATACAAAGACAGCGCCTGGGTGTTCATGGGGGGCATGCCTTATGATCTCACTGAGGGTGATGTGATATGCATCTTTTCACAGTAAGTAAATTATCATATTAATTGTGACATTTAACTGTTTGATGTTAGTACCATTATGTAGTGTGGTGCTGGCCACGTTTTTATGCAATTTTTATCACAAATTTTATGCTTGATTTTGATCAGATTCAATGCCAGTGTTTGTTTTTTTATATTGCAGGCATACTTATTTTATACAGTTTTCACTTGTTTGTATTTCAGTCAATCAGATGCAAAATGCATGGAATATAAATTTTCCATGGTTGATAAGTTAACGCATTTATATTCCACTTAGACACTAGTATCAGTAAGATAGCTCTCTTTGAGTTGGATATCTGAGCTTGACTTAGGGATTTCATTTGCATTTCTTTCAACAGTCAAAATGAGAAAAAAAATTGGCAAAATCGATAAAAAATATTGGCTGGACCATGGGCTAGAATTGAAAGCCCATGGCTGGACATTCATGTAAATATCCACATACATTCTTATTTTTCATTATCATTTAAAACATGGTGAGCAAAAATGGGATAGCCAGGGTCCAAAAATAGGCAAGGACAATATCAAAATATGCTAGACAAAAGACACTGAGAAATGTTGTTAATATCAGACATCAATATCAAAATCTTCGGTAAGAATCAATCTAATAAATATATCTGTAAATTTTGTTGAGGCGATTGCCTCGCCTGCCTCATGCCTGGCTACGTCCATATGTATGATGTCTCCCATTGAAATGATATACTTCAGTGATCTCTCAAGCATTAAGGCAAGTGGGCACAGTACCCACCTGAGATTTTTAAAACAGGCTTGCACCCACCTGAAAATTCATTTGCACTCACTTGAAAATGAGAAAAATCATGAAAAATTGGCATATTTTGACCAGTTTTGGTCTGAATTGTGAAAATGAGAATTTTGCATCCACTTGAGAAAAAATCCTGCGGAGAACACTGTACCTACATGTAGTGCTTTTATTTCAGGTATGGCGAGGTAGTGAATATTAACTTAGTGAGAGATAAAGGGACAGGAAAGTTCAAAGGATTTGGTTTCCTGTGCTACCAAGATCAAAGGAGTACAGTACTTGCTGTGGATAACTTCAATGGCACCAAGGTAGGTCTCTAATACATGTTTAAATTGCTATGTATTTGCACATTGTTTATGGTTTTTTCAAAAGCAGATGTCTTTGAAGCATGTATGCCTATTCAACAAGAAATCCTCCTCCTTCAGAAGGAGGCATTTTGCACATTAATACCTTGAACTTTATCTAGATTTCTTTAAAACAATGAAAAAGTGCAAGTAATAAGGTCCGGACTGAGAGTGAATGAGTCAATTTGATCTACAATTTGACATGATTTGCGATAACATTGAAATATGGACCTCAATGCTTCACAGGTACCTTTTGTACACGTATATCCAAGTACACCCCCAAAATGCAATCTGCTTTTGGTCGCCGTTTTGGTGCCGGAACAGTGCCGGAACAGCGCCAAATTTTTGCGATGCTGAATCAGCGCCGAATTATATTGGCTGTGTAGCTCTGACATCCATATCATTGATACAATATATTTACAGATCCTAGGCCGCACTATCAGAGTTGACCATGTTGAGAACTACAAGGTCCCAAAGGAACATGAGAATGACGATGATGTCACTGCTCAGCTAAGGGATGAAGGATGTGCCCCACAATTACCATCATCAGAGAGTGAAGAAATAGAGGAAGATTATACTGCTTTCAAACCTAAGAAAGGTGCAAACAAATATTTCTTTTCACCATGGTTTCAAATAATGTATAGTGTATAATGTATATAATAAGATTAGCCTGACAAAAGATAATGTTGATTTTGGAAACATTTTAGGCAGTTATGATCAAAGATAAAGTTAAAAATCGGGAGAATAGATAAACTATTATAAATTGTATGTACATGTAGCTCATTTTTACATGATATGTAATATAAAAAATAATTCTTTTCCTCTGGTTTTAATTCTGGAATCAACCAATTCTGAATGAATTAATATGCGAAACTGAATGTGAGAAATTTTTTTTGTTTTATTGATTTATTAATTCCAGATAAGAAAGTTAAAAAGAAGAAAAAGAAAGAAAAGAAATCCAAGAAAGCCAAAAAGAAGAGAAAAGAAAGCAGTGATTCAGACTCATCGAATTCATCAATAGAAGAAATCAGATCGTCAAAAAAACTAAAAACGCAACACAAAGTTGATCTCGATAGACTTAAAACTGAAAAAGAGGATAAAGCTTATGATAAATATGCAATAAAATATGATCGTAACTATGACAATAATTCAAGAAATCAGCAAATCCCAAGGAGAAAAATTAAGAGCGAAAAAAGACGCCATGATGAATCATCATCATCTGAAGAGGAAGTTATGTCTAAAAGGCGAACTCATAATAAAAATGAAACAAAATATAGTGATAGAGAGTTTAAACCCTCAGGACAATCCAGATATAAAGACAGAGAAACGTATTCTTCAAGGGACCAAAATCGAGACACTGAACTAGAAAGACATAGGGACAGAAATAATTATAATGCCGATGAACGTAAAAATGGGAGAGAAGTTGATAGGAATGGTAAAAGGGAAGAGGAATCGTTTAGGGAAAGAAAAGGGCATGAATCTACACGGAATAATAGAGATACATCAAGGGATGATAAAAGTCGAAGACCTAGAGATGTAGAGGGCAGATCAAGGGGTACAGAGGGCAGATATAGGGATACTGAGGTCAGATCAAGGGATACTGAGGGCAGATATAAGGATACTGAAGGCAGATCAAGGGATACTGAGGGCAGATCAAGGGATACTGGGGGCAGATCTAGGGATACTGAGGGCAGATCAAGGGATACTGAGGGCAGATCAAGGGATATTGAGGGCAGATCAAGGGATATTGAGGGCAGATCAAGGGATACTGAGGGCAGATCTAGAGATACGGAGGGCAGATCTAGGGATAGGGATGATGAAACAAGGGATCATAGAAGGGAAAGGGATGATTCAAGGGAAAGAAAACATAGGAGATGATTCATTGGATGACCTTTGCATTAATTGTAAATTCTATTATTTGTCTCTCTTAGTACTAATTAGCGTCATTTGAGCTGGAAAGGTTTATGCAGGAAGTTTTGAAGTGGTGGCATATTGTTATAGTCTCTAACTTGTTCGGCAGTTGGTGTTCAGCATTCGATGGTTATTGTTTAAACTTGGGCAAAATCGCCAACTTGACATTTCAGTTTAAATAAGCAATGAACATTTTGATTGAAAACATACTGGTCAACATACATGTATCCCAATTTTTCAAGATTTCCCCAATTATTGATATAAATTCCTAATAGTCTGCTGATTGTTCCCTCAATGACAATGCTTCAATGAATGAATGATTGAGATACTGACATATTCTTTATTTTATACTTCATGGCAGAGGGATTTCCTCAGATCATACTCATAAATATGTACTACTAGTGTACTGAAATGTAACAATTGCAACATTACAACTTGATGTAAATTCAAATGAATATATATATTTATTTATATATTGGCAAAATAAATCAACATGGATTACAGATATTTGCAAATAAACTTCTTTCTGTGTAATAAATGATTCAATTTATTAATATTTGGCAAAAAAGAATTTTTGGCATATAATATTACATGTATTTTCATTATTGTCCAGTCATCAATAAACTGTATCTAATTTCTTATAAAGTACCCCTCTAATACATGTATATTAAAAGTTATTCAATCATTCAATGAGAAAACAGAAAAATATTTTTACTGTACTTTTACTGTACATGTACTTTCCATCATAAATCACTGAATACTGCTTTTATTCCATGGTGTCATTGGGCAGATAAGATGATGTCATTTGGCACATAATGATGATGCCATTGGGCATATAAGATGATGTCATTGGGCTACCCATTAGGCATGTAAGCAAGGAGGATTGGCTCCCAGAATCGAAGTCGATATTTTCCAACAATGAAAACGCCGAGATGTCGTTATTTTCTGAAATTATAACCGATTATAAATTCAAAATAAACAGTTCAAAAGATTCGAACCAATATCTCAATCATTTCCTGTGAGTTTTGGAATTTTTCGTTAGGAAATAAGACCAAAATTTACGATTCAAATGTTGAAGTGAACAAAATGGCGGCTGTTGGAATTCAAATTTTGTAGCACGACATGCCCATATATGGGACAGAATATCGATGTTGCACTCTGGGAGCCAATCCTCCTTGGCATGTAAGATGGCAATTTGCAAATAAGATAATGTCATTAGGCATCTAAAACTGGGACACAGAGAGCAAATACAGATTTAATACTGATAAAATGGATTCTCCATGTACTCCATGGCATGTAAATACAGTCCAATAAGTATTAAAGGCACACAGGCCAATCAGATGACAAAAATTGCACAATCGTTGATTATAAAATAAAGGCCTATGCATGTACTTATTGTATAAGCCTTATTGCAGAGTAGAGCAGATAAATTGTTAATTTGATAAACATATTTAATATAATGTTATTTATATTATGCTATAATGTAAATGTTTAATTTTATGAACATTCAGGTAATCTTTATTAAAAGTAAAGACAAATTTCTTAATTCTGCCAATATTTTAGTAGCAAATTTTATGCCTGGCATAAATTTTATCAGAATTAAATTCTGTAAAAGTTGGAACCCTATATTCTCCCTATTTGATACTTTCTCAACACAAAAGTGATCCCATTATACACACAGAATATAGATGTGCAACACAATATCTCTGTAACAAAATAGCTAGGAGCAGTTTTCTGTGTTAAGAGTCTTTTTAAGGAGCAGGGCACAAGAATCATCCGAAAAACATTTTGTTAATTAGACAACAGCAACCCCAAAGTGTAGCAAATCCCATCGAACACCAATAGCTGGCATTTTTACAAAATACTTCTACAACTTTTTCAGTTATAACAAAAATCGTAAACTAACACACATAAAAATGGCCACCTTTTTCAAAATGGTCGCTCACAGCCAAATTGTAACTCCGTTCGATGGGATAATAACTTTATTAAGACTAGAGTATTTTTTTAACAACCAAGAACATTTTAGATCCCATTTTCATTAATCAGATGAATTGAAATACTGTACTACTGCTAATAACCATGTAATATTTGTAGAGATCTCTCCGGTTTGTAACTTTTAATACCATCTCTCTTAACATGAATTTTATCTGGCCTCTTGTCTCTGCAGGGCCTCATGTAAACATATTTATCTTCCTTGGGATATACTAGTATCCAAAATACAAAACTTTCCATAATATTTTGGTTTTTCGGTTAGACATTTGAAGATCTTATACTATTCTAGTAACTAGAAACTACATAACAAAAAATATCATTGCTTCTTCTCTATATGAGAACTGATAAAATATCCAAGCCAGTAACCAGCTATTGCAAAGGCCCTGACCCAAAAACACCTAAAAATTGCACAAAATTGTGAAAACTGCAAGTATTGAAAGAATGTTTGACCAGGGTGGGGGGTGCATGAACCCCCGACTATGGGCCCGATATCTATAGTCTCTCTTCTTCAAGTTCGTTGTAATCTGTGATAAACCTCTGTCTCCAACTTCTTCTGCAGCCATTTGTAAACAGTGTATATGCTGCCTTTGTTATAAATCCTACACCTAGGAGTCCAAAGTAAGAGCCATACACTATGAACTGAAAGGGTAAAAAATATTTTAATGAAAGTTCAATGTTGCGAAGAATTTATTGGCGACATTATGCTGTTAAACGGTAGCCTTATAAAGGGTGTTGGATCTAAAATCTAATAATAATCTAAACAGTGCTCTTTAAGACTCAATATTTCTAATTGCTTTTTCTAAATGGATATACATGTAACATGAAAGAGTGACAGAACACAATTTATCGTATGATCTGTAAAATGAAGCCTTCTGATTGGTCAGTTCTTGTGCTGTACCAATCTGTATTGCTACTGAGATTGTCCTCATTGATCATCTCTGTCGCAATACAGAAACTATTGGTACGGAGGGGGCATTCTCAGTAGCAATACAGAGGATCACACGATAAAAACGTTATAGAATGATTTGAAGTGCAATACAGGATATATTCTGTCTCAATATTCTGTATTGGCACTCGACTTCGTCCGGTTCCAATACAGAATTTCTCCAGCAGAATATATCCTGTATTGCACTTCAAATCATTCAAACCTTACTTATAAATATGAATGGACAATAAATAAATAGATATTAATCTTGAAATGAAAGATTCCACATGTCTGAAGCAAAAATTTAGTGCCACTTTAACCTAATTCATAGAAAGTCACCCTAATACAAATACCTTATTTTCTCTCATAAACACACACCTTACTTTTCCATGGAAGACCCTGGCAACTTAAGGGACAAAAATCAAGGAAAGGTAAAAATTTGAAAAAATAATTGGGTAATAATAGGGTTAATTCACTCACTACTAGCAATTGAGCCATTTCTGTGCACAATGCTAGACATGTCTCTGTAATACATCACAGGATAAAAATCAAAATATGGTAATGTAATTTTCCAAAATGTAGATCTACCTGTGTCGTGACAGGGGAGTCCAGACCTCCTTTATCAACTAGGATGGCAGTCATTGTTGTCTGTAGCGCCAAGGCAACAAATGTGTTGCATCCAAACACCAAGGCATATCTCTCAGTCACAAGCTGGCCAGCTATTTGGAACCTGGAAATGAAATTTGGTATTTGTCAAGTTATTCTCCACCAGGATGCAATGTGTTAACTGGAAAAGAGGTTTCTCCTTTGAGAGACAATGTGTTAACTGGAAAAGAGGTTTCTCCTTCAGGAGACAATGTTATAATATGAAAGGAATATAACATTTATATAATTTTCTTCAAGAAATTACAATAAATATTTCAGCATTAAACATGGGACAGCAGGCCCTTAGCCTTAGGGGGGGGGGGCAAAAATTCTTTCAAAATCATGTAGTCTTTCACCATTTTGAGCACTTTTCAAGTGATTTTCACCATATTTGGGCCCAAATTTTTAAATGTGAACCCCCCCTGGAAATTTTTGAAAACTGAACACCCCTTGGCAAATCCTGGCTACGGGTCTGTACAGTATAGTAGTGAATAACTTACGTTGCTATAGTGATGACCATTTGGTATGATGCTCTAAACATCACATAGAACACATAAGCAATCCATATACTATGAGTCTGTGACATCACAATAAGAAGGACTGCATCAACCAATGAGATCACACCCATCAGAAGTTCCCCATAAATCCTCCAGTTGAATTTGACGTAGCCAAGTCCCAGCGCAATGAGGGCCCCTGCAAAACAATGCAAAATTAAGATGAACTGTCAATGATCTTCCTCATTAATTCTTAAAGTGATTATCTGAAGTGGTATATTATACAGGGGGTCTTTTAACAGAAACTTCTAAATAGTTCCCAATTTAATTTGATGTAAGCTGGTTTCCTTTAGGAGACAAATTCAATTTGATCACAACTTAATTTACTTATCCATGGACCATGGACTTTCAGAGAAGGCCCATGATTACATAACTACAATATATTTCACATACCAGAGAGAGTTGAGAATGCCTCCACAGCCCCATTATACACGCCTGGGTTATCCCGTGATGGACTAATCACATCCCAAAGGTTCTGGATATAGTTCCCAACTTGGAAATTCCCACACGTCGCAAATGCCCACCATAATGACCACTTCAGCAGATACATATTTGTGTAGCAGTCTCTGAAATCTCTCCATAGTAAAGTGAAGTTTTCTGAGCACATTGCTTTTAAAGTCTTGCTGTTTTTAATCCGACCGCTGACACCATTTGTAACATCATTTGGGACTTCTGTAGAACCACTCCTTGATGTGCTTTCTTCAGTAATGGGATCATTGTTACCGTAGAAACCAGATGTTACCTTATATGGACTTAGACTTGATATACTACCTAATATGGAGCTGGTATCATTTTCCCAGGCTGCATTGCTGCACCTGAGTTCTTGTTGGCAATCTGTTTCATATGTGGGTGGAGTTTGGTTGAAAGAAGGAGGAGTCTGTTTGTCAGTAGGAGGAGTTATTGCACTGTTTATGGGAGTGGCTTCACTTATTTGATTTCTTATTTGTGCTGAATCTGATAATTCCTTATTGTTCTGAGAAACAGATGAATTGTCATTGATTTGATTATCATGATGAGGGATGGTAGGCGGGGCTTCATTAGTTTGATTGACTGACTCAGGTTGAGATCGATCCCTAAAATATCTTCCAAATTTAACACTTGGGAGGCATAGTGATACGATAAACGCCAGCGAAACACTACCTAGTGAAACACAGTTCAGGGCAAAATAATCAGCCACTTTAAGAGATATCAAAAGCTGCCCCAGTGTACCTGCGATGAATTTTCCTGATAATGTAGCTGTACGTGTAAAGCTAGTCACTTTTTGGTAGTGATCTGTACTAACTGCAGGATAAATGTAAGAATAATAAGCAATTTCAGTCGCAGTTGCAAATCCATATGTAAATTGCATTATTTGCATTTGGAAGACCCCTTGGCCCCATAGTAGTAAAAGCCATGTTGCGATGTATGTCAAAGCTTCAAACACAATAACTGGTTTATATTTCAGAAGATCCGTCAGAAGGAAGACCAAAGGCAAGGCACCCAGATATGAATATGTCCACACTGGATATACCTGATTGTTCACTTGCTCCTCAGTTAAGTTTTTAAGAGGTCCTTTTAGGTAGGGTGTAAGGAAAGCTTCTGAAGGACGCATCTCTTTTAGGAACCCATAGCAGCATATGACACCAGTTGCAATCCTCCAATCAACAGGCATATTGTCAGTTTTCTGAAAATATTATCAATAATTTTTTTAAGAAACATCCCAACCCACCCCTAGATGTATCAAATCATACGGATTGACAACCCCCAGACTTCTGCTTTGTCTCCAATACATGTACTCTAGCATAGCCAGAATGAGGCAAATGAGGCTTTGAGAAATATTCCTCTGTCAGTCATGAGTTATATATTAACAGGCCAGGCCCCAGGGGGGGGGGGGGAGTTTGCAGGGTTCGGCCAAAAATTCTTTAAAAATCATGCAGTTTTTCACCATTTTGAGCACCTCTCAAGTGATTTTAGCCATATGTGGGCCAAAATTGTCAAATGTGAACCTCCCATGGACATTTTTGAAAACTGAACATTGATTGCCCTTGGCAAATCCTGGCTACAGGCCTGATTAATTGTACTCATAACTTTTTAATCTTAAATCCTAAATTTTTGATTCAATCGTGCACAATCTCAATACATAAAGGTTATCATCTTGTATTATTATTGCCAGGTACTGTAAGCGAGGCAAGGTTTGGAAATTTTTTCGCCTCGTTGCTTTTTTTCTTCCAGGCTACGTCACTGCATGATGTATGACTTTTTTCTAGTTCCAAGAGTTACAGTGTTAAGTCTATTACTCTTTGGAACTAGATACACATGTAAGTATTATAACCACGCGATCTGGAAAAATTCTTAAGACAAGAGAAAGTTCATTCGCGAGACAGTGGTCAAGAATGGACTAAGTTTACTGGACACTTACTTCCACAGTCAATTGCAGTTTGATTTGGGAAAGCCAAAATTAGATTGTATCACTTTAGCTTGTATTTGTGAATGCAAATAAGGGATATACTATTTTATGACCATGCAACTCATTAAATATGAATGGAATAGTGGCAGGTACTATTCATATTTAAATGAGTTTCCAATAAAATAGTAGGTTAATCAGGTAGCCAACAGCCTTTCACTGGCGGGCGGATCAAGGAGCTAAAAAGTGGGGGGCAGATTTTAAGTTCTACAAAAAATATCCACGCAAGTAATACCCAAAATTGGGCCCCTCAAAAAAATTTGAGGCCCATTTTTTGATAATTTGGCTTAAAAAGGCCAAGTTTTGCCCAAAAAGGCCCATAATTGAGGCCAAACAATATTTGGGGGAAAATATTGGGGCCCACCAAAGGGGCTGGGGGGGGGCAGGCCCCATGCCCCACCATGGCCATTTTTTGGACAAAATTGTCAAAAGTGAACACCCCTGGAATTTTTTGAAAAAGTGACCTCCCTTGACAATTCCTTACTACGGGTCTAGTAGGCTTGTAGTTATTAGCCTACAAAGAAAAAAGCTGACTACACCCGACTGACTAGGCCTACAGCTACAATTTGTTTATTTATCCTATTTATTGCAAGTGCAATCATGGGCTTTCAAATCTAGTTTTAGTTACTTCCTTCTTTCTTGTCCACAAATGGATGTAGTGCTCTAGAATGAAGTGGTTTATTAATTGGGTCAGTAAATACAATATGACACACTTCTTGAGTGTCATGACACAAAAATAACCTAGAATATATCTGGGTCGGGTACTTACTTCCTTGTCAACATCCTCACGGAAATAAAGTCTTTTGATACTCGTTATGAAATCCAGGGTTCACCGGATATTACTCCTGAAATCGCATTTTATACAACAAACAAGTACAATAAATCAACCAACGATCATATTATGTTTTCAAGAGATATATGAAATAACTTTATGAGTTTTTATTAATAAAATTCAACTTATGTTTGGGAAAAATAAGGTTGGAAAGTTTGATTGGATTTTTCTAACCAGTCTCAGCTTTTGTAAGGGTGAAGGGGAAACAAATACATGTATTGCCACTAAAATGGATGAGTTTGCGTTCTGAGGACAATGTACATACATTAATCGGATGCTCAGTACAAGGTATAGTTGACTTACAAATTGATTGCATTTTATTGATTGCATTGTTTGCTACATAAAGGGCGAATTATGCCAATGAAAAAACGTTTGACATGTTTTCATTTTTTATAAACATTTTCAATCGAGGTCAACACTCAGAGACCACGGATAGTGGGAAGTCCTCCATATAATATATTACTTATATTATTTACCTCCTAGATGGAGGACTTCCCACTATCCGTGTCAGAGACACATCGTACAAATTTTTAAGTTTTATTTTTTGTGCATTATCCGTATATATACTTTTATTTACTCTACCGAGCTGACAGAAGTCAGCTCTGGGAAGTTGGATGTATGTGAACTTGAAAAGAATAAATCGAGCCCATTTTGACTAAACGCTGTACTGAGTAGCGTTTATAATACGCTATATATTTGAATCAATACATAATTTATTTGTTGTTACCTTATTTTGTTCCTTCAATAGTCTGTTGTTGTAGTAAATCAATGTTCTTGTAGACAACAAAACTTTTGAATTTAGATTCCAGCCATTTTAGGTCACGCGAGATCTCGTGACTTTCGAAAGTAAAAATTTGCTACAAAATAACTCGCGCTAGCTAAATATGATATAGTCACGTGATCTCTCAGCGGTAATACCCATGCGCATAAAAGTACAATGCGCATGTGCACGCATGCGTAAAAAGTTAAAAAATGGTGCTCGCCAGATTTGGAATTTCTCCATTTTAACTGCAATTACACAAGAAGTAGGACTTATTGTCACCACGCGTGATGAAAAGGGCAAGTTACATTCAATTATCTTCTTAAATACCGTTTCTTATTCCAGCGCGCCTGCTGGAAGTTGGAGAAAACCGCTTCACAGGACGGTATATTCTAACGGTGCTTCAGCTGGCTTTTGAGCCAGCTGTGTTCAGTAAACTTTTATGGTTATATTTTTATTTTAGGATGTCTTCTACGACTCCAACTCCACCCAATGAAGTGGGAATGTCAGAAAATAAGTTTACTGATAGTAAACGTGCATCAGACTTGCTCCTTGGGATGTCTTCTCTGTATGCCAATAAACAAATGAGTGATGTCACACTGGTGGTTGACAACCAAGACTATCCCTGTCATCGAAACATCTTGGCTATATCCAGTCCATTCTTTATGGCAATGTTCACGAATGACCTCGCTGAAAAGCAACAAGATAAAATCAAACTGAAAGACCTTGATAGTAAAACGATGGAATTAATCCTGGATTACATCTACACGGGTACTGTAAATTTATGCGAGGAAACAGTGCCTAATTTATTATCAGCAGCGAATCTCTTCCAGTTGTTATCATTACGTGATGGCTGTGCAACATTCATGACAAAACATGTCACAATCTCAAACTGTATCGGTGTATATTTCTTTGCCAAGGCTCATCAGTGCATACCACTTGCAAACAGTGCGAAAGAAATCTTAATGAGTCGATTCACGATTCTGTGCCGGGAACAGGAATTCCTAAGCCTCCCTTATGACAAGCTGATTGAGATTATCAAATGTAGTGACTTAAGTGTCGTAAAAGAAGAAAAAATTTATGAGGCGTGCATAACATGGCTGAACTGTAACACTGAGGAGCGACTACCATATTTACCCCAAATAATGCAATATATAAGATTTGCTAACATATCTTCATATTATTTTTGCGACAAAATCGACAAGAATCCATCATTCGTGCAAAGTGAAGAACTGAAGGAGATCTTACAGAAAGTGAGGTAAGTTATGATAATTATAATATAAGTATTTGATAATTATTATTATTAAATAATATAAAGGTACATGTATGATTATATTTTACACATTTTTACAGACAACTGTGCTTGTTTTCGTCATGGGCTTTCAACTAGACAATATTGCTTCAATTCCAAAACCCAAGAAATGAGTGTCACAAATTGCTTGACAAAATAATCAAAATATCATGAGGAAACTCTTGTTAGATAATTTTTATATTGCCTCCGTGGTTTAAAGGTTATCTAGCTGGACTTCTAATGCCAAGGTCCTGGGTTAAATCCCATCATGTGGCAAAAGGAGCTAGCTAGTGTAAACTACTGTAGTACACCATAGAGGTGTCTACTAGAGTGCTGCTAATGCGATAAAAGGCTGGTGCTGGTTAGAACTGCCTATGGTCCTAGCCAGGATAAAGATAACATGTCCTGTTAGATTAATAGGAGGATCTGTCTACCTTCAGATATCAAGTTACATTATCCTACCACATATATATGCCATGTTTCCCTTTGCATTCGTTTGACTTCACTTCTTAAAAGAGAGCTTTGTCTTCACTCTTTCAAACTAAAATAAACCTGTGAACTCACCGCGCCAATCAGTGTTCGTCGGCCAAATTTGACAGACGTTCTATATATGGTCATTCCTTCTGATGTCATCGTTGAGCACGGAATTGACCAATGACATGCGCATATTTAATTAGAACGCATTTAGCGTATGTTTCTTCAAGCTCGCTGATTGGTGGAAGAAAGGTCAGCGCGTAGGTCAGAAGTGATTTATTATCCAAACTGTCACCGGTACCCGTCCTGGGAGCGGGGCTACTAAACTGTAATATGGTCTCTACTAGGCAGAGTGTACTTTAACTAGACTCTACACGCAGGGTAATGCCATGTGGTGTCGCATGTGCGATTATTGTAACTCAGATAAATTAATACATCAAAGTAGGCCACAAAAATGTGTGTGAGGTATTTTATTTATTCACTATTATAGTAAGTTGAACATCTGGTGGGAGGTGAACACTATATACTACATTTCTTAACATATCTTTATTAGACCTCCATTAATGTAAACTAAACATAAAATGTTTTACAGTGAAAATGTGATAATGATAATCAAAAAGATGTCCCCTGATGTTACTAACAGAGGCATCACAGATGCACATGAGGATGTACTGTTTAGAACTGGTTCTGGATCATGTGGATTGACTGCTTCCAATTGCACTATCTTATAAGTCATATTTATCTGGGACAAGCTTTTCTCTTCTGCTAGCAATACAAAAGTCTCATATCTGTTTTTCATATTTCTATCTACCACATGATTTGGTACATTTTCAGGGAATGATACATTGAACCTCATAATTGTTGTCAAATCTATATTATATTGATCACCAGTGGGAGATGCAATGTGATCATAATCTATGTAACCCGTAGGAATAAATGTGTCATGTAGTAGATCTTCAAGAATCTTGACATGTTCTTCCCAATCATAATTTAACAATGTCCTTTCTCTTACAATGGTTTGAACTAATTTCCCTATCATGGCACACCTTCCCCCATTTTTAACATAACCATCAGGACAAGCTACTGCCATACAACTTGATTCAGCCGTACATTCAAGTTCAAACCCAACGCTCTGAATTCCTGAAGAAGGACGAACATTAAGGCTTCTTTTGTTATCTACAGAAACATCAACTAATATTTGAAACGAGAACAATTCAAGTGTAGCTGAACTTCTGTACCCCAAATTAATGTGGCAACTTTGATGATTCATAGCTGTGGGGTTTGCACAAAACCAACAAAACTTGTTATGGTACACGATCCCAGGGACAGGATTTGGTTCATCTGTCGGAGCTTGTACAGGATGAAGCCCAGATGTTGCGCAGAGCTCACTCAATCCTTCATCAGCGCAGCTAGGACATTTATACTCCGTTGGAACACAGCTTCGCACTCTGGCATTATCTGGTGGTATGAACTTGGAGGCACATGACTTTGAATTTAGAATCTTTTTAATGAAGTTCATATCAGGGTTTTTCACATCATGGTCTGTTAATATTCTGTCTTCACATATCGTTTGTATGGCCCACAATTTTGGTTTCTTCACATTGTTACATCTTGCACAGTCAATATTCTTGTACATAATACCTGTTTCTGGATCTACAGCTGGAGTCTGAGATATTATTTCGTCATTATAATGTTTTGGTGTTTTACACGAAACCTCTAATGATGAGTCATGATGAGCCAAATCACAACTAGATTTAAGATACACATACATAGTTCCATTTATCGCCTCACAATCATATTTTCCTCTCTCACTTCTATTAATGTCTAGTATCTTTGTTTCATTTGACAAAGTATGCAAACACGATTCAATAAAATCAGGACAGCAATCTCCATAATAAAGACAATCTAGATCGCAAAAACATCGCCTTTTACCACCACAGTTATTTTTGCACGATTGGACAAATAAGGAAGAATCGCAGTCCCTTGATGTTCCATTGTTGTGCCAGTTGGGATGCCCTTCTTTGCAAGCTCTTTGTGCTTTAGAAATACTAGTACTCTTTTTCAGGATATTCTTTTCACTTTGTAAATTTCTACTTGATGATTGTGCAGTTGCTCCATTAGTTGTCGCTAGTATGTTACATATTATGTTAAGCACAATAAAGCGGCCTTTCTTTGCAGCGTAAAACATTTTGTTTACATTTTAGTTCTGCATTGTCCTTCTTACAAATCACAAAATAAATTCTTATTAACATGAACAGCATAATCAGATAATTGTTGTGCAAGAATTAATTTTGAATTTTAATCACCAACTACATATGCTCTATATCAATCATTCTGTCTCAGATTTTAGATCTGTGATGCCTTGAAGTATTTGTAAGCAGCCCAATTTTGATATATCTTTAGAAGAAGTAAATACACAAGTATATGCACAAGTGCCAGCTGAGAAATACTAAACGTTATTAAAAAACAGAGCAAGAGAATAAATCATCTATGAGTGACCATTTCAGAAAGCATTAATACCCAAATTATCCCAAACTAATGATCTTATATGTAAATGAACAATTCCTAAATCTCCCTCCTCCCTAACTATTCAGTAATCTATATCACATTCCAAGACCATAAGACCATGGGACATTTCATTCATAATCATAAGTCGTTATAATACATGTAAAAAAATAAAATAATTGTAGATACTATTCTAGTATTCATAATAAGAAAGAGCATTTATTTTCAAATTATGTGGGGCAGATAAAATATCCTGTCTCGAATATATGTCTCGAATGTATACCTTTAAAACCCCTGAAGGAATTACTAATTCCTTTAAAGGGGTTAACTGTGTGTCAAAATGCAACATATTGATGGGTAGAAGAGGTTGAAAGCCAGGGGGTCATTAACAGAACTTTTGCAAAGTTACGAATTCGCAAGTCAATTGTTAATTTTATGAATTTGGTAAATGTGCATTAACAGAACTTCTGAAAGTTATGAACGATTCGCAAAGTTACGAAAAAATGACGTCACGTATGCTTTCGTTCGTAACTTTAATAGCACCTCAGACCTTTCATAACTATGCGAAGGGCATATTTCTCATCCAGTTCTTATGTAAGGTATACAGGTTGGCAAAAAGAAATTGTTCTTCATATGCATGTTAAGTTTCAAGCTGAAATATCCACCTATCCTTACATGATAAGCAAATATGTTCCTGAGCTGAGAATCTTTGAAATCGCGGAGACAGGTTTAATCACAGCGCGAAATGATATGAAATGACATCATATTTCTATTTGTGCTAAATAATGATATAAAATGACGTCACAATTTGAAATTCATTTAGGAACGATAAAACTTATGAATGACTTACGAAAGTGTTCTGTTAATGGCCAATTCGTAACTTTACGAATTCGTAAGTCATTCGTAACTTTTTAAATATTTACGAATTTCAAGTTACAAATTACGAATTCGTAACTCTGCAAAAATTCTGTTAATGACCCCCAGGACAACATTTCAGATAAAACACGTGGTAGGGTTGTTTGTATCATTCTTGTCTCAAAGTCCAAATTATTTTATCTCTATGAGTACATTTCCTTGAGGTCATGCATTCGGCCTAACATATGCACCTGTTTAAATCCTCCGAAAATAGCAAAAATCCAACATGATTGTCCGAAACCTGTTGCAATACTTTCCTTTCTCCTTTTCGGGATTTTTTGAAGACTGGTTTAAGAGAAATGTGTGTTGACAATTCAGTTAGCCATCGATACCAATCCTTTTGAGGAGTTTTTTTTCAGAAGTCTTTTTTAGAATCCTCAAGCATTTTCTGTAATTTGGATTTGCATTTTCAGAGGCATATAGCTAAGCAATTTTATCAGTGAACGCCATTTTGAAATGCTACCTCATGTTTGTTGCATAGAAATGGATGCAGGTACATGTAGTGTATATGTGAGAAGTTGTACCATATAGATTTTCTTACACATGTTAATGTTTCTGAAGCTGGCTCTATCACGTTTTAAGACAAAATATTACTTTCTTGTGCAAATATATGCTTTTATCGAGAATTCTGAATGTGGGATACCATATAAATTGTAGCGCACCTTGCAACAATGTCTTTATGGCGGTTATTTCTAATAATAGAAGTTTATCATCCACCGAAATTGAATAGATGCAAAAAGTGAATACTTTGTATTTGTCCTAATAGATCCTTTTAAGGCGCACTATACTTAATTTAGAAGAAAAAATAAAAATAATCATTGAAACAAACACTTGCTCAAATATGACACAAAGTTTGTTTTGCTTTAATATTGGACCGAGAAAAAAATAACTCATATAGAAAAAAGCATTTGAAGTTTAGAGATCATTAGACATGCATGCACATGTTAAACAAAGTGCATGTTTTAAATTACTATTGATTTAAAAGATGGCGACACTGATATAAAAATAAGTGTATCATGTAATACAAACAAGTTCGCCATCTTTCAATGATGTTGATAAAAACTTGATATATAAAGCTTGACAGATCAAAAATATTTTTTGACAATTTATTGTCAGCTTTGACGTGGTCCATTTGAGCTGTTGTTGGTGTCAAATGAAAGATAAAGTTTGTATCAATACATTGGACATACTATGAAATTTAAATGTAAGTCTTTATTTTGCCTAAAAATGTTGAAAATTCCCAAAGTGGCCCTTAGGATTGTTATTGACCATTGTGAATTATTGTGTTTTATGGATTTATATGGTGATGGCTTTATGAATGGTTGTTGATCCTTTGAATTGCCTTATGGACTCTATCCCACATCATTTGACTGAATGCTCTATCTTTACTCTATCTAGTATCTAACTATTTTTGATGACTCTCAGTTGGAGAGGGAAAGGGGTGTGTTAGACATTATCTTTTTTCACGTTAGATCATGCTTTTGGGATATGTATCGGGACTATTTCTTTTATGACAGGTTTACACTTAAAGTTTGCTTTGCTGTAGTTTCTTTACAGTTTTTGGTCCTCCCCTTTGGCATTAATTTTGTAAATTAGATATAGAATGCTTTGGAAGTAAAAAAGTGAGAAAGTCTGTCATGAGCGTTTTTCTCGAAAAGGTGGCCATTTTGGATTTTCCATCCCCAAACTGTGTCGGTAAAGTCTTGTCTACTCATTTTCATGATAACCATTTGACAGGATCCCCCATTGGTGGGGACATTTTGTACACATTTGTTTTCTTGTCTCTTATGTAATGTAAGGCTTATTTTCTAAAAAGAGGATCTTGTTTTTCTCAATGTAAATGTATCAAAAGTTTTTTCTACACTATATTAATAACTTCTGAAAAGGGGATGGGTTTTGAAATGCGATAAAGTTAAAAACCACATTTCCCATGTTATTTTCCCATAGCGAAAACTCCTCAAGCGAAAAAAACAGCTTGCCATACTACTCTAATACACCACTAATAGACTTCAAATACTCAATTGTAGAACATGTTCTATTAGTGGTTTGTTAGTTGTGATTTTCGTTAACAGACCACTTTTTGCCATTGACTTAACAGGTGGTTTATTCGTTGAAAAAATTACCATGCAAATGAGATAAAGGTTATTGACCAATCAGAGAAATGTAATACCCTACTAATATATCACTAATAAACCACTTATACACCACTCCTGAAGTCTCATATATTACTATATAGACCACTGATACACCACTAATAGACCACTACTAGTCTAATAGACTACTAACAGGTGTAAATATTTTCGAAACAAATGCGTGATATACACATATTTTGTATCAAATGTGTGACATAAACGGCAATTGCGTGCAAAGTCCGAACGGAATGCGTTCGCTTTTTTTCGCTGTCCGTTTTTTACCGTGTCGGCATTTCACAAAAAAATGATTTTTAAAAATATCAACAAAATGCGTGATTTGCGTGATATTTGATCATACACGCTAAATTGATGCGTGATTTCTATTTTTCCAGCAAATGCGTGACAATCACGCCTAATGCATGAGGGTTGACAGGGCAGTAGTGGTGTATTAGTTGAGTATTACCAGCTTTAATACATTACTTACAAACCACTTGACTAAATCACTTTTCAAGGTGTATTGGTGATATATTGGTGATGTATTAGTGGTATATTAGATTTCTTTTCTACTTTGGAGATCACGCTATCCATTGCTTTCAGTATGATTTTGGTCATCAAAGATTGATATCTTCAAAACTAGATTTTCAATACCATTCTAATTTTGAAGATGTTTTAGACCCCTTGTTGAATAATGTTTTTATGCAATAAAAATCAGAAAAAGAAGATCCTCTTTTGAGCAAATAAGTACAACATTTTGAAAAAAAATTTGACGTGGGGTCCCTATTTATAATTTTTTGAATTATTCAATTGATATTTTTATCATCATGGGGACTTCACTTGAAAGAAAACATATTGTTTTAATAAGAACCACTGTATTTATGCCCAGAAAGTACTCTTGGTGAAAGATATGACCGTCTAAAATCACTTGCCATACTGCACATGGACCTTTATATACAAATTGTCAGAGTAGTCAAAGTAGACATTTTTTCAGGATTTCTACTATAGTATCTATCTTTTGGTGACACATTTGTTAAACCATTTATAAGTATTGCAATCAAAACAATTTAGCTTGTTATATAATGAACCCCCTGGGGTGTCTTCGGATCATCACTGGTGTGAAGCTAGAAGCTTATTCTGGCCTTGAAATTGTAACTGATAATAATATTAAAAATATTCTTACCAGTTGTTGAAATCATCATCTCTTCATACTTCATATTCTGGAGATAAAAATGTAAACTTTGGTCCAGATTTTTTTTGGCGGCATTTATTCCATCCGTTGTCATTAGTTATGTGATGCATCTTCGAGGAAATAGTGAATATGAGGCTCAGATACATTTCTTAAATACTAATTCTACAAGGTGACAAAAAAGTATCGTGAACAATGATGAAAAAACAAAAACGTGTTGTATGTTAAATGATAAAAAACATGTGTTGTATGTTAAATATTTTTAGACAAACATATCATTTGCAGTTGACACTTTCTGGTCATCTTGTTTAATCCTTATTAAAATAATGTGAGGATGGAACGTGAAAATTATAAAAAGTGAACAATTAAAGACAAGGCAGGATTGATGAAACAACAAATAGGTGAATGACATGATGAAAAGTGAATTGGAAGCAAGGGATTAAGTGGGCAGTATAAAGGACATAAGGTTAATGTAAGGTGGTAGCAATACAATATAATATGGTTGATCTGGCTATTTTCTAATGTGGCCTCACTGCATCCTGGTGCTACCTATTACTTTTTTCAATTACCGATTCAAAGGATTTATTTCTTAGTTGAGGAAATAATGAATTAAACATTGAAATTGGAGTTATTCTTATACATTTTATGTAATTTTACTTCGGGTTTCATAAGGATGGACGTAATGATGATTCTTGTACCAAAATATGACAGATCTGAACATCCTGTTAATCTTTATTTAAGTTCAATGAGTTGAAACAAAGTCTAGCTTGCCTTATTTATCAGGCTATCATCTGACATTTCTTAGGTGGCCAGACTAGGTTTAACTTCCTACCAGATTTCTCCACTAGCGGTCAAAATTTAAATTGGGCATGTATATTTTTTGCTTCTGTAATTAATTCCGAGTTTGGATAAATTGCTCGTTAAATAAAGAAATCCAAGTAAACATGCATACCTTATGAATATAAACAACACACCTTCTTGAATATCCTGAATATCCTCTTGTGTCTTTGGTCATGTATAATAACCCAAATCGAGTAGGTAGTTATCAAATTTCAGCACCAGGGGGCTAATTCGGGGCAGATTATAGTAGGAGGTGCCCGAAACTTGAATATTCATCAGTTTTAGTTTTTCAATTTTTATATTACCCTTTGTATCTGATAGTTATACAAATTAAAATGTGTCTTGTAAAATGAAATAGTATCAGTCCAATACAAGAAAGATGATTTGCTTTTTGTGATTTTATAACCTGGAGTCTGTGGGAATTAAAATCACATTTACAGATGTATTTTTACATTTAGATTTCAAATATTATATCACTGTGACTGAATATTTAATTTTTAATTAAATAAATCAAGATTATTTATACTTGTATCTATAGTCTATTGAGACAGCATTGAGAAATCTGGTTTAGACTGCATTAACATTGGAATGCTAAATCCTGATAATAAATGAATAAACCTTGGTTGACAGTTGGCACTACACTGAACAATACTGGACCAATGTAATGCCTGGGTCACATATGCTGCGACTCACCGGACGGCGCCCGGCCGATTGAGTATTTTGTTCAAAATTGAATACATTTCTGAACAAAATACTCAATCTGCCGGGCGCCCTAGTGAAAATCGAAGCAAATGTGACCAAGGCATTAACAAGTATACTTTGCACTTTGAATGTACAAAATTAATTTTCTGCATCCTTAAATCTTAAGTCTTGTCTAGCGAGTTTTCAGGTGAATCATTTAACAGATCAATTTTCAAATTTTCAGGGATGATTCTTGTATGAAAATCTAGAACTGAATAGTCCCTCAGGTTTTTGCATTCTTGGTAAATGTTAAGGTGGCCATTTTAGATTTTACGTCTTAAAATCTTGTCTGAATGTGTTTTATTGCTGGTTTGTACAGCAATATTAGCTGGCAACAGACTACTCCCTCAAAACCTGGGTTTAATCGATTGGTACAATAGATGTTATGACAATGAATATTTATTCTATGTTTAAGGTACTGCCACATGCTGAAGAATAGGCACCATGAAATGGATTTAGATTTTCGTACACGAGCTGGAATGCCCGAAGAGCGTGTCATCGTGGTGATGGCCAATCCATACGCAGAAGATAACGTAAGGAAATACAACAGTATGGATGCACTAATTCCTGAGACTGGTGAAGTTAAACATATCTGTAAACTTCCTAACAGCTTGTTTATGCCAGGTAATGGTTATTGCATTTTCTCTTTCACTCTTATATTTTTGATAAGGTTTTGAGCTCTTTAGCCAATAATTGACTTTTTTCCATATAAATGGAAAATAGATGGCATCGTGGGTATTGTTATAGGGCTAAGTAACATGGCAGCTCAATAGCAGGAGTCACTAATTTCTTGAGTTAACAAGCTACTAGTATTCCATTTGGATCAACTTAAAACACCATTGGAATGTAACTTTATGATATTATTGACATGTGGATTGTGATTTCACATTAATACTGTAATCCTTAAAAGAGTAAATGAACTTTTAAAGGTTTTTCAACATTGTGTCAATGGGGATTTAGCCCGACCATTTTTAGATAACTTGAAAATCTCTAGAATCTGAATAAAGGTGAATAACAGTGCAAATCAAAGTTTTCTTGATAGAAAATTACACAATTCAAATATGCCATCAAATAGAAGAAAATGTTAGTCTTTAGTTGTTAAAAATGCAGATCTTCTAAAATCTCATTAAAACGAGACTTAAACGAGATTTCAAAGCTATATGGAAAAGCCTCTATTGCTGATAAGCCACATGTTTTCATAGAACACATGTATATTCTGGGCATGTATTGTATATGTGATCTCTATTCATTAGAGCTATAACATCTTTAGTGCATATAGGTAACATTTGTAAAATGAGTCAGACTCTTATAGGGTTGTGTTACATTAGCCAATTAACTTTGAGCTTCTAGGATTTTCTCTCTGCTATGCAAATGATTAAAAACACTTACAAAAGAAAGCAAATCCTAAAATTTGATCATGGGACATTTACGTTTCATGAGAGTGACTGTGGTAAAAGTAGACTTTTTTTTTAGTTAAGTTTGTCTCAATATGTTTTGATTTTTTCAGCCCACTGTTATAAGTCAGATTAAGATAAGAGCAATATTCAACCATTATAATATTTTCTTTACTTCATAACTGATGCTACAATTTGTTATATTCTATTCCACAATTTTAGCCGCTGCAGTAACTGGGGACAACAAAATATTCTTAAGTGGGGGTACAGTTCGCAAATTCAACTACAGGGGCTCAATATCCAACGAAGGAGTCGTCCAAAGCCTTTACATGTTTGATGATGTTTCCTGTGTATGGCTGGTTAAAAAGCCGATGATCTATGCGAGATTCCACCATAAACTCACCGTTGTAGATGGGTGAGTATGAATAATTTGATATTTAAAAGCCTCTTCATTTTTGTGGGCAAGTGAAATTGAAGATGCAGTGGCGGATCCAGGAACCAACAAGGGGGGGGGGGGCGAAAAGTGGGCCCAAATTTTGAAATTTTGAGGCCCATTTTCTTCAAAATTTGGCCTGAATTAAAAGATAAGGCCTTAGAAGGCCTAGTAATGACCAAAAAGGCCCACTTTTTGGGGCCTTAAGACCTTTTTTCTGGGCCCAACTTAGGGGGGGGGGACCCGGGCTCCATGGGCCGTAAATGTGACCCATATTAAATTCACATACATTCCTCTCATTCCAGGTATATTTTCGCAATTGGTGGACAAAATAATCAGAACGAATACCTGAATAGTGTCGAGAAGTATGACTTGCAGAGCAACATCTGGACACAAGTGGAGCCAATGCCTAAAATTGCACGCTGCGTTGCTGCAACTAGCTACAGAGGTGACCTCTATGTTTTTGGAGGTGAATCAAAAACAGAGGTGTACGACTCCGTCTATAGGTAATTGATTCAATTAACATGTGACTTTACTTGATTGTGTTTATAGCACATATTCAACAATTGAACTGTATTGTATTTAGAAGTTAACTTTTGTGACTATGATGTGAAATATGCCAATATAGGCCTTGGGAGACTGTATATTTAGGTAAGAACAAAGGCATATTTTATGTCATAGCGACATAACTGATGTATTGCAAACTTTTATTCTCGTAGCTATTTTCTATCAATGACGTCACACATCTGTGTTCAAGTGGAAATAGATGGAAATGAAACTTGACGTCATGATATTGTCATGGTTATTAAGGAAAGTGGCCAATATTGTTTACTATATATGCCCATATGGGTGTCAGTTGCCTGTAAACTAAACATAAAACTGATAAAATGAAACTACTATTTTAAAATATGACAAAGTTTAGCATGACACAAAAGCATATTTTTGAACTAATTGACATAAAAATTTAGCTTCCTGTACACTGGCTGAATTTGCGACTTGGAAATACAATGTAAGTGTGATAAAAAGACTGATGTATTTTAAGGTACAACCTACTTGATGATCAGTGGACTGATCTGCCACCTATGAGCATTGGTCGATCGCTGGCGGGATGTGGCATATACAAAGACAAAATATACATCATAGGTAATTTTTATTGATAGAGAGATTTTGCATAACATTTCAGCTCAATGTACCTAAAATCTGTAATGGATTCAACATAATTATGGGCAGCAGTTCAATTAAGATGAGGTGAGGTTGCGGATACATTTAAGCTATAGCCGGTTGTGCAAAGCCTCTATTACTGCAGAGAAAGATCAAAAGAGAATGTATGCTGATGCTTAAAGGTAAAAGATCTCTGCTCAAAAAGAGCTTTTCAAGATGGCCACTATTTTTCTGTAACTTGATTTGTATGTTTTGATGAGTAATTGTTGACCGAGTATATTGTGCACAATGATCTCCACAGGATTTTTCATTTCATTTTCACGATTCAGACCCAAATTGGTCAAAATATGCCTATTTTTCATGATTTCTCTCATTTTCAAGTGGGTGCAAATGATCAGATGGGTGCAGGCCTATTATCAAAATCTCAGGTGGGTGCTGCACCCACTTGCTTTAATGCTGGGTGATCACTTTATATACAGTACTGTCTCCAATTGCCATTTAAATACACACATGAATCATATATTTTATAAAACCACTGATTTGTCCAGGTGGTAATTCTGCATTGAGCAACAGATGGAAGAGAGACTTCATACCTGAAGAATGTGTCAACACAGTGGAGGTATTTGACCCAGAGACAAATTCCTGGGGGACAGGACCAGATCTACCAAATGCTGTCTGTGGGGCAGGTATGTTTCTATGACCTTGACCTAGATTTATATCAGTCTAGCTTAGAGCAAACAAGAAAGCTTTCTGAAGTGAACACTGTTGCTCTAAAGTGAAAGTGTTTATCTAAAAGGTGAACACTGAACATTGTTTTTTTAAGTGAACATTATTGTAAGGGAACTCGGAAACAATGTCTCTATTTGTCTAAAGTGAACACTGTTTGTTTAAAATCAACACTGTTTGTTTGTTTTTATCGATCCAGCACTTCCAATAAGAATCGGCTAAATTTTGTTAATCAACATTATGAACATCATTATTATGTTAGAAGGATTGAGTTTTGAAGATGAACCATAATTAAACTGTGGTAGCTTTATTTCTCCACAACTGTCAACGCTGGACACCATCCCATAATTCAATTTAAAGTATGACCCTTATCTTTCAGCTGTTGTAAAACATGGATGTGAAATCCTTGTTGTCGGGGGTGAGGATGCTAATAGCTGGATGGCGGGAAGTTGCAGACTACGCGATGTAGATGGTGTAGAGAAGTGGATAGAAGAGATAGAGCTACAGAGCGTCATGAGCGCATTTGCGTGTGTGACTGCGAATATTCCTAAAGAATTCATGAAGGATATAGATTCAGTTATGATGTAAGATGTTTGAATACACCCGTGGTCTTGAAGCCTTATAAGTAGCCTCATATATAAAACTATACACATTAAATATTAGCTTAAGCTAATTCTGTGCAGCAGAATGTTGAATTTGGTGACAGTTGAAAAAATAGAGGGCCTCTTAATAACAAGAGTATAATAATAATGTAGAGGTAAAGAGGTATTGCTTTATTTACACCTGCCTTAATGACTTAAGCCGTACATTCTGATTCTGTACCTAGATTTAATTAGGAACCCAATTTTCAACAAAAAAATGTTAACCTAGTTATAGTATATGGTATTTGGAAATATTTGCAAAAATTGCCAAATTACAACAGCCAATTTATCAATATATTGTATGGTATTTTTTATATTGATTTAACAAAAAGTATTCAAAAATTTATTTATACACACTGAGAGCCATGTTAATATATAATGTTAGTGGTCAAGTGGAACACCTCTATAAAGGAAACACTTTACGAGGAGAACCCTTCTGTAAGTGGACCACCTTGCATGAGAGAAATTTCTTTTCAAAGCCTGGTGAATGCAATGACCTTATGTTATGTTATGAACCTCTATACCTCCAAATAATTTGTGAAGTTTTCTTAGTGTTTTTATGATTTGAAATCGGTAAAACTGAGATCGGTAAAAGGTTTAACTGAGATATTTTGTAAGATATGATTTGTATAATTTTTTAAGTGAAGTTTATCCTTGTAACTGACATATTTTAATACCCAGAAGTAAATTATGTTTCTCTACAGTGAGTTAAGTCTTGCACTTTCAGAAAAATAATTTTTGGAATTGCACATTTCAACTAAATATTCTGATTTTAAACTTTGTATTATATATCATAATGTGTACATAGAATTTACGAACACATTATCAATATCGTACTCTAGCATTATATTGCTTAAACAAGCAATGATTAGATCAGTGCAATTCTGAATAGAAAACTTCAACCAATTACTGAGACCAACTTTTTATGTGTCTCTGATTTAGCATAAATGTGCAGTAATGTGTCTCTGATTTATAAGCTTGAGTCCATAATCTATGTTTAGCCATACAATCCAATTAGATGAGAATTTCAAAAATCATAAGATACAGAGATCTATTTGAAATTGTGTAATATAATTTTTAAATTGTGTATTATTTATAGTGAAATTAATTTTTTATTACTAATGACAGGCAATTTATCTGTAGAAGTCAAGTTTAGCCTAAGGGTTGTACAATGTATTTTTACTAGTATAATACAACTGCTTGACTTTTGGGAGGATTGGACAGTCATGACATTCACAAACATTGTTTGAGAGCAGATCAAATGTATATACATGTACTGTAGCTTATAGGCCAGTTATAAATGATTCACTTTACATAGTAGATTAGTGCAAATAGATAACTCTAAAATAATGATATTTGCTTACATGTCAGTTTACCTGGACATGAACCTTCTTTTCTTCAAATATTGAAGCTGAAAAAATCTTAACCTTGTAAACAATATGACAAGATGCAAATTGAAAAAAACTACTTGCATCTTCTACAAAAAAGTTTCAATTTGAAATATTCATGAAATATTTTAGAATCTCAACTTTATATGAATGAAATAAAGATCTATTTTTGCTTTAAATCCTCGTTTTTGTTATTATCAATAGATGGCGGAGTGATTCTTTAAAGGAATTTGATTAGTGATTCAGAGTGTACAAGTAGAATGTTGGAAGCAATATTTCAAAAAGCATGTCAATCCTAATTTTATTTTTTGATTGAAGATGCAAAATGTTCAAATTCTAAAGAGTTGAAAAGTTAACATCCCTTTAACCTCTTGAATCCCAGGCTCTAAAATCGGTTGAAACCAGAGATTTTTTCATTTTTGCCACCTTTTGACATTATACTACATACCTATACAACTACAGATGCTCAACTTAATAAAATTAGAAGCAGAGATCATTTCTATTTCTACACATTTTAAAAAAGAGCTTGTGTAAATTGGATGAAAATTGTTCAAATAAGAGCAATTTTAGTGAAAAATTTTGTGACGGATTTTCTTGTCACTGGGGTTCAAGGTCATTTCTGAGGTGACGAGAAATCTCAAATCTCGTCACTCCAGGTAGTCAAGAGGTTAAAAGGAAAATTGCCAGATATCTACATGTGGAAATTGAAAGATTATCTTGATATAAAGCCAGAACTGTTGATTTTTTAGAAAATAAGAATGACAAGACCCCAAAACAATTAACAATGCTATAAGTTGGATAATATTTTCTATGTGTTTACCATCAATTGTAGACCACACAGATGGTGGAGTTAGGATTGCCAAACCTTTGCAGATAAGTGTACATGTATTGAACCTTAGGTCCTATTATAATATAAAAGAGGTAAGAGATACAATGGACCTCCCTATACCGTATTGAGTGTCCAATAAATAAGATGAAAGATATTGTAACTTTCTTGTGTTGTACCAATCTTAATATCTTTACCTTTATTCTGTAAATTAAGCTTTTCTTATTTGATTGGCCAGAGTTATGGTTGCTATAGCAACCAAAACAACAAAAGGCAGGGCACTTAATCGTAGTGAAGTCATCTTATATTTTCAATTTGTGACGTAAAGAAACCTGCCCCCCCCCCTTTATTTGTTGTTTTGGTTACTTTAGCAACCATTAGTCTGATCGATCAAATGTGAAAGTTTTGTTTTACACCCTGTCCAAATTTCATCAAGATTGGTGCAATATTAAGAAAGTTGCAATATCTTTCATCTTATTTTTTGTACACCCAGTATGTGTGACCTTTTCTATTGGATAACTTGGGCCTATACATCTACTTGTCTTCCAGAAATCAGTGGTGGATGTTCATTATCACATAATTTCACTGTTCATGAGTATTCTCGTGGGAACTTCCAATTTCTACATGATGTTAAAATGGTTGAATTGCTACAAGGCCATGACAGAGAGTCATATGGATATTTGTTAATAAAGAAACAAACAAGAATGTAATGTTTTATGTCATATATTGCATATTTACAGTACATACACATGGTGTGCAACAGCTTCAATATCCTTCTATGACCTAATATGGAAGGAGCAAAATCTATGACCTTATATGGAGCGAAAACAAGATTCTAGAAATTACATGTAGTTCTGTATATGTAATTCTATCCAAAAATGTTTTTATTTATAACAATATGTAACTTGCATCATCTATATACCATGAACCTTCATTGCTGTAACTTCATAACAAAGCTAGTATTGTGAAACGTAGCTTACTTTTAGGCTAGGTGCAATTTTCGAAGCTTTAATATCTTCAGAAAAAATGTACCTAAGTCAATTGATGGGCAAGGTACATAATTAGGACCCTCTTACTTAAAATAATGAAGACTATTCAGTCTAAATAATAATATACCTGTGTGATTTCTCATCAAAATCCCATATTTCCATTGTTCTCTTTTAAGGATGACTTGTTTAAAATGATAATGACTGGCAATCCTTTTTTATCCAGCATCAGCTAATTTACACAAGAAATCAATCAATAAACCTATTAATCAATAGACCTATTAATGCGACAAACATGCATGTTTTTGTGTCACCCTGTATTTCTGTATAATTTTGGTGAGGCAGTTGCTCAATCTACTCAATACAGCCTCACATTTCCATCTATACACAGTTATCAGGTATACAAACTCACATGCTGATCAGGAACATCAACTTTCAATCAATATGATCAAGAGCTGTGCTGAGATATTACACAGGGAAAATGCATTCACAAGAAAGTAAGTCATGGAATATTCGAAATTAACCAAAGACATGTATATGATGAAATAAAATACTGAATGCTTGTTCATTCATGAATATGAAACAAATTTGTTGAGCGTGTTTTAGCGTCTATCATATTTTGAGCAATAGAGAGAAAGATGTTAACAATTGGACATGACTTGATGTTATATTTTTTCATTATATTTTGTGTGTGCCAAAACATGCAACTATTTTGAATAAGTTGTACCGAATAAGAGAACTTCAATTCACCTATAATAAATCGGCACCAAGACATATCTCCTAGATTTTACAATGTAACAGATTTTTTAGCCTTGCCCCAAGTCGGTCTCTTTTACTTATCTTGATTTCTATTATGACAATTCAAGATCAGATAAAGTAAAAATACCGACTTGGGGCAAGGCTACAGATTTTTCTCAAATTCAAATAACTCCCCAATTGCACACAAATTATCGCAAATTTCATACAAATAGGTTATTCAATAAATTACCATAACAAAAGTTTCAACCTTATTTGATTTTGTAGAACAAACATACATTTTAAGCCAATATAAGAGATGCACTTTCAATACACACCAATATAAGAGATGCACTTTCAATACACAAAACTGAGAATCAAGTTAACCTAAAGCTTTAATAAATAAATAAGCCTACAAGAACTGCATGTGAAATTATGAAATCAAACACATGCCGTTAAATACTGTATTTAGTATTGACAACTAAAAATAAAAATACAATGTTGCTACAAATGCTTTAAGAATGACAGAGATGTGTTTATGATCAAAATTCTATTATTTTCAGCCTAATAGAACACTGTTATTGCTCAAGAGTGAGCCTATATTTACTTTGTACTTTCTGGGGTTTTATTTAGAGCAGACAACAGTTTATATTTAGAGTTGTTTTTTGTCTTTGAGGAATTTTGCCCTTATACAAACACCTTCCAAGTGGAACTCCTTTTCAAAGTACCCGTTCTCATAATCTAATGAAATAATATGAATTTCTGAACTAAGAACACCATAGTATCAAGTCATATTTGATCTGCTGTTCACACTCAGTACATTAAAAGAGGTATAATAAAGTATGGTGTAAGGATGCCCAAAGAACCCTAGGACCAAAAAGGACTTGATACAACTTCCTATGACTGAAGTTCCATGTAGATTTCATGTTGTCGCTGACAAATGAAACCACAACTGGCTATACTGTCATATTTTCAACTTTGAAATCAGTCCCAAACAAGATACATCAACGAAGGCATAAGAACAATCTGATTCTCAAAACATACTGATCACATGCAACATAAAGCATTTAATAGTTGTTTATTTACCATAGAACATTTGTTCAAAAGCTTTTATAACACTTTAACAATGAGTGTTTAGTTTAAAATAGAGTCTTAAATGATGGGGCCATCATCATAAATTCTAAACCTAAATTACCACCAACATTTTTAAGACGTAATAATACGTAACCAGCTACATCAATAGACTATTATACCTCTTTTGGTAATTGACGAAGCTTGAAATAATCTTTTTGTATATAGAAAGTGATTTAGTTGTCTTTTAGAGCTGAAATCTTTCTTTTAGTGCTTGCCATCTGGCTACTAGGGAGCAATTTCTTCAAGCTTGGAATTTTTCAGGATGGGAAATTTGTACCAGTCTGTTGATGTGAGTTCCAGGTATTATGAATTAAAAACATTATGGGGTTACTTTGAATAGAATTTAAGGTAGAGCCTTTTGAAGTTTGGTTACTTATGACATCATACTACGCATCAGCCTGCTAGTTTAAGGTTTCTAATGTATTTCCAATTAAGCATTTGATGTTCTGGACTGGATAATGAGGTACGAAAGTCCCAGTAAATAAAATCCACAGTAAACAGAGTCCTTAGGCAACATAAGTGTAGATTTTCCTGAAACAAGAGGTAAATATGCAATTAGCATACAGTATAACAGGGTGTCAAATAAATATGTTCTCCCCCTTTAATTTCAAGAGCATGAACTTTTATGCATAAAACTACATCTAGTTGAGCTTTAGTCATCTGAAACGTTTTGCAGAGTTGCTCCATGAAGACTAGTTTTAATGTGCTATAGAACAACTCAGATTTCTTGCAGACAAAAAAGTTATACAACATTATGTGGATGTTAAAGTTACAAGGGGAGAACATGTTTATTTGACACCCTGTACAATACATGGATATTCATGAAAATGTAGAAAACCTAGCTTTTTGAATGTAACTCAACATAATGATTTAAGAAAATAGCAGGCAAAATTCAAACCTGGTGAGGTGTTCTTTAAAATAAATCATTACTGGTGAAATCTCGATACACAACTCTGAATTACCATATATACATTATAGATTAAATTTACATTATAAACTATTCTAAAATATAATTAGAAACCTTTAGTGCTTTGGACAAAAGACCAAGATATAGAGTAGGAAAAATAAAATGCACACTGAGATCATGAAGATACATGTTCTTAAGTCCTCCCAACTTGCCTACTTTAGCAAAACTCTTACTACATTAAAAGGCTGCCAGTCTCATGATGAAATCAGCCTCCATGCATAGGTAATTTTTTAAGATATGCAGGTCTTACCTATCTTCTGGTGTTCTAGCTAAATATTCTCTCTCTATAAGGCCCTCAATTCGTTTCTTTATAACTACTGGACTGGGAAGAAACCTGGCTTTGAGCTGTTCAGTGCACTGAAATGGGAAAAGTTGTGAAAATTTTATCTTTGTTTTACTTTTGCATCTTAAATGCATCACAGGACATGGTAGTAAGGGTCTAATGCAAATCTAGCCTCACTGGTATTAATTATTTTGGCCTCTATGAAAATGTTGCAACAATTCATTATCATATTAACTTTACACACCATGTCATGAAACTTGTTTTGTGATATAAAAGAAGACTAATAATGCTAACTGGCAACTGAGTCTCTCTTATACGATTAACCCTTTTGAATTCCAAGCTCTTTTGTGATTTTACTACATATGGATACAACTTTAGATGCACAGCTTTGTAAAATTAGATGACAGAGATAATTTCTACACATTTTAAAACAATTTTCGTGTAAATTGGATGAAAACTGTTCACATAAGAGCAATTTTAGTGAACAATTTTGTGACGGATTTTCTCATCACTCTGGGTTTCAAGGTCATTTCTGAGATGACGAGAAATCTCCTAACTCCAGGTAGTCAAGAGGTTAAGTGGCCTTTAATGTTATATCAGCAAAATAAATTCTTTAAATAAAAACTCCCGATTTGTACATGTATGTTTACTATTGGTAATAAGTCTATTTCTAAAATAAAAAATTGTTAAAATAAAAATGAATTTGACCACTCACCTCAGCAACAAGAACATTGTGTTGTAATTTTTTTCTCGCCTTCATAATTCTCACAATGGCTGCTTCAATTCTGACATGGAGTTAAGGTACAAAATTTCAATTAATATCTGTCATATTTTACACAGTTTCATAAAACCAAACTTATAATATTGTGAATTTATGAGCACATTAGCAAACTGTCAATGATTTTGTTCGTTGCATTTAGTGAGTGGGGCTTTGGGATGTATAGTAGTTCAAAATTTCAATTAATATCTGTCTTGTTCTACTTAGTACAAGTATTAGGTTTTTGTGTTTTTTAATATCAAAGTAAACTTATCATAAATGAGTTACTTTACATAAGCATATTAGCAAACTGTCAATCATATGGCTCGTTCCATTTAATAAGTATGGGATGGGATCATGGGAGTGTATCATAATTTAAAATCTCCATCAATATCTGTTATGTTTTACAAGATGCATGTGTTAGCATAGTAAAAGTTAACTTATTTGAAATAATTGACTTTATAAGCATATTTATAAACTGTCAATCATTTGATATTTGGTGTGGTAAAGGATACTCATGTTTTCTGTCTTCATCGACTTTACTGCGAGTTTCTTTCCTCTCAGGTTCAGATTCTCCTTTAGCTGCAACTAAAACAAGGAATAATATGGAATTTGGTGTTATTATGATATTTGGTGTGATAAAGTTTGTGATATTTGGTGTATTCAGATTCTCCTTTAGCTGCAACTGAAACAAGGAACAATATGGAATTTGGTGTTATTATGATATTTGGTGTGATAAAGTTTGTGACATTTGGTGTATTCAGATTCTCCTTTAGCTGCAACTGAAACCAGGAACAATATGGAATTTGGTGTTATTATGATATTTGGTGTGATAAAGTTTGTGATATTTGGTGTATTCAGATTCTCCTTTAGCAGCAACTGAAACAACCATGAGTTAAAGGCCCCATGTAATTTAAACCATTAGGCTTATGTTGTAGTCTAAACCTGGAATGTTATCAAATCTAAATGTGATTGTGAAACTTTTTTTTACTTCAAAATGCTTTTAAGGACATGAGGAGTCATGCAAAATGATACTTGGAAGATTAAACAATACTTTTGAACTTTGCATGGGGTCTTTAATATTTCACCAATATTTGATTCTTCTATTAAATTATCTCATAAGATTTATAAGAGCTTCCTAATTGTGTCATGCCAAAACGGCTTAAATGTTTAGATTAATTTAATGAATGAATTCATGAATTTCAGAGAAGTGGGGTCTATAAGGGATCTTTATATTTTTTACCTTATATTTTAGACCCCTTCTAGTTTTAATTTAAGAAAGTCGTATATACTTTATCTCAGCTAATTTTTGGGATGAAAATTGAGATACCTTAAAGCTATCACCTTTTGTTTTGGAGTTCATATACCTTATCCTAAGGAAGGCTTTAAATAAACGAGGCCAGAATGAAATAAACAAGGATATAACATTTATCCCTTACCTGTTTGTATTTTCACTCTGTACAGCTTAGATGTAAACATATCATTCACTGAGAATATGTGATCTGGACCTGGAAAAATATATGACAAAACTTTAAATAAATACTCCTGGTATTATTGCATGTAAATGTATGTTGTCTGAATAAAAAGTAAACAAATTCTTTAAAACCATATTCGTAGGTTTTATTTTTTTGTACCTTTCAACTCATGTTCATCAAATTCCTGTTTTAGGAAAATATAAACATGTAAAAATATGTGATAAAACTGTGAAGAAAATAAGTGCAAAAAGTCACAAAAAGGAATCATTTTTGGACAAAAACAATGTGAATTGACCTTTTGTACAATTTGACATGATCAGAAAAGTTTCATAATAGCCCTATACTTACATATATCTTTAGTTTTTGGCTCCTTGGAGAGAATTCTCTGTGTAATCTTACCAAGGGCTAGAGATTGGATTGCACGCATTAAATCTTTCTCAGGAATATCTGTTTCACTCTTGATTTCCTAGAATACAGAGAAAACATACATACCTGTATATGGAATACAGTATATGGGGTACTGTTTATGCAGTACTCTATTTTGGGTGACGTACATGTGGGAATGTAAATGGGGTACTATATATGGGGTACTATTTATTGGGTACTGAATATGGGGCACCGAATATGAGGTACTGGATATAGGGAGCCAAAAAAGACAAATATTGGACCACAAAAGGCATTAAATATGAACCAGGATAAATAGATTTTATTGCTATTGATGATATACACTTTCCTTTATACAACAACCTTTCAATCTACAATATAAGCTAAATGAAGGGTATAGTTTAACATAAGCTTATTATAACAGAATTCATACATTATATGTTCTCAAATTCAGATTTTATATGCTTTAGATCAAACCAAATAATTTTAAAATGAATCCATACCTCATATGTAAATCGATCTTGTTTATTAAACAGCATTAGCACACACATCTGATAGGTTGACACCTGAATAATGTGTTTTCTCGGTCCTTTCGAGCCATTAGAACCACTAGCGCCATCTCCTTCCTCTTTCTTGATACCAAAAAATGTTGCATTGAGATCCGCTGAGCCTAGATTTGGTTGAAGCGTTAGTTGTCTCCCACTATGCTTGCCGAGATAGAACCTATCAGAAAATACCCATAATGCAACTGTTCAGCAGACGTACATTTTTAAGATGATAAAACCTTTTGGTAAAGCATCATCAAAGTAACTTTTAAAATGCAAACAAAGGGAAGAGTGGACATAAACTAAGTCAACATTCTTAATTGTAAAGGAATGAAAGAAATTTGTATTGCTTATTGTAAAGATGAGTTGTAAGGTACACATGAACCTTAAAAATATGAAACTTGGGCAATCTTGAGGAAGCCCCACATAGAAAATGACATGCCAAAGAGATGAAATTGAAACATTGGAAATGGATTTGTATGACATACCGTTTAAATGCATCAAATGCGTTTGTTGCTGCGGCTGGTACATTACATGAGGGCATGGCAGACTGGGTAGGCCAAAAGCCAGTAGTTAGCACTCTTACAAACAGATCAACTCCATGCAGATTGGTCTGAAAAATAAAATACAACATTTTGTTTAAATGATTTTTTCTGTTTGGCCAGACATTTACTTACTACCAAAAAACCTGGGATATACATGGATGCGAGAATTGATTTTTTTCACTTTTTAGAGCTCTCTCTCAGTGGGACTCACTTCCCTAGTGTTACACATGCAAAATGTTAATGCTCAGATGTACAAGGCAATAGCAAGTTCCTTATTATTCATTATCAAAATATGGCAGATCTGTACTTACACTTGCACTGGTAACATGTGTTTTGAATTCTTCCATAGTTGTATTAGAGACTGTCATGTCTTTAAACATGCCTTCTAGCTTAGATGTGAACTGACAACCACACTCCGTCTGGAACATAAGGATATAAAGGTAAATAAGACCAGATATGTTGCACTAGAATACTGCTTATAGTGAAAATCCCATTGGACATTCACTCATCCTCTTAAGCAGGTATACAGAAGCCGTACCTCCTTCTTCCCCCTGCTATAACCAATTTGAAAGCGCCCGATTAAACTGAATCACATGATCTAATTATGCGCAATGACTTATATACACATAATTTCTGTCGCAGTGTTGCAAAAGCCAATCAGATTGCGAGTTCTTAATTGGGGAAATGCTAACTGCTTATCGCAGGGGGTAAAAAGAAAGAATATATTCTGGATTTTGAAGCCCTGTGAACGGAGGATGACATTCACTAGAAATCATGTCATATTCTAGAATTCTAGCATGGGTATATTAGTCAGGCATGAGGCAGACAAGGCAACTGCCTCACCAAAGGTTTCCAAAATATTTTTTCAGCCATTTTTCTACTCAAACTATGGAAATGTCAAAAGGTAAGTTCAGAGTAACATACCTCATTTAGTCGCAATTTCACTCACTTTGCCTAATTTTAGATCCAGGGACATAATATAATTATTTAATTTTTTTATTTCAAAAAATATTGCTATTTATATTGAAAGAACACTACACAATACCTTGAGCTTGGAGATCATATTTTTCTCAGAATCGTCAGACACACTCTTGTTGAGTAGGAGTCTCTTTGCAAGATGTTGTTTGTAGTAACGTTCAAAGACATCTTTCTCTTGTAGGAAGCGGAACAGGACCATACTCTTATCAAGGACATTCTCAATCTCCTGCTCAGTCATCTAAAACACATATATACTCTTGATCACTGAGAAAGCTACAGTAAAACCTGTCATACAGTCGAGCAGTGTGTACCTTTAAAAGTGAAACACCTTTGCAAATGGACCACTTCACAATCCCATGACCAATGACTTAGGCTGTTTTTGTGTACATAATTTTTGGACTGCGAGCAACACTTTAATCCTAAAGATTAGCTAGATTGTGCTTAGATTGCGTGATACTGGCAGTTAAAATAGCTTTCTCAAGTGGGTGCTAAATTCTCATTTTCACAATTCAGACCAAAATTGGTCAAAATATGCCAATTTTTCACGATTTTTCTTATTTTCAAGTGGGTGCAAATGGATTTTCAGGTGGGTGCAAGGCTATTAAAATCTCAGGTGGGTGCTGCACCCACTTACTTTAATGCTGGGGAGATCACGGCTCAATGTGTAATCATAATTGTACTTGTAGTCTAGTGCATGGAACCAGAAACAAGATGAGTAAATGAATTCAAGAATATGACCAATATGAGGTATCTTTAGCAAGATATTTCCCATATCTAAAACCTCTCACTACATCTTTAAATACTTTGCATTTATATGTTGTCATTATTTATTAGATTAAAATGAGAGCTTGTTGATAAGTCCAAAGTGGACTGGGTTTGATATAAGACTTTATTTTGTATGATTGTACATACATAACTTACCACTATAAATAACAAATTTGTAAACACAAACAAACATATATTAATAAATTCTTTCAAAAGATCTCGAAAACCAACTTACCCCCTTAACTCCTTTCTTTAATTTGTCATCAATAAACAATGAGAGATACTCTGGAGATTTCGTGTTCAGGTTGATAAAATATTCAAAATCTCCGGAGATCATCTGTTTGAATTGTTTATCATCGTTGAAGGACTCGTGTAGGAAGTGATCAAACCTGTCTTTTAGGTCAAGCAAACTCTGAAAATAATGGAGAATTTGTATAATTTCTATCCTAACCATTTGTTGAAAGACTTGTTATTGGTCATACTATATAACCAACTTTAGGTCATGCAAACACATTCAAAATAATGTAGAAATCATAAAAATTGTATTTGAGGATTGTTGAAGGACTCACGATCAGTAATAAAATCTGTTTTAGTCTGTTAGTTATGTGCATGCAAGCTCTAAATAAAACAATGTTTCATCTTTAAAGAAATCTTGAAAATATTTTGGGTTCACTTCTCAATTGATCAAATGTTAACTGGGAAGTGGTTTTAGATTCCTGTGTATTCACTTATCAGCTATACTCATGATTACCCTAAAATGCATTTACTAATCATGGACCTACCTGTACAAATGTTATAGCATTCTTACTTCCAGAGCCCTCCTCAGCTACTAATGCTTTTCCCTGCTCTCTTAGGTAGCAACTGATGCAATCACACATGGTCTTTAAGCCACTGGGTACACGCACAAAGAGCTTGAACATACACCCTAGATCCTCTGTCTTATTGTTCTTTAACATGTGAACTACCCCTGAGTTTTCCATCTGGAATTATAAAGAACCACCAATGGTATAAATGGTAATGGACGTGATTTTAAACAGTCATATGTTTTGCATACATGGCAGGACAAAAAGATATATCATATCTGCCATTGAGAAGAACTGATTTCAGACAATCATTGACGCTGACAATAAGGATGCTTCTTCGGCACTATTCAGTGTTGGATTAATTTTCTAAAAATGTATCTCCATTTTCCCAATATGAGACCCCTTACTAACCTCGACTATAGTTTTCATATGTTTACTGATTAGCTCTTCTTCTAGAACTTTGACTATGGGGTCTTCGGTTGACTTATCAAGGTAATGAGTTGCTCTCTCTGCCTCTTCCTTGATTCTCGCCTCCACTTTCTTTATATACACAGATGCACTATTCTCAGCCAAGAACTTTTGGCTCTCCATCTGAAGAATAAAATCAGTTGTCATGAACATCAGTAACATAGTCAATTTTAAATGGTTGGAGACATTAATTGAATACTAACAGTAACATGAAATAATGGATCAATTCAATGGGGTCCGATTCCCAAGTCATTTTTTGTTCAATAAACTACATGTTACAGTATTGCGTCAAAGGGTGTTATTACAATTTATAAGAAGTTTTCATACATCTCATTCCTTTTTTAGGCATTTCTTATGCTTATTTTAAAAATAGGTCAAGTTGCTAAAGTAGGTCAAATTAAAAATGTATAACATTCCCATTGAATGTATAAATTACCTGTTAGTTACTGCAAGATGTTGAAGATAATTTAAAAGATAAAGGCTTACCCTATAGAAATCAGAAGATTGATCTAGAAATGGTTTTTCGAAGTCTTCTTCGTACACTGAGCGTGAATCAATCCCGAGAACCATGAGCATCTGACATGCATTCTTTACAGCTCCCCTAAAATATAAGGATATTGCCCATAAGGCTATGCTGACAGTTTGTATGTATCTAAACATTTTACATGTTTTCTGCTGGCATTTATGGGCTTTTTCATTCTGCCTCTTTATCAGGAAAGAAGCTACACAGGCCTTAAGCCAGGATTTGCCAAGGGGGGGGGGGTATTTTTCAAAAATGTCCAGGGGGGGTTCACATTTGACAATTTTGGCCCAAATATGGCTAAAATCACTTGAGAAGTGCTCAATATGGTGAAAAACTGCATGATTTTGAAAGAATTTTGACCAGGTGGGGGGTTCGTCCGAACCCTGCGAACCCCCCTGGCTACGGGCCTGCTACTAAAATGATTTGTTGACATAGTGAGCACAGAGTTTAATACCACCGGGGTTTAATAAAATATCTGTTTAGCAGAAAAATTCAGAAAACAAGAATCTGATCAGTTGATCTGACAACAGAAGTGTGAACCAACTTTTCCAAACACTGGATATTTGGACGAAAATCTAATTGCCAAAAGAATGACATTGTTATGTTATGAAAAATGAATTCTAAAATTAGACTTCGGTAAATATTAAAATAAAAAAATTGGAATTTAGTAAACCATAGGAACATGATGCATGTTGGTCGAGTCAACAAATAAATTGTTTTTTTGAATTTATGAAGAATTTATCTTCAAAAAAAATTAACTAATCCTTCAACATGAGACATTTTCATCTGGCAAAACATTACCTCTTGTTCAAGGAATTTAACAAAAATTAATCTTGAAATTGAAGTTGACAAAATCCTTAAGACAAGAGGCATTTTAATCAGGTAAAAGTTAGCTCCATCTTAACATATCATCTCCATACCTATCAACAACTTCTCCTTTGCGCTCCTTAGCTACCATATCTAGAAGTGTTTCTCTTAAAAAGTCCTGAATTTCTGGACACCGGACCACTTGGTCACGGAATATCATAAGTCCTAGATTGTATACATTATCTACATTGTTCTGCTGTACATACACCCTATCCTGAAATAGAGAAAACGTCTGATATTAAAATATTGCATTATGGGTAACTCAAAACATGGATATTTTTTCAAGAATAAAATAACATTTCAAATTAATATCATCAAGCACAGAAGTCCTAAAATAGGATGCAATATTGTAAACTCAATTGAAAAGGGAAAATTACTCCAGACAAGTTGAGATGTGTAATTCAAAGTCACAAACTTGGTACTCAGATCCTTTATGGGGTTCCCCACTGGATTTTTTCTCAAGTGAGTGCAAAATTCTCATTTTCACAATGTATTAGACTGAAATAGGTCAAAATATGCACATTTTTCATGATTTCTCTCATTTTCAGGATTTTCAGGTGGGTGCAAGCTTGTTTTCAAAATCTCAGTTGGGTGATGCACCCACTTGCTTTAATGCTGGGTAGATCACTGCTTTAATACATACTCTATACATACATATACCTGGTACTTGGATCAGTTACTGATATTATAACCATGTGTTCAGACCAATCACTCCATAGTCATTTATACAAGTCACTCTCTATGGACTCACAACAATTACTCAACAATATACTCAGATTCCCCCACTCACTCATATCCAAGTTTAGGAACTTACAACATACTAAATCACTGAATTTGTACTCAATGTAGTATCACACTTACCATATACATGAGAATATCACGTATCATGACCATGGAAGTCTGGTGGTCATTCCATGAGCTATTTAAAGTCTGTAAAAAGTTATTGTGTAGTGATTCTAGAACTTCAGTCTTCACCTGGAACATGAATCACATGTGTTGTTTACTAGCATTACCAAGATCGTAGAAAGGCAAGTTGAAAATACAAGATGTCTCCGAAGAGCCAAATACATGTCAATATGGTTTTGACACTGATAAGACCCGAACCAAAAAATAACACCTCTGAAGTTTTGATTATGAAATAAATGCTAGCTACTTATGAAGGTTTCAAATCTGTGCGGTTTGTGATACGGAATACATGTAGATACCTTAACAACAGCATGTTCTGTTACGACCTCCCTTAGACCTGTATAAAGTTTCTCTCCATGTTTATGTAGGACCATCGTATATGCATTTCTGTATAGCTCCTCAAAGCTAAGCCCACTGTTATTTTTCTTCTGGATCTCTTGTATAGCATTCTTCAGGAGGGCCCATATGCTGTTTACATACTTTTCATCCATCGTCATCTGAAACAAAAATTGTATGAATAAATGCACCATCCTCCTAGGCAGTTATTCAGAATCCTTACCTCCTTCTTCCCCCTGCTATAACCAATTTGGAAGAGCCCGATTAAACTGAATCACGTGATCTAATTATGCGCAATGACTTATACATGATTTCTGTCGCAGTGTTGCAACAGCCAATCAGATTGCGAGTTCTTAATCGGGGAAATGCTAATTGCTTATCACAGGAGGTAAAAAGAAAGAATATATTCTGGATTTTGAAGCCCTGTGATCGGAAGATGAAAATGCACAGGTTCCAAAAAAACATTAAAAGAAAGATACAGCTAACTTAACACAGATAGTCACCAGTAAAAACCAAGCCTCAATATTAATTTTAGAAATAATGTCTAACATCCTCCCTCGACACAACTGAAGAATCAAATACGGCACAATCCATTCATACCATAATACACATTGAAGAACAGACTAAAACTATTTTCAATACTTTTAACATTGAAAACAGTTGAATTATTTCTTGAAGGTCTATTATAAATGGCTTATCTTTAAACATACATAATATCTTAAAGCATCTAAAATTATGTGCAATTTTGATGCACATGTTATACGTTCATTGATCAGTCGGTTAGATAACATGTGACTGTCAGTCTTAATTTATGAATGGTGGGAACCACAAGTGACAGGAAAGATGAAACCTGCACATCGCTCCAAAACGCAATCTTGGGTTGTTTCGGGGGTGAACTTTATCATTTTGAGCTTAATTAAAGATTATAGAATGGTGAACATATATAGCAAATCTGGTGTACAAATACTCACGATAAATGTGTCATTACAACGATTATTCATTGAATTGCTTCGATTGTCGACGACAATATGATTTTTGGAAGGTTTCTAAATTAAGAACGTGACGTCACTTCCGAATTATAGCATTCAAAATAAGTAGCGTTAATTACACTCATCATTCATAAAGAATCGGTAGCACAGCGGTAGAATGCTCGCTGTGCACGCAGGCGGCCCGGGTTCGAATCCCGCCTACACGTCTTTTTCTTTTTTTTACTAAATGATTGTTCTTTGATATTACACAGAAAAAAACTTTTTATTTACAGAAACTTTATTTTAGAGCTTGAAAATGTAAAAATTAGTACCGTGGGTACTGGGCTCACATGGTGTTGCTCAAAAGTGAAAATAAAAAAGACGGGTATAATTTTTTGCAGATTTTTTGTGACAAAATTATTTCATACAACTACTCTTTACAAAGACATGGATTTTTACAATGCAGGACACCCGAACTTATTTGTAAAGCTAGGAAATGGGCCAAAAGTGAATTTCCCGAGACAAAAATGGTGGCCATTTTGAAATTAGGCAAGATTTTGAAGCAGGAGTCACAGGTTTTTTTTCTTTAGTGATGTTGAACAAAATTATTTTAAATCGGGAATCCTATCTACAGAGGATTTAAATAGTGTTGACAGAGGTTTAAAACTTGCCACTTTTTTGGACTGACTGAGAGATAGATGGACGAATCAATGTTAACTAAAATGGCTGAAAATAAAAAAAAACTGATATAATATTTTGCCGATTTTTTGTAACAAAATTATTTCATACAACTACTCTTTACAGTGACATGGCTTTTTACAATGCAGGACAGCTGAAATTATTTGTAAAGCTAGGAAATGGGCAAAAAGTGAATTTTGCGAAACAAGAATGGCGACCATTTTGAAAATAGGCAATCTTTTGAACCAAGAGTCATAGGAGAGTTTTTTGTATTGATGTTGAACAAAATTAACTTAAAACGGGAATCCTATCGACAGAGGGTTTAAGGTAAATGGTCCAAAAGTGGATTTTGTGAGACAGATGGACAAATCAATGTTAACTAAATGGCTGAAAATAAAAAAAATGGATATAATTTTTCGCTGATTTCTCGTAACAAAATTATTTCATACATCTTCTCTTTACATTGACATGGATTTTTACAATGTAGGACACTTGAAATTATTTGTAAAGCTAGGAAATGGGTCAAAAGTGAATTTCGCGAGACAGAAATGGCGGCCATTTTGAAAATAGGCGAGCTTTTGAACCAGAAGTCATAGGGGAGTTTTCTGTATTGATGTTGAACAGAAATAACTTAAAACAGGAATCCTATCGACAGAGGTTTTACAACGTGCCACTGTTATTGACGAAAAGTGGATTTCACGAGTCAGATAGACAAATCAATGTTAACTAAAATGGCTGAAAATAAAAAAATAGATATAATTTTTCGCTGATTTTTTGTAACAATATTATAACATATATCTACCCTTTACATTGACATGGATTTTTACAGTGTAGGACACCTGAAATTATTTGTAAAGCTAGGAAATGGGTCATAAGTGAATTTCGCGAGACAAAAGTGACGGCCATTTTGAAAATAGGCGAGCTTTTGAACCAGGAGTCATAGGGGAGTTTTCTGTATTGATCTTGAACAGAAATAACTTAAAACAGGAATCCTATCGACAGAGGTTTTAAAGGAAATGGGTCAAAAGTGAATTTCGCGAGACAAAAGTGACGGCCATTTTGAAAATAGGCGAGCTTTTGAACCAGGAGTCATAGGGGAGTTTTCTGTATTGATCTTGAACAGAAATAACTTAAAACAGGAATCCTATCGACGTAGGTTTTAAAACGTGCCACTATTGTTGACGGACAGACAGACAGACGGACGGACAGACGGACGGACGGACGGACGGACAGACGGACAAGTGAGTGATTGCAAAAGCTCACCATGTGAGCTAAAAACAATATATGTCAAAATATTGCGTTTTGGAGCGATGTGCAGGTTTAATTATTGTAAAAATTGCAAAAAGCAGGATGACTTTGCTTTGCAGGTGGTCTAATTCATCACCTGCTGCTTTCAAATGTAAGGGTTGATTTGCAGGAAAATAAATAATGATTATTATAAACAGTAATGGCTATAGTAACGAATGATGATGATTAGATAGAATGGATAGAATCACGGGCTTTCAATCAGAAAGCCGATGATAGAATCTAGAAATTATTTTTTGAAATGTAAGCTTATATTTTTAGGGTGTTTCGTAAAAATTGTATCTCATCCATGGTCAATCCTGGATCACATTGTCCATAATCTAAATATTGCAATTGCTTTCTGGATTAATGAGTGAAACATTAGCATTCCTGATTCTAGTGAACATATAGTTTGTCTGGTAGTCACTTTCACCCCCATTCAGAGCTTACTAAGATTTAGAGTTCTCTAAATAGTTGAAATATTTATAACAACTTTTTTGTTCAAATATGACCAAAGCACATCCTCAACATTGATAAAATATTACTGTCGGAACATTACTTTAGATAATAGTGAGGCATTATTTTCATAGTTGTTTGCAGTTTACGCAGATAAATTTTGAGTTATCTAGCCCTCGCTAAGATCAAATATGTAGGTACATTTTTGTAGAGATATGTAACAAGTTATACGGAGCTTCTTGAAAATTGTGATAAAAAGTCCCAAACTGAGCGGGCTTTCATTTTGTATGTAACATGAGGGGGTATACCATCTAGGGAGATCAGTGGCGTAACCAAGATATTGATAGCAGGTTACGTGAGGCCAAAGGCCGAGCAAAACTAGGGGTTCTGGGGACATCCCCCTTGGAATATTTTTGATTTTTAGACCTTAAATGGTGCGTTCTGACTCTGAGCGATATCGAACTGTGTAATGGGGTACTTCTACATCATTTAGGGTACGCAACTGCCCTCGCATATGCCTGGGTACGCGCCTGGAGATGATGGAAAGTCATTACAAAATATAATTTATGCAATTGTACTAAAATGAATATTGAATCATGTTGTAAGATAAAAGTTTGGTTCCATTGAGTAAGCATAAGCTTCCAGGAGAACCTCTGGAAATGGGTGGAAGAATCACATTGATGATGTCATCATTCAAATATAAACATTGAGATTGATTGAATATTCATTTGATTATTATCATTGAAAGTCAACCAAATGGTGTTGCCTCTTTGAGAAAGATATTTTGATAACTACAGAAACAATAATCTATTCTTTATAAACACAATTCAGTTTTGAATCATTATAGCAACTATTTAAAAGAAAAAGTGTTCAACAACACTTGAAAATGATTGAAAATACTCACGGGAAATGCTCGGATCCTCATTTTTGTGTCCTTTCTTCCTTTCAACCCAGACATCTTTTCAGACTTATATTTCTTGTACTTCCTGATAATTGTCTATGTTAATATTGAGAGTGGTGTTTTTTGAGATACTAGATATTACATATTTTAAGGTTTTAGATCCATATTTTCTTTAATGATGACTATAAACTCAATATAATTCCTCGAAATATTTTAACAAATTTTTACTTTTCTGTTTTGATGACAACTACTGCGCATGCGCAATAGTCTCGAAACAAACAGTTTTTATTTGTGTAGTTTCGAGATTATTGCGTACCGCTCTGTCACTTAGTACTTCAATTTGTAACATTAAAATCATACACTAGGTGGGGGTAAGACCCGGGGGCAAGACACCCATCCCCAATAGCAGTGTCTCCACAATGTATGAGATTCAGAGTTCAGGGCCAGTGCTACCCACCGTGATTGCTTCAGGCCGCAATTTTACATCAATCTACAGTGTAGACTATTGCATTGTATTGTAATGTATTGCACTGAACTGTACTGTACTGTATTGTACTTTTGTATTGCATTGTATTGTATTGTAAGCCTATTGTATGGTATGGTATTGGTATCCACTCAGGGGCGGATCCAGGAACCAACAAGGGGGGGGGGGCAAACTTTAGGTCAGAGAAAGGGCCCCTAAAAGGGGCCCCTAAAACCGAAAAGTGGGCCCAAATTTTGAGGCCCATTTTCTTCAAAATTTTGGCCTGAAATTAAAAAATAAGGCCTTAGGAGGCCCAGTAATGACCAAAAGGCCCACTTTTGGGGGCCTCAAGTTAAGGCCTTTTTTGGCCCAAGAACTTTGATGGGCCCAATTTTTTTTTCTGGGCCAAACTTAGGGGGGGGGGGGGGGGGAGTTGGCCCCATGGCCGGATCCGCCACTGGTATCGTATCGGAGCTGCATCGTATCGTATAGTATTGTATAGAATTGTATCGTATCGTATCGTATTGTACTGCAATTGTTTTGTTTTGCATTGTATTGTATTGTAAGCCTAACCGTATTTTATTGAATTATAATTGTATCGTATTGTATTGTAGTGGGCCCTCTGGCCCATAGCCAGGATTTGCCAAGGGCGTCACTTCTGAAAAATTCCAGGCGGTCACTTTTGACGATGTTGCTCCAAAAATGGCCGAAATCACTTAAAAATGCTCAGAATGGTGAAATTTGCATGATTAAGTGAAATAATTTTTGGCGAGTGTGTATGTAGGGGGGGGGGGGGGTCGCTCGAACAAATCGACCCCAAATCGACCTCCCCCAGGGGCGGATCTGGAAACCAACAAGGGGGGGGGGCAAGCTTCTGGTCTGAGAAAAAAACTTCCGCACTTGCGCGAAAAAAATTTTGGACCCCTAAAACCAAAACCTAAAACCCAATTTTTTCTGGGCCCACCCAAGGGCGTTCCCCCCACCCTACGGGCTATTGGGAGAACAAAATACCTCAACTGGATTAGGTATGTTTATGATATGATATCATTGGATATAATATTGCTTTTATTCGAGGGAAAATATGATATTGACCACCAAGGAAAACACCACTTGGTACAATGTAGCTCGGGGGTTAATCAGGTTGATGTTCGTCGGTGTCACTGGGTGGAATTACATCCATGTCCCTTTAGGCCTTTTATAGTATCAAAACAGATGTGACATGCAGTGCTCGCGGGCGTGATGTGCATTGTGAACTATCCAATCTTTCACGCCAACATAGAATGAATGAATGAATGTTATGATCTAGTTGGGACGTCAATTTAACTCGACGATAATTACCGGGGAAATATTTAATGTCCCCAATGTATTTTCTCAGGGTTTTCTTAAACACGCGTGTTAAAGTGATTTTATTTGGCTAAACATTCTTAAGCACACCATTTGCAAGCTATTACATTGGCATATTTGCTCTGTTTTTTTTAATATTGGTGTCTATGGGAATGATTAAATCATGAGCAATATGTACAATTGACCTATCAATCTATTCCTTACAATCTTAAGTACAATATCCCCCCAAAAATTCACGATATGTTATAATTGGAGGTGAAGTTATAATAGATTCAAAGTGCAAAAATGGGTGAAATTGTAAATAATATACATTATTGTAAAAATCTTTACTTTCCCTGAAATAAAGTGTGCACTTTGGGAATTTTTAGAAAATAGACATAAAAAGAAATGACATAAGCCAAAATTATTCTAAAATTGAAACAATTTTTTGTTAAGCTGCTCGCGATCTGATTCTCTCTTTAGGATCCCAATAAATACTGAGCCCACTCAAAATATTATTTTGTAAGCATTGAAGTGAGCAATTGAAAAATCGAAATTAAAAAATCTCTGAGACTATATATGCAGAGAGGCACCAAATCCCGGAGTAAAATTAAGGTGATCAAGGAGCAATTTTGTCCGTTACCAACGTTAACATGTTTGAAGAGCAGGCTCATAGAGGCGTGGCAATGATGTAACATATATGAAGTAAATCCATACAAGGGAGGATAATCGAGATATTTTATGTCACGATGTTTGTGACCTCTCTGTTACAAGTGGGCACAATGTGGGCACAACATTTTCAATTTTGTGAGTACTCTACTTGAAATCATCAAATATAACATTCAAGTATTTTCGTAGAACTCGTTTGGATAAACATTAATTATATGATTTTATCAACATACAAATCATCTCTAAATATACAACTACAGATGAAGGAGAAGGGTGCGATGCCATTTCATCTCAGAGTTTGGACCAAATATAGGTAAGAATGACTTGCTTTCATTTAAACTCTGTTTAAACTCTACCGTTTCCGCATGATATGAAAGGGGAAAAGGTAACATAATATTTTTCATGATAACCATCAAATATTATAACGTTTTATTTTACTAAAATAAATAACGTTTTATTTTACTAAACCACGTAAAAACGTCGGTATATTGATGCCATTGGTAACATTAACATTACGGTAATTTGATTGATAACATTAACTTGATTGATAACATTAACATCACGTTAACTTGATTGATAACATTAACATCACGTTAACTTGATTGATAACATTAACATTACGTTAACATGATTGGTAACATTAACATTACCTTAACTTCAATTGATTGATAACATTACATTACGTAAACTTGATTGATAACATTAACATCACGTTAACTTGATTGATAACATTAACATCACGGTAACTTGATTGATAACATTAACATTACGTTAACTTGCTTGTTGGTAGCTCCGGACACAAGACTATTGATATCACTTATATACTGTGATGTTAAATACATATTTTGCTAAACTTATGTGGATATATAAATGTTGATAAAATAAAGGATTTAATGCACTCCGAATATTTTTTCAGACTATGTAGACATGGTAGACTAGATATTAAGTACCCTTCCATATTGGAATAACAATGTTTGCGAAAACTATTCTAAAGTTGGTGTTTCGGATTGTGTTCGTGTTGCTTTGTGTCACGAACACCAGCCAATTGTTGTTTGAAGAACCTGGAGGTACGTGATGAATCTAAGTAAAGTACGTAACCACAGTTATCCAAAGGGAAGAGAAAATGAAACGTCCAGTCATAGGGACAAACGACCCAAACACAGAAAAAGACATCTTTTCCCACTTCCGCAAATGTCTAGGAATAAATATTACAATCCAAAATTCAGTTGAACATTTGAAGTCATTTTTACTTAAGTCATTATTATGCTTTAGTGATTTCGTTCCGTTTAGATGATATTGGAGAAAATGTTTTGCAGTGTGTGAAAAGAATTTTAGCCCAAGCCTCAATGCATTGTGGCTGTTTCATTCCACTCAAGAGTTGTTCCTAAACTTTGCACTCCCGCTGCGCAGTCATGCAAAGGTTTGGAAACAACACCGGCCTTCATGGTATGATTCAGCAAACAATGCACTAAGTCCAGGGCTTAAATCCTTAATTCATACATAAATAAGTGATTTATTGAATGGTGAATAAGCTATTTTACTTGCATGATTATACTTAACATCTTTATTTTTCAGTCATCCACAGAGAAATGCCATTTTGCAAGCACATACGTGGCAATAATGCGTGCGCAGTTTATGGCGGAACTCTGATCATAACATGTGAGATCACTCTACATTACCCTGGAGACAGTGATGCATCTAAAATATTTTTCCAGGTTTGTTCATAGTTACACACCCCTTCAAAAGTTTGGAAACTCCATCTACTTAGTAAATAGCGCGTGTTTACCACATTTTAAGTTTAATTTGATCCCTACATTACAATAGGGCAAATATTATAGAACTAAAGATTTTAGTAGTGGAGTTACCATATGCAGATACCTTGACCCTTTGATTAATAGTGAATCATATTGTAAGTTTTAGAATTATGGAGTGGCTACAATTTTGACATTGTTAAATGGTGAAATTGGGGTGCCCAAACATTTTGAGGGAAGTGTGTTCACGAGAAAAATAATTATTCTATACAGAAGTTTTAAAATCGATAAGGACAGAAATGGGGTTGATTCTATCTTCTTTTTCGGTTGATCGGTCTAAAAACCCCTTTCAAAAAACAAACAATTGTAAAATGACATTGAGATTGGGTTACACAAAATATACACTATGTTGAAATGATTGATTAGATTGGGTTTGATTATAGAGAAAAATAAAAGTTTGGTAACAGAAAAGTAGAAAGGTCTCTTGAAAAACGATCCTTCCCTTTTAATCAAATTTAATTACAGATCATTTCGTACAACTTATCTCATATCATGCTTTTATTTTAGGATGGTAAAGGCCTTGATGCCGTTTATGGATACAGTGCTAAATATAGTTTTATAAATTGATGTGCGTATAAATATCGATATCCATGAAAATGTATAATTCAAAACTAAATTATTCAAAACACATTACATTCGATTTCAGTATCAATCGGCAGAATCAGAAATGTCAACATATCCGGATAATTTCACAAAAGTTCTTTCAAACATAACAGCGCAGCTGCGGGTTCCAATCATGCCATACTTTAACTTGAGCAATCCTGAAGATGGACACTGTCATCATTTCTGCATGATCAGAGAAGAAAATGGGACAAATGTGACACTTGCAGAAAAACTAACCATCGTTGGGCGTAAGTGACTACTTTCCTTAATGTTTGGTAATTCCAACTCTCTTATTAGATCATGTATTTTAAAAGAGATATCTATGGCTTCCTTTAGTAAGAATTAAATCAAAAATATGAACAGACTCTTCATGGCATCATTCAAGTGGGGTTAGGGATTACCAATCTTTTAGTGGGTAGTGTATTTAGTTATTACATATTCAGAGTAAAACGAGAATCGCTCGCTGACATGTCAGGCCCATAGCCAGGATTTGCCAAGGGGTTCACTTTTTAAAAAAAATCCAGGGGGGGTTCACTATAGACAACTTTGGCCCAAATATGGCCAGAATCACATGAATAGTGCAAGAGTGCTCAGAATGGCGAAAGCTGCATGATTTTGAAAGAATTTTTGACCAGGGGAAGTTCGAAACCCCCGACCCCCTGGCCGTGGGCCAGCATGTTGTCCTCAACAAACTACACTGCTGCTCACAGATATGGAATATTTGTCAATTTACCATTGGTTTTAATAACAGTTGCGCTTTCAAACATGCATTTACAAGCTTTTATACAACAATCTTAACAAACAACACGCCCCTTTTCATTTTCTATGGGAATTAATCTACCAGTTTTCCATACATTCCCCTCCATAAGTTTGGCAACCTTTTTTCCCTCATTGAACTACGTGTTAAAGCCTCTTTACCTATGAATTTTTATTTACTTAACCTGCGATGAAAATACTTATACTATTGATGGAAACGTAATTTAACTTTAATTCCAATACCTCCAAATTTTCTCAATTTTTTCCTCAATTACAGTAGGTCGTAAATTGATGATAAATTTGATGAATTTTTGAAAATCGACATTCCCATGTTAACCAATGGGAAATGGTAGGTTTGCCGCAAGTCATATGATAGAATATCCATCCATCCGAGTCCTTGCAAAAATACGAGTTAGGCAGGTAATTGAATTTGCTAACTTTATTTAACAAAAAAATTATATGTTTCTTCAGGTTCAACAAAGTTATAGGGCTTTAAAGTCAAAATTATTTTTCAAAAAACCTCTCCCATTGAAATAACACAGGAGGCGAAAAAATCTTTTCAAAAATGACTTTGAAGCGCTGTAACTTTAATATTCATCAAATTAACTAAACACTTAGTGTTCAAAAAAGTTAGACAATTCAATTTTCTATATAAAAATATTTTTTGCTGAATCCTTTACTGAAAAGATATCCTGATTTCTGATTTGCCCCGAACCCTCCATTTCCCATTGGATTACATGGGAATGACGATTTTCAATAATTCATCAAATTTATCATCAATTTTCGACCTATTGTAATTGAGGAAAAAAATTGAGAAAATTTGGAGGTATTGGAAATAAAGTCAAGTTACGTTTCCATCAATATTATAAGTTATTCCATCGCCGGTTAAGTAAATAAAAATCCAAACGTAAAGAGGCTTTAACACGTAGTTCAATGGAGAAAAAAGGTTGCCAAACTTATGGAGGGGTGTACGTGTTCAATCGCCCTTTTAATATGCATTTTCCACTTACTTTCCAGGTTTTCCAGCTAAACCACATAGTATCCAGTGTGAATGGATCAACTGGGAGTACCTTGACTGCACCTGGCAGCCTGCTTCTTTTAAAAGTAAAGCAGTGTATACATATGTCACAGCATCGTTGAAAACATGGTAATATCAACAAATATATTTCTTGGACATTGATTATTGTGTCAAACAGGGCAGATCGTTCCAGAAAATGACCACTTTGTATTTTTGATAATTGTTTTACTCTCCCTTTCCGGTCAATTATACTGTAGCATCAAAGTCAAAACACGGGCATTCCGGACAAGTGGTTTGAAGATTTTTTTGTGGTTTGACGATTTAATTAATTGATAATGGTCATCGCTAACATATGTTTTAATTTATTTTCTAACTTTCAGCAATACCTGTGAACCACAGGTAATCACGCAACGGTATGGGGACGAATCTTCCAGCTATGTGAATAGATGTCGCTTCAACTTAAGTCAGAACGCTACCTATTTTCACGTCGACGTGAATTTAAGTAACCCATTTGACGAAGTAGGGAAGTCGGCGAATATATCTGGAGATTCAAATACATTGAGTAAGTGAGAGAAACAATAGAGTAGCTCAACTTTTGAACAGCTACGTGTACGTAAAATTAATCAAGAGTACTCCAACTAGAATATATACAATTATTGAATGGCATTTTGCGACCCCCCGAAACGCGAATTCGTCATGACGCGAATTAATTTGAGATAGACAATCCATGAATTACTAATGCGCGAATATGTTAATATATCTTGGCTATATCCATCATATGAAAATTAATATAACTAAATAATTTTCAAAGAGAACTAGCAGGTACTGTCCGTTTACAGTTAAACCAGCCATGGTGCACTCTGTAGCACGGGCAGTAAACAGTTCATGCGTACACCTATCGTGGAAGAGAACAGCTCCAGAGGGTGTGAATGTGCTTTACTTTATCAAATATTGCTCAAAATGGAAAGACAACTGTAACGAGGTAGGAACGTCATTTCGAATCAAATACAACTTTCATTCTAGACAACTACATACACCTAGGTTAAAAGTAGAATGAATGATTTGTTATCCATTATAATTTACATCATTGAAGAACGCGGATTAGAAATTAATTGTTAAAGTTTTTTTTCATTTTCATGTCGGCGGTCGGTGTGTGTAAAAATGGCATTTTGCATGTTATTGGCTTGTCTATCTTACAGACGCTTAAGACAACGGAACAAGCTATATACTTAATTGGCCTGGTCCCTTTCACTAACTACACAATTGAGGTAACCGTCAGAGCCACCTATAATGGTAATGTGACTGGATACCCGAGTGACATTTCGGTGAGCTCCGTGACTTCTATGGAAGATGGTTTGTAAATTTTGCATTATGGATAGAAACTCATATTTATACAATATGCACATAGTACAAAGGAATAAGATGTGAAATTATTTATTTTTAAGAATGGTTTCAATACTACATGACGTACTATAGAATATAGACCAAAAACAACAAGTAAGCTTAGGAAATATAAAGAAAACATCGCTCGTGAATATCACACCGCAAAAATATATAGGCCAACGTCTTTTACAGTTCCAGGGGGTGTTCCAAAAATCCCAAGAGGGGCATTTTGGATTAATAATGATGTCATTACAATATTCTGGCATCCCATTGAGCCGAAGTTACGTCATGGTTACGTCACTTATCATGCGTTCATGGAAGAACCGGAATTTTCATTGCCAAAAACTAAAACTGAAACATCTGCAACTTTTGAGTACACAAATAATGACGTCACTAGATATTATGTAAGAAGTAAAACAACTTCTGAAAATATGTCACTGCCCATTCCATACATCGACGTTCATGGAAAGTCCATTCGTAAGATCTTTTTGATGTTTTGTTAATTATTTAATTACACTATGTAAATAATTTAGGGTGCGTTTTTGCTGTTTCGCTTGCCAAACCATTTCTCTCATGATATATGGTAGCTATAAGTGGTATTTTAATCGTTATAGGTCCGCCCCATCCATCCTGGAATGTATCAATGGACAATGGAACTGTGATCTTCCAATGGTTGAATGAAGGCGTTGAACATTCCCACACTGTCTTCTGGTGTAGAAGGAACCCAGCTTCACTATGTCAAGTACGTACACCCTCCCCCCATCGTCACTCTGAAATAACAGTACTAGTATCGTACGGTACATCAAGAGTATGATATCATATTACGTACATGTACCGTTCGAGTATTGTGTCGTACAGTGATCACATTACTGAAAAGTACTGTTTTAGTCAACGTAACCGTACGGTATCATAATTTACGATTCTTACGTACAGTACCGTAGTCAAATGGTACCGTGTGGTACTGGTAGTGTTGAAAATTGGCCATGTCGATTATTTAACAAGCATTATTACAATGAAGTCTCTCTTTATGTAGAATATTATACATACACAGAATTCCTTTACCGATGTTTGTTCATCTGTGTTAATTTACCATACACGGTAAGAGTAAGAGTAAGAGTAGTAATTAAGAGCAATACTTTTTTCAAGGGAGAACTTAACTCTGTAGAGATACCAAAAGGAGTCAACAACTTCACGATGAGTAACGTACCAGATCCCGGGACTCAATTGTTTGGGTTGTCTGTCGAAAACGATTTGTCCAGCAGTGGAATAGAATGGGCGGAATGTTCACATAATCTCAATATACGTAAGGGTACCAAATAGTAAATGGGGAGAGGTTTAACATACTACTTAACCGCTTGAATACCAGCCTCTAAAAAGGGTTTGAAACGAGAACATTTTTTATTTTCTGCTAGTTTTCTGGGTATTTAGATCTAAAAACACAATGTTTGATATTTGATTTCATAAGAATAGTAAACATAGACCCATTACATACATTCTAAAACATAATTTGTGAAGATTGGATAAAAAATGCCAAAGTTAGAGCAGTTTAAGTGAAAAATTCTATGACAGATATATCTGTCGCTCTGGGTTCCAAATGGATTTTATTTGTGACAGATATATCCGTCAGTCTGGGTATTCAAGAGGTTAAAACGAGATAAAGCAACATGTATTTTGATACCTTTTATATATAACGTGAACGTGAATGGGGAGAGGTTTAACATACTATTTATATTGCGGTGAAGCTACACGTTTTTAAAGACCTATTACGTGAACGTGTAGAATAATGGTCCTCTAGAGATTAGTTTCCCCTTTCATAGCATTTCCTTGCCTGGTTGAGTTGTATCAGGGAAATAATTGTAATTAAGCTCCTAGAAACAATTTAGGGGGGGGGGGGCAATGATCAACGAGCACATGATACAAGCCTACACGTTTACGTAAAAGTTCTCTAAATGTAGCTTACGCTCCCTAATAATGGGCAGATGGGGGTCGTTCATTCAATTTAACACATTCTTGATCTTATTAGTTTTTTTCCATCAAAAACAGACATTCATTTATCAATTTCAAAATAAATGACACGAGCGAAAATAAATAACCTAATATAACATTACAAGTGGAATACTTAGCACCTCCTGGTGTGTTTGATGACATGTCAATATGACTCTAAAAACTGAAGTACCAGTTTTTACACTTATCAAACTAATATTTATTTTTCTCTTCACATTTCTTTTTTATATGGAAGATAATTCAATATCAATGCTCTTTTGGTTTTATCAAATAAAAGCAAAACATAGTTTTATATCTTTACATGCATGATTTTAAACACGTTTATTTAAGATGTGTACAGTGCCCTCTTTTTAATTTACAGAACCGACAGAAGCGCCAAATAATTTCGGCTTCACTGAAAAACAGGAGCCCGAAAGTCTTCAAGTGCGATGGGATCCATACACTTGTGATAAATATTCGGGCATCGTTACCGGATATGACATCAGATACTGTAACCAGGCCGAATGTAAAGGTATAAGGAATACTCATTCTGATACTCATAGCATCTTTCTGTTTCAACTGAAACATGCTCTGATATTATGAGGCATATTCAGTGATCAGAGCACATCAGATGGGAAGAGTTATAACTGTCAATAAGTGTGATTGTTATCATGTAATCATCAAACCTAATGTCAAGACATTACACAATAGGCATTGTATTTAACAGCAGCTATTACAACAGGCACAGTTACACAAGTTTTGTGATGAAATATGAGCTGGGATGACAGATCTCAAAAATCCCAATTTTGGGCTCTCCTGGATCGCCAAATGAAGCTCATTATATCATGGCATCTCAGGGCTGAGAAGATTTGAGATGTCATGGTTTATCACGATGGGAATACTAATTATATATATACATGTAAATAACATAACTTCTAATAAATATCGCCTGCCCTACATATAACGAAAACAGAGTCATGGTTAAAGAGTAACTCTAATCTCGTTCAAAAGCCCTCATCTCCTTCCTGAAACATTACTCTTTTTGTAATTTCTAATTTATCTTAACAGTTGCAAATGTCCCATTTGGATTAGAATTCATATACACCATCAGGCAGTTGGAGGGTGGACAGGGATACAATGTGACAATACGAGCTGTTAACAACATCGGGAGAAGCCCTAACTCTAAAAGGATAACAAGAATCGTAGCAAGTAATATACATTTTAAGTTACAATACACGTCATACAATTACAATTAAAATATTTCAAAAGTGCTACTTATGTCAGGTATGACATCATTCATACAGACACTTAAAAACAGAGTATTTTGTATTTTGAACAATACATTTGAAATGATGGCTAACTAAGAGTATGCAACTCTTGTAACTAATTGTAATGATGTTGTACTTTGTAAAATGATTAAAACATCATCCCTAGCCTCGCTTTTTGTTTTTTCTAATATTAGCAATAGCATGCCTTATGTAAGTATTCAATTTTATGTCTGACATGTATGCTACCATTTATACAGAAATTCATGATAGATGCAAGAAATTTTATATTATTATTGTATATATTATTTGATTCTTGCTTATTTCCCTTTAAAAGGTCAAAGGCCAAAGGTCATCATCGTGATGATTGTTTTGGGGTGTATTTTGTTATTTGTCCTGGTGTGCCTTGGTATCTGGCAGACAATAAGGTAAACAGTATGCAAGTACTATAAAACTTCTATGTTCAGATATATTGCCTACTTTATATAATGTAAATATAGTCATGATCAGAGATATGACCGACCGTCTGATGAAACAACCTTTTTTGGGTTGTCGAGTTGGCCGAGTGGTCAAGAGCGCCGTAACCCCGAGGTCGTGAGTTCGACACGCTTGAGCTCCCTGCGTTTATTCATATAGCTTTGTAAAGGTTAACAAAGAGATTGAGTAACCAATACATTCTGGAAGAAAGAACTAGCTATGGTTAGGAAAGTGGTTATTTACAGTTAGGAAAGTGATTATTTACAGTCATATCTTAGAATCTGAGTATTTTCTGACCTAAATTATAGCATATTTTTATGTCACCAACTTTTTGTGAATGATGTTCGGCGTAACATCGTGTGGGTGTCATCTGTAACATCGTTCAGCTTTTGTAACAGAGTTTGGCGATCAGCGTCTGTAACAAATGACAAGTGATAACATTTTGCATATTAATGTCTTGTATTTAAAATACATTTTTTCCAAGTCAAGTCCTCAGCGACCAGCAATATCAATCGAACTTTCAGATAGGACTAAGACACTCTTACCCCGGTCTTTTATCTTTATGATTATAGATGGATGGAAAACTATGCCAAAAGGACTAAGCAAAATATAACAGTGAGTTCACCATTGTGATTTCATCTACCTTCATTCTACCATTTTTACCATCAGTTCAAAAATGAGCTATAGTTGCTCAAAATACAAGACATTTGTGTTCGAGTAAAAATTAAAGAAAATTTAAGTTGCAAAAACGAGATAAATAGATCTTTCCGATAAATCCTGCCACCTTTTGATAAATCAGAGAACTTTTGATATTTTGGCTAGCTTTCTAAAATTAGAAATAAGTTTATCTTGTGTTAAATTGCAAGTTTCACGAATAATTTAACATTATATCAATATATTTATTAAATTATAAAATATTTTCTGATGTTTTTGAATGCACCTTTCCAGATACCAGAACACGCAAATGACAGACGTGATAATGTTCACCACCTGGTGAATACAAGTTCATATGTGGCATACAGAAATGATAGTGGTTATTGCACCATCTCTGTCACTGGAAGTTATGTAAGTTAAGAGAGACAAATAAAAGGGCAACTCCAAAACTATACAGAAAATGCCAGAAAAAACCCCAATTCAATCCAATTAATTGACGGAAGAGTTCTTTGATATTCTTAGTATAGAGACATATGCTCTAGTTGAAAATAGCAAAATGATCCATCAGTTGAAGGACACTTCAGCTATAAACTATAGTGTGATCATAATCAGTTGATTCCATTTTAGGGTTCAGATCCACCTCTTGATATGGAACCTGATGTGATCATATATAAGGATGTTGAAAAGACCACAGCTGGACAGAGTAATGGCCAGAATAAATCGGGTATTAGACATGACGTAACATTTGATGACAATACAAACAGCTGTTTGGACGACCATCCGTTACATCAAGAAAATAACACAGCGCCTGGAGGAATAGCCACAACTCGCCCACTTGCACCCGAAGGCCAAACACAAGTAGATGTGGTGCCGCACAGAATGCAGACTGTTCCAATGCCTGGCGATTACTGTGCTACCACGACTGATGTGAATACTACCAGTACTCTATTCGATCATGCGAAAGATCAAGATGATAACCGTAATTCAAGAGAAAAGTCTGTTGAAGTAGATGTAGGACTACCCAGGATGCGTATTGTTCCTATTTATGATGATTACTGTGCCATCGCTTTGCATGATAACAAATCCTTATTCAAAAATACAGAGAGACAACGCAGTAATAACAATTCAGAGAAGTTTATTGCAATGAAACCCCCATCCATTGGAGAATCGGATGATGATCAGCAAAACGCAGTCGATCTTACGGCGAAAGATAGTGGAGGCGTTACAACGGGACTACGAGTTCCAAGATCACCGCGATCAAGTGTTACATCATTGCCTAATTTCATAAACGCATTCAATACAGATACCCCGTTGCAAAGACTAAATGAAAATGCAAATTCAACTGTCGATGCAAATGAACAAAATGGACAACAACAACAAAATGGAGAAACGAACAAAGCTTTGACAGGCTCATCGGAGCAAATAGTACCCCATGACAAACGAGTGAACACTGTATGTTTAACCAGCCCATTTATGAATGAGACACCTCAAACAATTTACGGCGGGAACACTTCAATCGGAACAGCAGAAAACTTTCTAACTGATAAATCTTCTGCAAAGAATTCAAAATTGCTGGAGTCAAACGGTTACTTGCCCCATGATTGCATCCCGCAAAACAAAGATGATGAAATCCCTTTAGCGCAAGATGATGAAGGATACGTATCCCATGCTCTTGTGCAAGCAAATAATAATATTACTAAAGAGATTGGCAAAGAGAGGAAGTGCATGGTACAAAGGGCTGACTCTGGCTATACAGAGTTCTGAAAGAGAATAGATATGTTATCCATAGATTTAACCAAATTATATAAAAATTAGGAAAGTATTAGGTATTAAAACCCCATACACGTGACAAACATGAACTGGCCTTGATCTTTTGCACAGTAACTAGGGCTTGTGAAAGGATAACAAATGGAACGCGTGTAAATGATTAATTGATTTCATAGAATTAACGTAATTCTGAAAACATTTAGAAACTATGCGCGATAGCTCAGAACGACAACAATATTCTTACTTACCATGTTCAAAAGCTCTTATTTTGGGGTATAGCTTTCTTAACACTGAAAATGTACATTAACTTCAACATGAGATATGACGGATCTTTTTAGGGCTATTATAGTTTTTTAGTTTTAGTTTATATAGTTTATTATAGTGTCACAGGTTCATACAATAAAATACAATATTAAAATACATTAATAAAAAACCTCTAGCCGATGCCGGCTTATGAGACACTTATATGAATTCATAAATAGCATCAATATTACAATGTTATTGCAAACGTTCAAGGCCTATGATAGTATGGAGCATTGTAACAGCTGGATTACCACTTTCTGCTCTTACGAGGTGTCTCATTTTGAGTGGTTGTTCTCCCGTCAAAAGGTATTGGTTTGGAATGGTCCAGTTTCATACATTATTCGATCCCCTCAGCATTTTCACAAGAGTCTTGAAAATGTTGTGACATCGGTTCTTGGATTATATGTTGCATATGGTTCCATATCGGAAGACGAACGAGACGATACTAACTGTCTATTTGGTTGAATAACCGAGGATCGGTTATCTGAATGATCTGAAGAAAAATCCCAGGTATGTACCTCACTGTCCATTTTCTCATTCTGTATCGTAGTATTATTGCAATCACAACAACCGATCCAATGAAACTTCCAGCTGTTACAATGATTGTCGTTTCGATAGTAATGTCACTGTTTTTTTGTTTTTGTCTATTTTCGTTAGTATCAACAGTTATTTTGATAATAGTGCTCACTTCATTCGTTCTTGAATCAGGCCCCGGGGAAAAAGGTTCATTAGTAATGTCTTTCACATTCTCAGCCGTTTTGATTGTCCATTGTGGATCTGAAGTTGATGGGATGGTTACTTTTGATGTCAAGATATAGGTGGCCACTTTGTTCCGTCGACGCAGGTTAATTACGTGGTGATGGAAATTTCCTTCCCACATTTTGTAATTCAAAGCACAATGAAGTATTCTACACGTTCTGTTAGTCCTGAAGTAGTTCATAACATTTGCGTTTTTATCACATGCAAGAGTTATACACGAGCGGACATTATCCACGTCCTTGTAAGTATTATTGTTGCAAATTGCAGGGACCTCTATACTATAACCAGTGTAGCCGGTCCTCTCTACAAAGTATGAGTTGTGGCATCTTGGGGTCGAAGTGTGCGGTAAAGCATACGTTGTGTGTCCATTATCACCCAGTGTCCAACCATAATCCCAATCAGTTCCTTCGTCATTTGATTTGCATCTATGCATGGAACAGGAATATTGACCCGATTTTGTCTTATATGTTACCACATTGCTTTTAATGTTGCAAGCTGTCTTAAAGCAGTGATCCAAGTCTTTTTCCAAATTCGTTTGAGTTTTTGTACAATTGGAGAAGTACCTGGCACCTTTCATCTTCAAAATGTAATTGCCTTGTCTACATTCGTCTGAAAATCGATTATATTGACCAGTCATTGAAATATGTAATAACAAAGCTTTTTTTGTCAAGATATAGGGACAGAAAATATTCTAGCATATCAATATACAGTTAGCAAGTGTAACACAGGCCTTGAGTTTATTGATTTTCTCCCTATATCATGACATGTATATATTTTAAGTATACAACTTTTGAATTCTAATTCCTTTTCTTATCGATTTTAAATGAATCTTCTTTCATCAAAATCTTTCGGAACCATAGCCCTTTTAACAATTCAAAGTCTAAAATATAGATCCAAAATGACAGCTTACCCGTGTCTCCTAATGCTGCGCAATTGAAAACAAACAAAGCTATCAACTTCGAGACAAGCATCATACTTGGAATATTAGAAGTCTCTTCTCAATCCCACGAGGAACTGATATTTAATAGATCTTAACTAACTAACTGTGATTTAAGTATGGGTAATAAATGTTGAGTACAAAATAAGCGTTAAAGGTCCCATATAAAGTTCAAACAACTTCGGCTTATATTGTAGTTTGACCCAATATCATCAAAATACTATATGAAATCTTTTTGAATACAAAAAGTGTTTTTTTACGGATTCATATAAGCGATGATATTACCAATGTATAGCATTTATCTTTAAGAAATCAAAAAATGTTTATTTGATGAATAATCGGGAAATGAACTCATTTATGCATGAAAGTGGTTCAGTTAAATTAAGTCACCATAGCTTGACTGAGATATAAAAATAGATTGAGATATAAAAATTAGTTTTTTTCAAATACGCCTTAAACGCCTTAAATTTTTGTTCTATTTTGGAAATTTTGTTTTTTTAATCTCTAAAATAACTTTTTAAATCATGAAAAAATAAGTGAATGATAAAAAGATATTTTCAATCTTTACACAGGGCCTTTTCAGATTTTCGTTCAATAGATTTCAATTGAAAAAAGACGACTTGTAAGCACACTTGTAAGCATAATCCTTGAAACAGGGTGTACCAACTTCAAATATATTTGCTTTTGAAGATTAAATCAGGGAACACGATCAAAATTTTGTATCACAACGAATTGGTTTAAGGCATATGTTTAATAGTCGTCATTAATGTATTACAAACTGAAAATACTTTTAGACTATTTCTTCTAAATAATGTAAATATGAATGTATGTAAATACCTCTTGCCAAGTCAGCACATTTCATTTCATAAAAGGTGTATAGCAATGAAGATGTCCTTTAAAGCTTCGAAAAAAGAACTTTTGAAAAACAAGTGTATACAATGTACAGTATCTAAGAAAAAGGTGGTCATATCAAAAATTGGCTCGTGGATTGCACCTATAAACGTTACAAAATATAACAATTGAATGAACTATGCTCAGTAAAAACATTGGTGTATTTTAGAGGAAAAATAAATGTTTTACACAATTAACATGTTCCAATTTTTGCAGCTATTTTTATACGGATTTTGTCTGACGTTTCTGTATACTTGTAAATCATTATCTAACGGTTTCATTTTTGATTATTTAGTACAATTCAAGTGATGATTTCATATCCTGCTTGTTTCAAGTGATCTTTTCATTTTCTAAATACCAGTCTGAAGGAAACATAAATATAAAGTTAAGTTGATTTCAACTTATAATTAGTATGTCACAACAAAACTTGTCAGTTTTTTTAATTTGTGGACGTGATAACGGACTTATTACTTAATAAGTTTCATCTATCATTGATGTGACCACAACCATCAAACGAATAATCAAGCTATAGGTTTCTTCTTATTTTGACTATTGTGGTAGTGGCTACGTTTATAATGAAAGCCTCGAACGTGCAAAATTCAATATTTCTACGATATATCAAGCAACAATGGTCTACACGACATGTAATAAATACTTCTTAGTGGCGTTAGTGATAGATGATCTCATTTCCTGTTTGTCCAAATGACATTTTAAGTATCTGGTATCTTATACTCGACTGAGGGAAACATGACTATAAAACGTTGTTAATATATCATACCTTATCATCGAAACTGATTTATGACTTATGACAAGTTTGATTTTTAACAACAACATACTTCAAAGTTTTATGACTTTCAAATAGTTTCATTTGTTCCACCAGTCATTGACTTAAGCAGAATTATCAATGTGCTAGACTTATTCGTATCGTGATCATTGTGATTTGAATAGTTTGAATAGTCAATACAAAATAAATCAAACTTTCCAGATTAGACCATAGGGAACAATTTACGATAATTGATATTTTAAAAATCTGTTGTACTAGAGACTGCGACATATATGTTGATTTCATGGACATGCAATGTGTTATTTTTGTTGACCAGACTTTAAGCAATCATTTCTACAAGGTACCTGTCTGGAATATTGCTGATATTTGATTTCATGGACATGCAATGTGTTATTTTTGTTGACCAGACTTTAAGCAATCATTTCTACAAGGTACCTGTCTGGAATATTGCTGATATTTATAAAAATATCACTTTAATGATGGATTTTTAGACAATTAAGAAATGTCTTATTTTTTCGGCAAATATAAACTCGGATTTCTTAACATAAAATTTATCGATTGCTTTGATATTTTTGAGCATGTTAGTAAAATGTATGTGCTACCAACTCTTGAAAGTGGGATGTTTGATATGTCTTAGTCAAATAATTAAGTATGTTTTACTATATGAATACGATTCGTCAAATATTTGTATCCTCCAACACATATTAATATACACTATCGATGTATTATTTTTGTGAGAGCTATTCCACATGGTACAATTTGATGACATATCTTCGATTGCAGACAATGGAGATATATGATTGAGTGTTGGTATTTCTGTCATAAATTCAAGTTTTCTAGATGAGGCTGTCCAATACTTTGTATCCTCCAAACATTAAATATCATCTTTGGGAAAAAATATTTTTAGATTATTATTTTGATATAAAGTGTGATAGTCTTGTCATTTTGGTTTTGTTTTATATTGCTCTCCCAACAGCATGGCGACATGTTCATCTAAAATGATTAAAACACCATACTCATCTAAATAAAGTATATTGAAGTACAATGATCAGAACGTACGTTTTCGACAAAGTGGCGCCTCTACTTGCGCTCTTAAGGTACGTTCACACCAACGGCGAATGCCACGCTTTAAATCGGCGAGCAAAGCGCCGTCATTTTTGTCATTTTTCTTCATACCAACGGCGCTTTGATGGCGCTTTAAAGCGGCTTGTAAAGCGGCACCAAAGCGTAACAAAGTTTGATTAAAGCGTCGGGGTCGTAATAGGTCATAGAAAAGCTCAGAGTAAAACGGGATATTCGGCAAGAGCGCCAAAAATTTTAAACTCTTAAAAGATTTTGGGCGCTCTGTTACGAATCGATTAAGCGCCGAGAGCGTATTAAAGCTTAACAAACCGTAACAAAGCTCAGAAAAACTTGATCCAAAGCGTAGGAAAGCTTAACATAGCTCTAAAAGGTTCCTCACGCTTTGATCCCGCTTTGATCAGGCTTTGTTACGCTTGAAATCACGCTTTGAAAAACTTTGATAAGCATTATTACGCTTTGATGCGATAATGACGCTTTAAATCAGGCTCTGATACGATTGCAAAACTCTGTTGTGCATTGTTACGCTCTGTTAAGCTCTGTCACGCATTGGAAAATGTCGAGATCGCCGATTCCATGCCGCTTTTGATCCAATGACTATATAAAGATGCAGTAGATCCATAAAACCATTGCATCTTTGACTCGAGAACACGATGGCAGAACAACGAGATCCAGAAATTCCAGATGGACCAGAGCATGGCCTATCTGAAGAAGACATGACGTTTGTCGCACGGCGTGATATAGCGTGTGAAAACTTTCAAGCGTAACAAAGCCTAGCAAAGCGTTTCAATCCTTGATTAAAGCGTCTCAATTCGTTGGAAAGCTTGAGAGTCCCTCAGGAAAGTGTAACAAAGAGTGTCAGATATTGATGAAAGCGTCTGACCTTGTGTCAGATCTTCATGCCAGATCGTAGCAAATCTTGAGACATCTTAACGAAGCGTGTCAAGTGGTAACAGACCGTGAATAGACTGGGGTCCCCGCTTTGAACCAAGCTGTGTTAAGCTTTCCTACGCTTTGAGTCAAGCTTTGTTGAGCTTTGTTACGGTTTGTTAAGCTTTGATACGCTCTCGGCGCTTCAATCAATTCGTAACAGAGCGCCCAAAATTTTTAAACAGTTTAACATTTTTTGGCGCTCTTGCCGAACATCCCGCTTTACTCCGAACTTTTCTACGACCTATTACGATCCCGACGCTTTAATCAAGCTTTGTTACGCTTTGGTGCCGCTTTACAATCCGCTTTAAAGCGCCATCAAAGCGCCGTTGGTGCGAACGCTTAAACAGTTTAATTTTTTTAGCGCTCTTGCCGAATATCCCGCTTTACTCCCGAGCTTTTCTACGACCTATTACGACCCCGACGCTTTAATTAAGCTTTGTTACGCTTTGGTGCCGCTTTACAAGCCACTTTAAAGCGCCATCAAAGCGCCGTTGGTGTGAACGTATCATTAGGCAAAGTAAGAATAGATCTAACAAAAGATTTGTCATATATTTCCGATCTATTGTAATTGTTGATAAAAAATTAGGAAAATTGGCGGGATTGGAAATGATGTCAATTTATATTTCCAGCCCTAAAAGTAGTTTTTTATCGCACTTTGAAAAAGTGCTATATTGTCGTCGTCTTGTGCTGTTGGGCGGGCGTTTGGGCGTGCGGGCGTGCGGGCGGGCGGGACATAAACCAAATCTTGTCATCAAATTTCCAGGATAACTTACCTGTTCAACTTGAATTTTTTACACATGCAATAGCAGACTAGTGCCAAGATCTGATTAGGTTAAGGGCATGCTGGGTAAACTACGTGGTGGCCATTTTGAATTTTTCAACAAATCTTGTCATCAAAATTCCTGGAAAACCACTTATCCGTTCAACTTGAAATTTTTACAGATGCAAGAACAGACTATTGCCAAGATCTGATTAGGTTTTAGGTATGCTGGCTGAATTACATGGTGGCCATTTTGAATTTTTCAATTTGGCGGCCATTTTGAATTTTTCAACTTGCTCCAAATTGACTAGCCTTGCCCAAGTCGGTCTCTTTTACTATCTTGATTTCTATTATGACCGCCTTGTACCAAAGAGAAAGCCACGTGCTTTACCGACTCAATGTTTATGTCGGTAAAATTTGACCAATCAACGACGGCCCTGCAGCGTTAGCTCATTATTATGCGCGGTCAAAAACAAGTACACTTTTTAGTTTTCGCCGGGACTTTTCACGAACAAATCTTACATGAATTCATCATGAAAATACAAATATTATAACAGATAAATATCAATCAGAGTTTAGTGGATGCCGGAGCATCGATCGGTAACCGGAGGTGAGAAGATTTCAACAATAAACGTTGAAACGATCGCTGAATTCAAATGAACATGTACATGTGATGTAGGCTGAGATTCGATCACTGATCGAAGACTACATGACCCGCTACATTGGACTAGGTCTTGCATTTTCATCGCAAAATCAGTTTTAAATCTATTGCATGATTTAATTTATATTAATGACTTACATTCCCTATGTACATTTAATTACATAATATATTGTAACTCTAAAGAAACGATCGATCAGATCATTGAATTTCAAGTCGTAGACGGGAAGATTGCTTTGCTTATGCATGCGGGTCAACGATTGGTCAATTAGCCTGAAGTCACACGTCGTGTCCACGCGTATATCTGTCAATATATAAGGTTTCGCGATACCCCTGATAGCGTAGGTATTATGGAAATCTCGAAACCGTTGAATATCTTAGCATAATATCAGCAGCGATGTATTGGATTGTACAAGGCGGTAATAATTCAAGATCAGATAAGTAAAAAAAATACCGACTTGGGCAAGGCTACAAATTGACCAATTTTTTTTAAAAACATCTACAAGTTCTCAGAAGTTCAAATCTGACCTTAGATTTCAGATTTGACCTTTCGTTGACCTTCAGTGGCCTTGAAAAGGTCAAAAATTTGATTTTCTAAATTGATATTTTGGATTTAACTTTAGGTCAGCTAATTACAAAATTTTCAAGGTCGAAGGTCATCAAATTAGGTCACAAACAATGTTATCTAAATTTTCCCAAAGTTCAAGACTACAAATTAATTCTTGTCATCAAAATTGCAGGAAAACCGCTAACCTTGTCAACTTGAAATGTTTACAGATGCAAGAGCAGACTAGTGCCAAGGTCTGATTAGGTTTTGGCCATGCTGGGTAAATTGCATGGTGGCCAGTTTGCTCTTCAAAGTGCGATATTTATCACTGTGTGTCTTGTTCTTAAATCTTAATATACAGGGTGGGCCAAAAAAACGCCACTTTTTTTCAAGACACTACAACTTTTTTATTTTCCAACCTACATTCCCCAAATTTTGCAGTTATATAGTGCCAATGGTTCTTAGTAATACTATAATGTAACAAGTCCTTCAACTTGGATTATATTTGATCTAAAAGGGGAGTTCAATTGGTCCGCCACCCTAATTAATGATATATTTTAGTTTTAGTCGCCTTGCTGATATTGCAGTATCAATGAAATATTAGCTAAGTTTTTTTCAATCTGTCTTAATTGCCAGCTTTAGTTGAGCAATTTTCTAGATGGCGTGCCTTCATACAATCTCCTGGAGACCTTCCCATACCCTATACTAACTGGGGTTTGCATCAGGGCTATTAGCTTGGCGATCATCAGGCGATATCAGTTCAGGAACATTTTGCAAATTATGCTTATTTCTCATGGCACACCACATGTTTAAGTGAGACGCTGGTGATATATTTTATTCAAGTAAACAAATATAATTTATGATCCATGGCTAGATAACAACCCCAAGTTTCATTTGGTATGCAAATTATGATTTAATATCAAAAATTAAAAAAATTATAGCATTTTGAAAAAAAGTGGCGTTTTTTTTGGCCCACCCTATAATTTAATATGCAAATGAAAATTCAAACATAAAGAGGCTTTAACAAATAGTTCAATGAGGGAGCTTAGGTTGCCAAACTTTTGGAGGGGAGTGTACGTGACGACATGGGCTATAGAAAAATAAATAACCAATTGTCGGCTTGTCAAGGTGTTACGTTTATTGAAACACTTGGATAAGTTATTTTATTTTACAAATTGATCTCGCAAATGTAATTTTGCTTTTTTTCACAGTTTTCATCATTCCATTGGTATTGATATAATTCCATACAATCTTCGTCACCACCAGCATTGTTGGGTTCTCCTTCAATCCAGTTAGTATATTGCTGAGGTGTAGATTTGCCTTCACTACCCATCCAGTTCCAAGGCTTATCTGTAGATCCACGCATTCCACCTAATATAAAATAATACCAAATGAAAAACGTGACATGGTTTTGGTATATTATGTCATATTTTTAGCAAACACGAACGTTGGATTTTCAGTTGAAACATGCTTTTTACATGCTAATTATTCAGGTTGCTTCAACTACTTCTCGATCGAGTTAAAATAAAAAGTAACATACATAAAAATAGCGACCATAAGCCATATCGGTGTTTGAGTTATTGCACAGACGGACGGACGACGCCGCTCTTTATATGCCCCAGAACTTCATTCGATGAAATAAAAATTGTAGAGGAGCGATTTCATGGAATGCGGTGTTAACGTTTATATAGACTGTACTAAATATGGTCCCTTAGAGGACCTGGTGCAGGGGGTATGGCCCCGCGGACAATATATTCAGGGAGACTATATTTACTCTGACACCGGTGTTAACGTTTATTAGACTGTACTAAATATGGTCCCTTAGAGGACCTGGTGCAGGGTGTATGGCTCCGCGGACAATATATTCAGGGAGACTATATTTACTCTTGACACCGGTCCACACCGCGGCAGCAAAATTTCGTGCCAAGTAAACCTTCTTCAGATTATTTTCAAACTATGTAATCAAATAAAAAACTGGAATATATGTTGAATAGGAGATGTAAGGCATGATATATGCAATTGTTGTCCAATTGTTGAATTTCTGGTAAATGTAAAAGAAAGAGCTGGTAATGAGGTTAACCTAATTTACTGAAACCAAGTCCCGGGAACCAAGTACAATGTTAGCTGACAATTTATATTGAGAAAACGTGGCTATCTGAGTAATGATAATAGAGAAGAAGATAAGAAATGGAGTGAATGCAATAGAATGCTTCGAAATCGGCATATGATTTACTACAAGCATTTATACATTTGGTGGCATTTGCACTTCAATGACGCAGCGTTTTTTTGTTTTTTTGTTCGTTTTACTAACTTGATCTCGTCCTACAGTTTTATTTGGTATTTTTGTAATTTTTCTATTGGCTTTTAAAATGAGCTGCAAATACTTACTCACACAGAAGGTATACAATATCTTAAAAATAAGTTTATAACTCTAATTCATTTTATAGATGGCATTAGTAAGCCATGACTTAAAATAAAAATCTACCATTCGAACGATGTCAAAGTGCAAGGGAAATAAAAATTATAAATGCTCACATGTTGCATATTTTACTGCTTTCACGCCAGACATTCCATTAATTGGTAAATTAATCATAATGTATGCAATATAAATGTTAGTTATGTAGGAATATTTTAATTAAACAAGTACCGATGGAGATGAACTTTTAGGAATATGTAGGAATATGTTGTTTATTGAATCAGTCTCTATCACAATAGTAAAATATAACAATAATCATTTTAATTAAATTAATGCCGATGGAGATGAACTTTTGATTTATATACAAAAAAATAAAAATATTATTCTATTTGATTAGAACATGGTTGTTACATCTTTTAATTTATTTAGAATTACGCTTTTGTATCAGCGGTACACTTTCACAAAACTAGAAGTGCATTTTAAGAATTATGAAGAATTGCACTTAAACTTTACTTGTTAAAATAGGTTTGCACGTTAGACTAAAATACTCCATGCATGCTCTAAATATTTAGATTTTAAGTCATGACACAATAGTGATCAAACTGTTATACTTAGTTTTAAAATATTTCTAACTTCAAATAAATTCGCTTTATTCTTAAAGCGGACGACGTCTAGGAGCAAAATTATGTTTATCAGAATGTTTTGTCCTAGCTAGCTTCCGCTCCTTGACGTAGTCCACGGTTGTTTATCATTTTCTTGAGAGTAAAGAACGTTCAACGTGATTTTTAAAGCATTCTATAACACAAATAAGACAAGTTACCTATCCAAAGCCGGTCATTCCCGATAATATCCCCGATATATTTATTTTCTTCAGCTGATTCGATAAGAACTAAATGGGCCAAGGAGGATTGGAAGCCAGGGTTCCAACTCGATATTCTTTAATCTCCACGCATGCGTCATTTGCTATTCGTGTCTGTATAATTTGTACGACTGCATGGAGAATAACCCGATACTCTCCAACAAAGCTATCGCTAGGTGATTGTTTTGCAGAATATCGGTGTTGCATTCTGGGAGCCAATCCTCCTTGTAAATGGGCACATCTTGATAAACATCGGTAGTTTGCTTCAAACCATGATACGCTTCCCGAGTCAACGTATAAGTAGCACGAGCCTTGGTGTTGCGTGAAGCCATCCGGACATCCAGTCCGCCTTTTATTGCAGAGTAACGTTCCATCTTAAATTCAAAAGACGTGTTTTTGTATTTCCCTTTTTCAACACGATACTCGCCTGATATGCCAATTAACGGATAAATAATCAATATGAAATTTTCATGACATCTTATAAAGGAGCTTGTAGCACATTATAGTACAGTCCTTTTTGGTCTTATAAGTACATATTATGTCCTTAATTATTTTTTTTTTATTATGGTTAACCAATAAACTTAAGACTTAGTTTGCGGAAATATATCTGTCATAAGCAGGAGGTAAAAAAGTAACAAGGCATTAACATGACAAAATGTCACCACCTAGATGCTCACAATATTATGAGTCCAATCTTAGGTCAGATGATTAATTTTCGAGAACTTGTAGATGATTTTGAAAAATAAATTGGTCAATTTGAAGCAAGTTGAAAAAGGGCCTTTTTGACCCTTAAGGTAAAATCTCAAATCTAAAGTCAGATTTGAACTTCTCTGAGAACTTGTAGATGATTTTGAAAAAATGGTCAATTTGAAGCAAGATGAAAAAATACCTTTTTGACCCTTTTTTGACCTTGAGAAGGTCATTGAAGTCAAATCTACCGCCGTCAAAAAGGGGACCATAACAACATGTCGCCACGTTTTGGTGGTGACATTATAAAAACTAATAAAGGTTAAAATAAACATTCGAGACCTCTGGTGACAGTAATGTCGAAGAGGAAATGAGACAAAATCGTTTAAGATATTTCTTTAATTTGCTGTGTATCGTATTCTTACACACCCTTTCCATTTTGGCTTACATAATCAATGTAAGACCGTAATACGGAAATGAAAAACAGGCATAAAATAGGAATAAATTACCATAGATTATCAGCTAGTTAATTATAAATTACTTCAAGCATAAACAGATTAAGCAATTAAATGTTTTTGTACTAAAGAATTTGGAATGTGAAGGCAAATGCAAATCACTCTGAACCGTTGAACAGACATCGATATAGGGTCATCTTTAATCGAGAGAGAATTAGAATAACTCGGCAACGGATTACAACGTGAACAATAAATTTTTAGATGTCTCATATTACATCACTGATTGTAAAGGTTTAAACTACTGATCGACTGACCAACTGAAATTTTAAATATTTTCCTTACCTAATTGACCCAGTATATCCCCAATTCCATTATTAATTGTACTCATTTTCTCTTCAACCATATTTCGGAACTGATTTACTTCATCTCTAATCTTTTTGATTTCATCATTCTGTTGCTTGATGTCACTTTTCTTGCAAATTACATCACTGCACTTTTTGGTCGAAGAAGCTTTGGACTGCAATAAGCCTGGGATAGAATATGAACAATGTACTAGATTATCGTTAATCTATTGTATGTGCCAGAGGCGAGTCTATAACTATGTCTTGCTCGTGTTTAGATATTGAAAAAGTATCAAAAGTCTGAATCTAAATTTCTCTAAAAACATAAAAAAGCAAAAAGCACAGAACTCTTTTATTTCCAAAAGTGTAAAAAATGATGGTACTTACACAGAGATACCAGGAGAAGCAAAATACGAAACATGTTAGGAATGTACTAAAAACCCTTCGACCTACGACCCTTCGACCCTACGACTTACTGGGTGTCAAGAATTTTTGGAATATATTTTATTGAAAAACCCTTCGACCTCTGATTTCCCAGTCCAGTTTACTAAATGATTACGTATAGTCCAACTTGAGCTCCCTGTAGGATTTAATCTACCTACAGCTTGTTACTGTTAAAAATAGCAAGAACACAACTTCGACATATGAGTGTTACCTGATAAATGGGACCCTCACGTGCCTTCCAAATGGTAGTAAACGAACTCTAGTGTAACTACATCAGTCCGATCAACAATAAGTACAGTTATACAAGAAATGTAAATGAAGTGAAAATATTCCCAAAAATTTTCCGAAAGGCATGTCATTCCGGAAGTTATGATAAGTTAGGGTGTCACTACGGTAAATCATTGAAAAATATCGAAAAAAATCACAAAATTCAAGTTCTGGTATGAGGTTCCATATCCATCCGCCAAAAGGTAGTCCATTTAAAAACTTGTGGTTTTGTACTAAATAACGCCATAGTTGACTTCTAGGGTACCTAGTATGCCACTATTTTGTATCAAAATATAGAGGAGTTCAATTTCATTTAAATTACGAAAATAGCGATGTAGGTCAAAATATAGTTCCGGCGTGAGCATGTTTACTACGCGTTGCCTGTCATCTCAGAATTGAGGAAATGGTAGCAAACGTGAGTTATAATAAATGGACGCTGATATCTCAAAAAGTAACCGGACTCCCTATAATTTGATGTAGATCAATCGAACCCCTATATGAACAGGTACATTTTGATATCTAACACTATGGGGGGTAAGCGTTTTCATAGTTGATCACGAACGCCATATGTGTAAAGTATTGTTCTGAATTTTCGAATTTGGTGTTGGATTACGGTACTCACACCTTCTGGGGTACATATCGCCATTTTCGAACGAATTAGCCCATACAATGACTATATTTCTGCAATCCCCTATACATAACCTTCATCTCGACACTATATTTAACATAGGGTTTGGGTCTCGATTTTTAAATATCACTACGCCAACATAGGGACTTATTTTTAGGTAAAATCTCTGCTTCACCGATGAAAATTAACGAATAAAGTAGTTCCTGTTTACGGGACCATATTCTTGAGATTTTTTTCTAAAAATGGCACATTTAAAAAGAACTTGGCCCCTGCTTTACATACATACCTCAAATGCCCACAGTACATACACTTAAACCTACTATACACACCATTGAAGTTGGCATAGCTTCGTTTTTAAAGTTTTTATAAAACACCCGGAAGTGGTATTTACCGTAATAACACCTTATATTACCGAACATGGGTGAATTGGAATGTTTGTTCGATGGCATTATTAAACCAAAAGTAGTGCGAAAATGGCCTTTTCACGTGTTGGCATAAAGTTTTGATGACATTTAAAGACACAGTTCCTCCTTCCCGTACATTATCTCATGGAAATTGGCATACCAGCGCAAAGATCTTTGTTTTGTGGTGAAGAAAAGCTATCAAACATTGTCTGAAGAGCAGATTTGTCCCCGTAATTCAACTTTTAGCATGGCGACCTTGACCTTGAAAAAATAAAATAGCCATTTGGGCGATAATAGGTGATTCAAAAGTAAAATTAGTGCTTTTTCGTAGTTTTACTTTGACCAAGCCTAGAAAAAAATCGAAGTGGTAAACCTACCCCCAAATTTTTTGACAAGTGTTCTAGATGATATCAAAGTTTAAGAAAATTTGTATATCTAGAAATATTTTATAAATTAGTGCCATTATGGTGGGTTTGGGTGCTTTTTTGCTCTCTTTTTTTAGCCCATTTCTATGGTTGCCATGGCAACTATTAGGTTTTGGTAACCATGTCAACTTGATTCTTCAAGGACATCCGCCTGATAGTAGTTGGGCCAAGTTTGATGGAAAATGGGCCTTGTTTGATATCCTGGCAGTGAGGTTGATTGTGGCAAGTAGTAAAACGCTAACAATGGTGGAGTCATACCTGATGCTTGGATGTTCGCATTTTATTTAGCTCTCGTAAAATGAACGAACAAACGTTCCATTTTCACGCATGTTCGGTAATATAACGTATCATAACTTCCGGAAATGACTTTCGGAAAATTTTTGGGAATATTTTCACTTCGTTTACATTTCTTGTATAACTGTACTTATTGTTGATCGGACAGAAAGAAAGATAGAAAATAGAAGGTCGAAGGGTTTTTATAAAAATATATTCCAAAAATTCTTGACACCCTGTAAGTCGTAGGTCGTAGGGTCGAAGGGTCGAAGGGTTTTTAGTACATTCCAACATGTTATCAGAGATCCTCGCAATATGCTAGTCCTGTTCGCAAATGCCAATTCTATGTTCTAATATTAAATTAAATAAATAATTTTTATCTATGCAATTACCATACATTTCATATATTTTTTAATGTGAAGGTTGCTGTCGGAAACAAATGAAAAAATCCAGGTATATACTTTATTAACATGTAATCTTTATATTATAGTAATGCAGTGAGTCACTCACTCACTGATGTTGCATAGGAGTAATGATTCTACTGCATGAGTAGCTTCATCATTAGAAATAACCTCTGCTTGAGATTCATGTTCATAATTAGGTTGTAGCACCACACTGAACTTAACATCATGTGCACAAACTGTTGTAGTGAGATTCATGTTCATATACAGTAATTAGGTTGTAGCACAACACTGAACTTAGCATCAAGTGCACAAACTATTATTGTGAGATTCATGTTCTTATACAGTAATCAGGTTGTAGCGCAACAGTGAACTTAACATCATGTGCACAAACTGTTGTAGTGAGATTCATGTTCATATACAGTAATTAGGTTGTAGCACAACACTGAACTTAGCATCAAGTGCACAAACTATTGTTGTAAGATTCATGTTCTTATTCAGTAATTAGGTTGTAGCACAACAGTGAACTTAACATCATGTGCACAAACGGCACACAAACTATTGTTGTGAGATTCATGCTCATATACAGTAATCAGGTTGTACCACCAAACTAAACTTAACCTCATGTGCACAAACTATTGTTGTGGGATTCATGTTCATATACAGTAATTGGGTTGTAGCACCAAACTGAACTAAACATCATGTGCACAAACTATTGTTTTGGGATTCATGTTCATATACAGTAATTAGGTTGTAGCACCAAACTGAACTTATCATCATGTGCACAAACTATTGTTGTGAGATTCATGTTCATATACAGTAATTGGGTTGTAGCACCAAACTGAACTTAACATCATGTGCAGAAACTATTGTTTTGGGATTCATGTTCATATACAGTAATTAGGTTGTAGCACAACACTGAACTTAACATCATGTGCACAAACTGTTGTTGTGAGATTCATATTCATATACAGTAATTAGGTTGTAGCCCAACAGTGAACTTAACATCATATGCACCAACTATTGTTGTGAGATTCATGTTCATATACAGTAATTGGGTTGTAGCACCACACTGAACTAAACATCATGTGTACAAATTATTGTTGTGAGATTCATGTTCATATACAGTAAATTAGGTTGTAGCACAACACTGAACTTCACATCATGTGCACATACTATGTTTGTGAGATTCATGTACATATACAGTAATTGGGTTGTAGCATCAAACTGAACTTAACATCATGTGCACAAACTATGTTTGTGAGATTCATATTCATATACAGTAATTGGGTTGTAGTACCAAACTGAACTTAACATCATGTGCACAAACTATTGTTTTGGGATTCATGTTCATATACAGTTATTATGTTGTAGTACAATACTGAACTTAGCATCATGTGCAAATACTATTGTTTTGGGATTCATGTTCATATACAGTGATGAGGTTGTAGCACAACACTGAACTTCACATCATGTGCACATACTATGTTTGTGAGATTCATGTACATATACAGTATAGGTTGTAACGCAACACTGCACTGGGCGACGCGGTTGACACACGCGGTTAGCCGACAATGGAGAGGTTAAGCTTTGCATATATAATCGAAACTGAACCTGTACGTATCACTCGACCATATACAAATTCATGTAGCCTTCTCATATAAATAGTAGGGTGGTCCAAAATATGGCGAAAAACCAACTTTCTTTCGGATCATCTTCCTCATTTGACTTACTGTTGTCCATGACCTAAAACACCTGCACACCAAATTTTGAGACCCAAATCCCATGGGAAATTTACCCACGCTTCGACTGAAAAATTTGGTTATTTCATGATTTTTTGCTATTTTCGATAAATTGCCATCTCCTTTTTCCTGGTATAAAATGTTTCTATTTTTTCATAATAAACATTTTTGTAGGACTCTTTATTACTTAATAATACTAAGAGCCCAAACACCAAATTTTGAGACCCAAATCCCATGTGAAATTTACCCATGCTTTGACTGAAAAATTGTGATTTTCACAGTTTTGTCCGATTTTCAATAGATTACTGTCTCCATTTTCCTGGTATAATATGTTTCTATTTTTTCATAATAAATATTTTTGGATGACTCTTTATTACTTAATAATACTAAGAGCCCAAACACCAAATTTTGAGACCCAAATCCCATGTGAAATTTACCCATGCTTTGACTGAAAAATTGTGATTTTCACAGTTTTGTCCGATTTTCAATAGATTACTGTCTCCATTTTCCTGGTATAATATGTTTCTATTTTTTCATAATAAATATTTTTGGATGACTCTTTATTACTTCATAATACTAGGAACCCATACACCAAATTTTGAGACCCAAATCCCATGGGAAATTTTCCCATGGTTTGACTGAAAAACTGTGATTTTCACATTTTTTCCGATTTTCAATAACTTGCTGTCTCCATTTTCCTGGTACGATATGTTTTTATAATAAACATTTTTGAGGACTCTTTATTACTTCATAATACTAATAAAAACCCATACACCAAATATCCACCAAATTTTGAGACCCAAATCCAATGAGAACGTTACCCATGCTTTGACTGAAAACTGGTGCTTATGATAGCTTATGATGTCTTTTACAAATCATCTCCTTCAACGTTCGAGGTCTTCGGGATGATTCAAAAAGGCAAACAATTTTCCAACATTTATTATTAAAAAAAACCTGCATTTTCATGTTGCAAGAAACCCATTCGAACGAAAACGATGAAAATATATGGAAACAAAATTGGAAAGGTGAAATAATATTCTCGCATGGTACAAACAATAGTAAAGGCGTTGCTACCCTCTTTAACATAACTACCAATTACAACATAAACCAGAAAATCATTGACAAACATGGTAGGTTTATAATCCTGGATGTCCACATAGATGAATCGCGATTCCTTCTTATAAATATCTACGCCCCCACTCAAAATTACGAAACCGAACAAAAAACGCTGATCGATCAGATTGAACGTTTAATTGTCGACATTCATACCGAAAATATAGTTTTTGGAGGTGATTTTAATTCAATATTGAATCCAAAACTCGATAAAATGGGAGGTACAACTGATCATACCAGTTCTTACGCAACTAAAATAGAATCTTTCATGAATACTTTCGACCTAATTGACATTTTTAGAAGTATCAATCCTAATCTTAAAAGATACACATGGAGACAAAAAAGACCCTTCAGGCAATCGCGTCTCGACTACTTTTTAATATCTTCACACCTTTTAAACAAATTTGAATATATCCATACTCTGCCCGGCCTTTTATCGGATCATAGTATACTTAATCTATGTATAAACCTAAACACAGAAAAACGTGGTAGGGGCTTATGGAAGTTTAATAATAGTTTGTTGACTGATCCAGAGTATAACCTGAAAATAAAACGATGCATTAACGAATCTAAACTCAAACATGGAAACTTAAACAATAAAGGTATTTTGTGGGAATTAATTAAATCGGACATCCGTGCCTCTACAATCACCTATTCAATACACGCGGCAAAATTACGTAAAGAAAATATTTCTAAATTAAAATCGGATCTTGATTCCCTTGAACTAGAAATGAATAACGATAACGTAAACGATGTAACCAAAGAAAAGTACTTTACAACTAAGTCAGATGTCGAGAACATGAGTCAAACTGAAACTAAAGCTGCAATAATCCGATCAAAATCAAAATGGTATGAAGAAGGTGAAAAAAACTGTAAATATTTTTTATCCCTTGAACACAAAAACTCTATTGACAAAACGATCACTAAACTTCAAAAAGACGATGGTACCATATTAACTAAATCAAATCAAATTTTGGAGGAAGAAAAACGTTTTTATGAAAATCTTTATAGAGAATCCTTAAACGACGAGGACTTGCACATAGAACGAATGAATAACTTCACAAAAGACTTGCATTTAAAGAAACTTTCTGATATTGAAAAGGATTCATGCGAGGGTGTGCTAACTGAAAAAGAATGCGCTGTATCTTTGAAAAATATGCCGAATGATAAAACGCCCGGAAATGATGGATTCACCACCAACTTTTATAAATTTTTTTGGATCGATATTAAAACGCTTGTTGTAGATAGTTTAAATTATGCCTTCCAAACCGGAGAAATGTCGGTTAGCCAAAAACAAGGAGTAATTATCCTTATCCCTAAGAAAGATAAAACAAGATTGTATTTAAAAAATTGGCGACCGATTACCCTCCTTAATACGGACTATAAAATTTGCACTAAAGCAATAGCCAATAGAATCAGGAAAGTTTTGCCAACTATAATTAATCTTGATCAAACATCTTATATTGAGGGAAGATATATAGGGGAAAACATACGATTAATCGAAGATATGATAAACTATACATCCAATGAGAATATTTCGGGTATTCTTCTCCAAATAGATTTCGAAAAAGCTTTTGATTCAGTTAATTGGAAATGCATCGAAAAAGCCCTTACCCTTTTCAATTTTGGGGAAATGCTAATAAAATGGGTTAAAACTTTTTACAAAAATATACAATCTTGCACTTCAAATAACGGGTATCAATCCAACATGTTTTTTCCAACTCGTGGCGTACGCCAAGGCTGCCCTCTGTCGGCTTATCTTTTTATTATTGTCGCCGAAATTTTAGCAACATCCATTCGACAAAATATCAATATAAAAGGTATAAATGTTAACAATGTCGAGATAAAAATATCCATGTTTGCGGATGATACTACAATGTTCCTAAAATCCATAGACTCAACCGAACAAGTACTCAACTCTTTAAAGTCCTTTTCGGAAATTTCAGGGTTGAAACCAAATCTAAATAAAACTGAAGGACGTTGGCTGGGAGCCTTTAAAAATGACCCCCCATTTATACAACCGCATAGTCAAACCTCCAAAATTCAAATAAACAATGATAAGTTCAACGCATTAGGAATATGGTTTAGTCATGATATGAACGAAAGAAACGACTTAAATTTTTCTTCAAAAGTTAAAACAATAGAGAACCTTTTCAAAATCTGGAACTGGAGAAATTTAAGCCTGATTGGAAAAAATACAATAATCAAAGCTCTTGCAATATCAAAACTAACATATCTTGCATCAACCATTCTCTTTCCAAACAATATCATCGAACAAGTGCAAACCCTTATTAATTCCTTTATGTGGAACGGCAAACCACCCCTAATAAGCAATTATACGACAATAGGAGAAATAGAAAATGGAGGAATCAAATCAATCCATCTGGTCTCGCAGATAAAAGCGTTACA